CCTGATTAGACGAAGATTGCGCACTCATTTTGATGATGTTGATTCAAGTCACAACGGAATGTGCACCTTATGCCCTGGACACTAAGCACAATCTCACTCACCATGACGATGTTAGTGATGACGTCATCGGGGTAGAAGGTCTCGCCGTGTGCGGCGGAATATTCGACGAAGTGTGCGCACTCATTTTGATGATGTTGATTCAAGACACAACGGAATGTGGACCTTATGATGCCCTAGCCACTAGGCACGTAATCTCATTCACCATGACGATGTTGGTGATGACGTCATCAGGGTCAAATGAGATCTCATCGGACGCGGCGGCCTGGTAGTCGTACAGGGCGCGCGCCGTGTATCCGTCTTCATCGTCGCCCTAAAGCGAGCCCATCAGCCGATGGCCAACGGATTATGCACCTTATATCCTTAGCACTGAGCGCAAACTAGCACCCACCAAGAGGTCTACTAATTGGAGAGTGCGCACTCACTTGACGATGTTGTGATGACGTCAGGCGGTCGAAAGAGGTCTCGCCGTGTGCGGCGGACTATTAGACGAAGATTGCGCACTCATTTTGATGATGTTGAATCAAGATACAGCGGACTATGCACTCTATGCCCTGGACACTAGGCACAATCTCACTCACCATGACAATGTTAGTGATGACGTCATCAGGATCAAATGAGATCTCGTCAGGCGCAGCGGCCTGCTATTCAGAGTATGCGCACTCACTATAAGGATGACGGCGAGTCCACCAGCGGATTTTGCACCATATTCCTTGGACATTGAACACAAAGTTCCACTCACCATGACGATGTTGGTGATATCGTCATCAGGGTCGAAGGAGATCTCATCGGGCGCGGCGGCCTGGTAGTCGTACAGCCGAGGGTCAACGGATTATGCACCTTACATCCTTAGCACTGAGCGCAAACTAGCACCCACCAAGAGGTCTACTAAATTGGAGAGTGCGCACTCACTATGACCACNTAGTCGTACAGGGCGCGCGCCGTGTACCCGTCCTCGTCGTCACCCTTCGCTTCGCCCGAAAGTCGAGGGTTAACGGATTATGCACCTTATATCCTTAGCACTGAGCGCAAACTAGCACCCACCAAGAGATCCACTAATTGGAGAGTGCGCACTCACTTGACGATGTTGTGAGACGTCAGGCGGTCGAAAGAGGTCTCGCCGTGTGCGGCGGACTATTAGACGGAGATTGCGCACTCATTTTGATGATGTTGATTCAAGTCACAACGGAATGTGCACCTTATTCCTTAGTCACTGTGTACAAACTCGCACTCACCATGACGATGTTGGTGATGACGTCATCAGGGTCAAATGAGATCTCGTCAGGCGCGGCGGCCTGGTAGTCGTACAGGGCGCGCGCCGTGTATCCGTCTTCATCGTCACCCTCGCCCTCCGCTTCGCCCGAGAGAGAGCCTTCCCAACCGACAGGGGACACCACTATCGTAGGCTGACGGGTTATCTGGAAAAAATAATGTTTTATTTATGACTAGCTGACCCGGCGAACTTTGTTCCGCCTTAATGGCAATAAATAAGCAGACTATTTTTTATTTCGAACGGGATAAAAAGTATCCTATGTCCTTCTCCTGGCTCTAAACTACCTCCCTGACAATTTTCAGCTAAATCGGTTCAGCCGTTCTTGAGTTATAAGTGATGTAACTAACACGACTTTCTTTTATATATATAAGATATGATACTAGCTTTTGCCCGCGGCTTCACCCGCGTGAAATTTAGTTTGTCACAGATCGTCATAAATTATAGCCTACTAGCTGACCCGGCGAACTTCGTACCGCCTTAGCGTAGAGATTTTCTTAATATTTTTTTCCGTAAGAACCATCCTTGGACTTCCACAAACATTTAAAAAAAAGAATTATCGAAATCGGTTCAGCCGTTCACTCGTGATGCCGTGACAACGCGAAACGGGTTTCATTTTTATATATATAGATATGTTATTCTGGATTATAAACATTAATACTGTAAAGTTTCATAAAAATCCTTTTAGTAGTTTTTGCGTGAAAGAGTAACAAACATCCAGACATCCAAACTTTCGCATTTATAATATTAGTAGGATGTGGTATTGGCAGAGTAGAAGTATTTACATCCATAACACGAATGTAAACTAAAATCCTGTATAAATAAATAAATAATCTTATGTTGTAAAAAAACCATAACTCGAAAACTATCAAGTCACGGTGATTTGGGAAGCCCAAGTCAGAGTAAATACAAATGAGAAGGTCATCTTCGTAGAAAGGCACCGAGCGCGGTTTATATGTGAGTGCGCCAATACGTAATTATAAAATTCGGCGCAACTCCCCGCTAATCCCCGCTAAATGGCAATGCCAGATTTTGTATGGAAGGTGGCGTCTTTTTTTTTCGCGCGGCCATCGACCAAACTTTGTTTTTTGATTTCAAAATAGTGTTTTAAACCAAACTTACTATGGCATGTATACCTCTAAACTCAGTCTGAACTGAGTTACGAGCATTAGAAGTTTANTGCTGGTTCCGTCTCCATAGTTTATAAATATGCAAATGGACTTACCCCTATATAATATATACACTAATCACACTAAATTACTAATTTACAACAATTTTTTTACAAAATATACACAAACTAACAATAAAATACGAATTAAATAAAAACAAATAGACCGCCCTTTTCAACTTCCCGCCAAAAAGTGAAGGAGATCTCATCGGGCGCGGCGGCCTGGTAGTCGTACAGGGCGCGCGCCGTGTACCCGTCCTCGTCGTCGCCCTCGCCCTCCGCTTCGCCCGAAATCCGAGGGTCAACGGATTATGCACCTTATATCCTTAGCACTGAGCGCAAACTAGCATCCACCAAGAGGTCTATTAATTGGAGAGTGCGCACTCACTTGACGATGTTGTGATGACGTCAGGCGGTCGAAAGAGGTCTCGCCGTGTTCGGCGGACTATTAGACGAAGATTGCGCACTCATTTTGATGATGTTGCTTCAAGATACAGCGGACTGTGCACCTTATGCCTTGGACACTGGGTACAATTTCTCTTACCATGACGATGTTAGTGATGACGTCATCGGGGTAGAAGGTCTCGCCGTGTGCGGCAGTCTATTAGACGAAGATTGCGCACTCATTTTGATGATGTGTGTGATTCAAGATACAGCGAACTGTGCGCCTAGGGTTGCCAGGTGTCCGGCTTTAGCCGGACATGTCTGGCTTTTTACAGTCGTGTCCGGCCAAAAATTTTCTTGTCCGGCCTGTCCGGATTTTGTTAGGCTTTTTATGTGGTTGCCGCGCTAGGCGAAAGTCGAGCTATAGAATAATATCAAGCGCACGCATCAGGATGTTGGGCTAGATACTAGGCACAATCTCACTCACCATGACGATGTTAGTGATGACGTCATCAGGGTCGAAGGAGATCTCATCGGGCGCGGCGGCCTGGTAGTCGTACAGGGCGCGCGCCGTGTATCCATCTTCGTCGTCGCCCTCGCCCTCCGCTTCGCCCGAGAGAGAGCCTTCCCAACCGACAGGGGACACCACTATCGTAGGCTGACGGGTTATCTGGAAAAAAATAAGAGTTTATAATTTACTAGCTGACCCGGCGAACTTTGTTCCGCCTTAATGGCAATAAATAACGGGATAAAAAGTATCCTATGTCCTTCTCCTGGCTCTAAACTACCTCCCTGACAATTTTCAGCTAAATCGGTTCAGCCGTTCTTGAGTTATAAGTGGAGTAACTAACACGACTTTCTTTTATATAATAGATGATACTAGCTTTTGCCCGCGGCTTCACCCGCGTGAAATTTAGTTTGTCACAGATCGTCATAAATTATAGCCTATATGTTATTCTGGATTATAAACAATAATACTGTAAAGTTTCATAAAAATCCTTTTAGTAGTTTTTGCGTGAAAGAGTAACAAACATCCAGACATCCCGACATCCAGACATCCAAACTTTCGCATTTATAATATTAGTAGGATGTGGTATAGACATCCATAACACGAATGTAAACTAAAATCCTGTATAACTAAATAAATAATCTTATGTTGTAAAAAAAAACATAACTCGAAAACTATCAAAAGTCACGGTGATTTGGGAAGCTCTAGTCAGAGTAAATACAAATGAGAAGGTCATCTTCGTAGAAACGCACCAAGCGCGCCAATACGTAATTACAAAATTCGGCGCAACTCCCCGCTAATCCCCGCTAAATTTTGTCAGTGTGTGCGTGCGCGCCGCATACGTGTTGGCACGCTCACATACAAACCGCGCTCAGTGCGTTTCTATGAAGATGACCTACTTATTTGTATTTACTCTGCCCTAGTGATTAGTGATGCTTTACCTCTGGGCTTCGGCTTGACACTACTTTTTGGGACATCCTGTATAGATGCCGGGCAAACGCACGCAAATGTACATAAATTACGTCGTCTCGATCGTATGTACCCCGGCAACAATATCATGCAATNCCGGCAACAATATCATGCAATTCTACTCTCATTTCTGTATGGCTCAAAGCTGATATAGCCCGGTCGCCGAGCACGTAGAATTTCGTCCAATGACCCCAAGCTACCCATCCTTATCGTTTGAGCGTAATTATATTGCTGTCGCGACTGTGCGACGGGCGCCGCAGTGTGAGCTTATTTCTGCACCTAAACACAAAGCAATAAAGTTCAAAATAACGTGGCTAAACAAACTAACCTCTTCCTTATGCTCTTTATCGCCAACCAGCGTGACGTCAGGCAGATTAGCTTGCTTCGGTTCACTGGCTTCCATCACTTTGGTGATCTCCTGGGCCACCGGGTCTTCTTCCACCTTGGTCTGTATTGGTTTGGTTTCCACTTGTGTGTGTGTCAGTATTGGCTGCGGTGGTTTGACTTCGGCGGGCTCTGGGAGTTTTTCTACTGGTGCTGGTTCGATTTCAGGTTCGGATTCCTTTTCTTTGGCTAGCCGGTCTTTTTCCTGAAAAATGGATTTGAGAATGAGTATAAATGGTATATTATACTGTCAAAGCAATCATGATTTCGAGTTAGGCCCAGAACAGACGGTGAAACGCAACTGCAACGAAACTGCAACTTTCTGATGATTCTGATGAATGAAACTGAAAGTTTCAAACTGGTCGCGTCATGTGTGGTCTCTCAACGGACGCTATGGCAGAAACTTAGATGCAACTCAAAAGTAACTAGCAGTTGCAGTTTTGTTGCAGTTGCGTTTCACCGTCTGTTCTGGGCCTTAGACGAATAAAATGTCAATAAAACTTTATACATAACTTCAACATATCAAAAAATGTTTTTCTCTAATTGGAAAAAAAACGGAATTTTATTTCATAATAAAATAAACATTTAAAAGTGAACATAGTAGACTTATTTTACCTTTTGCGATAAATCCTTGTCCATTTGTTCCCTTTGCTGTCTTATCCTCTGCACTGACTGTAGGGCTTCCTGAAATGATAAAGAATTCAAATTCAAATTGTGTTTATTGTGAAATCACAGGTACATAAAGTGAGGTCATACATTTTATAATTAGATCAGCTGTGTTCCGCCGCATGGGCATAAATATGTCGTGATTAACCAGTGAGTGGTATTTCGCTTTTATTATAGACTAGCGGCCGCCCGCGACTTCGTACGCGTGGACCCCGTCTTACCCCCTTAGGGGTGGAGTTGCTAAATCCTTTCTTAGCGGATGCCTATGTCATAATATCTACCTGCATGCTAAATTTCAGCCCGATCCGTCCAGTGGTTTGGGCTGTGCGTTGATAGATAGATCACTATGTCAGTCAGTCAGTCAGTCAGTCACCTTACAGGGTGGAATTTTGAAATGCCACCTGGAGGGAAAGTACTCTTAATACTGTAAACAAAATTTTACTGTAAGAAAACATTCCATTATTTTTGAAAAGAAAAAGAACTGCATTCAAAGATTTTCGAAAAATTTTCGAAAATTCACTACCATACCCATACAATTTTCTGTAACATAATGAAAATAATTCAAGATTTCATGGTTTTCCTTTCATTTGATTTATCTAGTATGTTAGAGGGATTTCATCCTTATACTTAACCCTAACGAACGGTGTAATAAAAAATAAAAATACAGGGTGTAATTTTTCTTTGAGAAAAATTTTCTATCTACAATATTAAGAGTACTTTTTTTTGTATTAAAATCTAAATATTTTACATAAAACATGTGTTCGCCTACACTAGCGCGTTATACGTCCGCAGTTTGTGAGGGTGTGTAGTGGCGAATCATACAATTTATGGCACATTCTAGATTTAAGATTCTATGATGATGATGAACCCACCTGTTCCTTCTCCTTAGCCATGTTTTCAAACTTGGCGCGTATAGACGAGGGCTTGGCGCCGCCGATATCGGGCTTCTGCTTGGTGTAGTTGGTGCCGACCTTTTCTACCTCGTCGAAACGGTGAGCCGACTTGTCCACTCGGTCGGTTTCCACGCCGAACTTGCCGCCGAAGCCCTGGGAATATTTGTGTTATTTATTTATGATAAAGGGTACAGAGCTCTTATGCACATCTAAGAGTAGGCGCACAACGTTGATTTTTCGTCGGCCGATAGTTTAGTCGGGCAGTTGATCAGTATGGGCATGTATGGGAGTGCGCACACTACGCCGATTCGATTTCGCCAATTCTTCATACAAATTAAAATCGGGCACAACTATCGGCCAACTAAAAATCAACGGTGTGCGCCTACTCTTAAATGGACTTTCTAAAAAAGGCCTCCTAAGTATGTCCGCAACGATGTGTCCTACACTGCCAGCATTTAGACACTTCTCGCGACTTTTACTGGAGCATCGATAAAAAACTTTGGAAACAATGAGACCAGCTGAAGTGTGTTGTAAACCAATATTTAGCGCCCTCTGTTTACTTATGAGCAACTGTTTGTAAAGCTCCATCTATGGTCCTTTTTCCTTTCTTATTGAACTACCGGAACTCGAGACAAACTAATTCATACAATGAATCATAGATAGCCGTTCATCTGTGCGTGTTGCTTTTTATCGATCGGCCCACATTCGGACATTACAATTTAAGACAAAAGACTATTCAGTGTGAAAATACAAACACCAACAATACCATCTCCAGAGATTTTCTTCCCAACAGTGAGCCTTAGTAATAAGGAAATAAGGTACCTTCTTGTGGTCGACCTGGCTGGCGTGCGCAGGCGTCTTCTCCTGGTGGTCCCAGCCGACGGCGCTCGCATCCTGACGGTCGGTCTGCACGCCGAACTTGCCGCCGAAGCCGATGGCGTAATCTGCACACAAATGACGGACGTTCATACATAAATATCCTTTTGGGGGAGGCCTATGTTCAGCAGTTGACGTCCTGTGGCTGAAATGATGATGAATATTTTACACAGCCTTAGGATCTGACTTGGCTAGATAGGCCAACTTGTCTAGCCAATTGAATTCCTAAGTAAATCAGAAAGGGTTTTCCTATTTGCAGTGGAGAATAAATGGCCTGATGATGGCCCTTGGCCATTTTATACAGCGCCATCGGTGCTTTCCTATATCTTCATCTATTCGCACTGGACTCGTGTGGTGGAATATGTAATGATGGGTGGTACCCACAAAATTCAATGGGACGTTTATGGGCTTACTTTCTAGTTCCAAACTAATCAACACTTATAGGGATACTCAGAAGGAATAGAAACATCAGATAATATAATTATTGTTGTTTCGATAGATAATACGCGGTAGTAGAATTTTATTCGACATTTATTCGGCAACACATAGCACACAGCGCTACCACTTCATTGCGTTCTGTGAAGAGACTAGTCTGGTATGGTGTCAGTATCTCACTCTTCTGCCAGTGGTAGTAGTTCCACGCGTAAGCGTCTTGTCTGTGGTCCCAGCAGGCGGCGCTCTATGAGGACATTAGTCTGTTCAGCTGTTAGGGCGTCCATAAATTACGTGAGACTTTTAGGGGGGGGGAGGGGGTCAATGAAAACCTCACTAAATCTCACTTAGGGGAGAGGGGGGGTCTCGGAAAATATCACGTAATTTTTCCCGCAAGAAATAGAGTAAAACTGCCAGAAAACTGGGTTATTGAAGTAAAAAAAAAAGTTCTTTTATGATGATAATGACAATTTATTCTAAACCGGCTAATCAAATTAAACTAAAAATGCCTCCATCTGCATTTGTGAACACTAAAGATGCAGAATAAATGTCGAAATTAAGAAAATTCGAAATTAAAAAAAAACTTCATCGGCATCGATATTGCGTAAAAAATTGGCCAAGTGCGTGTCGTGCCACGCGCAGTGTAGGCTTCCGTAGTTGTCTGTCATCACCACAATATATTTCAGAAGCAAGCAATTACTTCATCTAAAGTCACTTTTCATATTTTCTTCTAAGGAATTTTTACTGGTTAAGAAATTGTATAATACATCACCAGTGCCAATAGTTTCCAAGCGAAACCTCGGACAGACAGACAGACATATCGAAACTATAAGGGTTCCTTGTCAGGACTACGGAACCCTAAAAAATGACATTACATACGTATGAAAATAATATGTATTCGTAGTTAAAGTAACCAATAGTCAATTTGACAGATGTCAAATGACAAGTGGTTAATAAATAACAAATAAAAATGTTTTTATAACAATGTTTAACTTGACTTTTAGTACATTTTTTAACTATTAGTTTACATTTTATTAATATTTAACCATTAGTAGTATAACCATTAGTTATTTTAACTATGAATCAAAAAACTGGTCCTAGGTTGAAGCAATTGCTTGTCTTACTAAACGACGAGAAGCTACGGAACCCTGCACTGCGCGTGCCACGACACTGGGTTACTGATTTTTTCATATAAATCTAATAGACTCGAAGCATAGACATTACAAAATAGGCATTTTATTAAATATCACGTGAGATTAGGGGGGTGGGGGAGGGGGTCAGGTAAAATCTCACCAAATNCGGATTTGAGAATGAGTATAAATGGTATATTATACTGTCAAAGCAATCATGATTTCGAGTTAGGTCCAAAACAGACGGTGAAACGCAACTGCAACGAAACTGCAACTTTCTGATGATTCTGATGAATGAAACTGAAAGTTTCAAACTGGTCGCGTCATATGTGGTCTCTCAACGGACGCTATGGCAGAAACTTAGATGTAACTCAAAAGTAACTAGCAGTTGCAGTTTCGTTGCAGTTGCGTTTCACCGTCTGTTCTGGGCCTTAGACAAATAAAATGTCAATAAAACTTTCAACATATCAAAAAACGTTTTTCTCTAATTGTAAAAAAAAGCGGAATTGTATTTTTTAAATAAAATAAATGTTTAAAAGTGAACATAGTAGACTTTTACCTTTTGTGATAAATCCTTGTCCATTTGTTCCCTTTGCTGTCTTATCCTCTGCACTGACTGTAGGGCTTCCTGAAATGATAAATAATTCAAATCGTGTTTATTGTGAAATCACAGGTACATAAGTGAGGTCATAAGTTTTATAATTAGATCAGCTGTATTCCGCCGCATGGGCATAAATATGTCGTGATTAACCAGTGAGTGGTATTTCGCTTTTATTATAGACTAGCGGCCGCCCGCGACTTCGTACGCGTGGACCCCGTCTTACCCCCTTAGGGGTGGAGTTGCTAAATCCTTTCTTAGCGGATGCCTATGTCATAATATCTACCTGCAAGCTAAATTTCAGCCCGATCCGTCCAGTGGTTTGGGCTGTGCGTTGATAGATAGATCACTATGTCAGTCAGTCACCTTACAGGGTGGAATTTTGAAATGCCACCTGGAGGGAAAGTACTCTTAATACTGTAAACAAAATTTTACTGTAAGAAAACATTCCATTATTTTTGAAAAGAAAAAGAACTGCATTCAAAGATTTTCGAAAAATTTTCGAAAATTCACTACCATACCCATACAATTTTCTGTAACATAATTAAAATAATTCAAGATTTCATGGTTTTCCTTTCATTTGATTTATCTAGTATGTTAGAGGGATTTCATCCTTATACTTAACCCTAACGATCGGTGTAATAAAAAATAAAAATACAGGGTGTAATTTTTCTTTGAGAAAAATTTTGTATCTACAATATTAAGAGTACTTTTTTTTGTATTAAAATCTAAATATTTTACATAAAACATGTGTTCGCCTACACTAGCGCGTTATACGTCCGCAGTTTGTGAGGGTGTGTAGTGGCGAATCATACAATTTATGGCACATTCTAGATTTAAGATTCTATGATGATGATGAACCCACCTGTTCCTTCTCCTTGGCCATGTTTTCAAACTTGGCGCGAATAGACGAGGGCTTGGCGCCGCCGATATCGGGCTTCTGCTTGGTGTAGTTGGTGCCGACCTTTTCTACCTCGTCGAAACGGTGAGCCGACTTGTCCACTCGGTCGGTTTCCACGCCGAACTTGCCGCCGAAGCCCTAGAGATATCTTTTGTTATTTATTTTTATTTTAGGTTATTTAGGCACTTATGTACATCTCAAATGGAGGTTGCCCGAACATTAATTGTCTCTGCTGAACTACATGAAACATTTAACTGAGTTTTTGAATCAAGTGTAGTTCGTATTGTGATTTTACACTACAGTACATTTATAATTTACAATCATGAAGAGGAATAGACAGTTTGACACCATACCCCAATAATTCGAAACCACAACTGTTTTAAAAAGACCCTTCATTCTGGTCTTAAAAACTTAATTCATTTTAAATTACCTGTAAATTACGATTTTTGTTCGCATTGTAATTGAAAAAAGTAGTTTGATTGAGTTGACAAAATAGTGACGTCACTTGCTTGTAATGCCATACAAAATCTATGGGAGAGTTTCGTTTTACGGGTAAAGAAACTTTATTCTCATAAGAATTACTTCACTTACATGAGAACTTAGAACTAAAAAAATATATATTTATTAAAATAAACGTTTTACAAATACGCGAGCGTGCTAAACTAAGTTAGTGTGGATGGGTAGTTTGGTATCATTAAACAAGACGACACACGGCACTGTCAATACGAGCGATCGAGCTACAGTGAAGCGAAACAAAAGGAACGGGTTTTGGCCGTTACACGGATAAGCGCAGCTAGAAGCGTCTCGCAAGTTATAATGATAAATCATTGTGATTTGTTTGCGTCTGGATGATTAAGTAAATAGGCTTTAAGTTTTCTTTTGAATGCGTCCGTACTCTTTACGACTTTAATATTATTTGGTAATTTGTTATACATTTGGGCACTTTCAAAAGTAATGTTCTTTTTTCCAAAGTTAGTTCGTGGCGAGCGCAGTATTATTTTGTTTGGGTTCCTTAAACGTTTAGCTGGGGATATTCATTATTAGTTTGGAATATAATATTTTTGTATCCATATATAGTTTTGCTGTTGCCGTCAGGTAGTCATATTGGAATAGTGTTTTTATTAATTTATTTTGTGATGTTTGTATAAGTTTAAGGTTAGATTTGGCCGCAGACCCCTAAATTTCAATCAAATAGTCAATGTGAGGCTTCGCCGTTGTATTATATATGTCGTATCGTATACTATGTGGTAAACATCGAACTATGGCGCGAAGGGCACCGGTCAAGGATAATAATTTGGCCCTTATTTTTCGAATGTGAGGCTCCCATGTGAGATGATTATCTAAAATTAGTCCTAAATATTTTTCAGTATTTGTTTTGCTTATTGTTATATTATTGATCATTAATGGTTGAAAGTTTGGGATTTTTTTGTTTTTAGCGGTAAATATTACAAAGTGGGTTTTTGCTACGTTAAGGGTTAAAAGATTGCATTTGCATTTGATTGTTTTGACAGTTTTAAAAAGTACGTCAATTGAGTGGTGGTGTCAACATATCTATTCGAAATATAAATCGACTTCCCTCCGTTTCAAAGCGGAGACAGACATGACTGCTTAATAAACCTTCATTCTTTTCAACCAAATGTCACTTCTGTGCAAAGGCCTCAGAAAGTTTCCCAAATGACCGGTCCTACGCTGCCTGAATCCTGGCGCTTCCCGTAAATTTCACTAGATAAGTAGTACCTTAGTAAGCATGTAATAGGTTAAGCTGATATGAACCTTAGTTAGATGTAATAAGGTACCTTCTTGTGGTCGACCTGGCTGGCGTCAACTGGCGTGCACAGACGTCTTTGTCTAATGTCCCAATAGACAGATGACTGGCAAGGTGATATGAACCTTAGTGAGTACGTAATAAGGTACCTTCTTGTGGTCGACCTGGCTGGCGTGCGCAGGCTTCTTGTCCTGATGTTCCCAAGAGACAAGCAAGCTGATATGAACCTTAGTGAGTACACAATAAGGTACCTTCTTGTGGTCGACCTGGCTGGCGTGCCCTGGCTTCTTGTCCTGATGTTCCTAAGAGACTAGCAAGCTGATATGAACCTTAGTGAGTACACAATAAGGTACCTTCTTCACTGATGGCTTCACAGCTGACATCTGCAGTCGAGCGATCGCCCAGGATCTGGACGCATTCCTTGCCCTGGCCAACAAGTGCCTCACATTGGGGTGCTTCCCGGACACATGGAAGGAGGCCACGGTGGTGGTATTAAGAAAACCGGGCAAGGAAGACTACACGAACCCCAAAGCATACAGACCGATAGGTCTACTGCCAGTTTTGGGGAAGATCCTGGAGAAGATGATAGTAGCAAGGATGAAGTGGCACCTAGTACCGAGGATTAGTACTCGCCAGTACGGATTCATGCCCCAGAGGAGCACCGAGGACGCCCTCTATACTCTAGTGAACCATATTCAGGGTAAGATTAAGCTGAAGAAGCTGGTAACCCTAGTCTCACTGGATATAGAGGGGGCCTTCGATAGCGCGTGGTGGCCAGCAATCAGAGTCCGTCTGGCTGAGGAAAAGTGTCCGGTCAACGCTGGCGTCCTGGCGGTCTGTGACGACACTATGACGTCACTAGTCTGCTGTGACGTCAGCGACCTACCCTTCTGCGAGTGGTGGTGGTGCGCGTCTTCCCTGTGGTCCCAGCCGAGCGCACTCGCGTCCTGGCGGTCTGTGACGACACTATGACGTCACTAGTCTGATGCTGTCTCTGTCTTACCCTATTGCGAGGAGTGCTCTCTAGACGCCGACACCCTTTGAAGACACTAAACTGCTATGCTGTCAGTGTCTCACTCTGATGCTGCGCGTCCTCCTTATCGTCCCAGCTTGCTCTGTGATAACCCTAGTAGCTTAGGACGCTGCGGCACTCTGGGATAAACCTAGTACCTATGTTGTACTGCGCGTCCAATAGATGCTTCCAGTCAGCGCGTCGGCTTATTGACGACACTAGTCAGACGCTGTTCGTATCCTCCCTTCTTGGCGATTATGTACTTCTTTAGCTAGCAGCGCTCTGTGACGACACTAGATTGTGATAACATTAATATCTCACGATGCTGGGCGCTGTGACGACCCTAGTCCGCTGTGGTGCCTGTCTGCTTACCCTTCTGTAAGGAACTCTAGCTGATGGCACTCTATGACGTCACTAAACTAATGTGGTATGTAACCTACCCTTCTGCGAATGGTGGTGGTGCGCGTCTTCCCTGTGGTCCCAGCCGAGCGCACTCGCGTCCTGGCGGTCGGCCTGCACGCCGAACTTGCCGCCGAAGCCCGCGGCGTAGTCCTTTTGAGAGGAGTGCTTCTCTATTTGCTCGCGATGCTCCCAACCGGCGGCNCCTTCTTGTGGTCGACCTGGCTGGCGTCACTGGCGTGCACAGACGTCTTTGTCTAATGTCCCAATAGACAGATGACTAGCAAGCTGAAATGAACCTTAATGAGTACACAATAAGGTACCTTCTTGTGGTCGACCTGGCTGGCGTGCGCGGGCGTCTTCTCCTGGTGGTCCCAGCCAACGGCGCTGGCGTCCTGGCGGTCGGTCTGCACGCCGAACTTGCCGCCGAAGCCGATGGCGTAATCTGCACACAAATGGCGGACGTTAATACATAAATATCCTTTGCGGGAGGCCTATGTTCAGCAGTTGACGTCCTGTGGCTGAAATGATGATGAATATTTTACACAGCCTTAGGATCTGACTTGGCTAGATAGGCCAACTTGTCTAGCCAATTGAATTCCTAAGTAAATCAGAAAGGGTTTTCCTATTTGCAGTGGAGAATAAATGGCCTGATGATGGCCCTTGGCCATTTTATACAGCGCCATCGGTGCTTTACTATATCTTCATCTATTCGCACTGGACTCGTGTGGTGGAATATGTAATGAAGGGTGGTACCCACAAAATTCAATGGGACGTTTATGGGCTCACTTTCTAGTTCCAAACTAATCAACACTTATAGGGATACTCAGAAGGAATAGAAACATCAGATAATATAATTATTGTTGTTTCGATAGATAATACGCGGTAGTCGAATTTTATTCGACATTTATTCGGCAACACATAGCACACAGCGCTACCACTTCATTGCGTTCTGTGAAGAGACTAGTCTGGTATGGTGTCAGTATCTCACTCTTCTGCCAGTGGTAGTAGTTCCACACGTAAGCGTCTTATCTGTGGTCCCGCAGGCGGCGCTCTATGACGACATTAGGCTGTTCAGCTGTTACTGCTTGTATCATTTCGCAAGGAGTGTCATCCTAACTGGCGGCGCGACGCTCTATGACGTCACTAGAATGCTGTAGTAACAATATCCTTACCCTTCTGCGAGTGGTGGTGGTGCGCGTCTTCTCTGTGGTCCCAGCCGAGCGCGCTGGCGTCCTGGCGGTCTGTGACGACACTATGACGTCACTAGTCTGCTGTGACGTCAGCGACCTACCCTTCTGTGAGGAGTGCCTCTCTAGCCGGTGAAACCCTTTGATTGAAGACACTAATCTGCTATGATGTTAGTGTCTGACTCTTTTGCCAGTAGTGATACTGCACGTCCACTGTATGACGACACTAGTCTGTTGTGGTCTCTAGCTCACCCTGTGATATAATCCTAGTAGCCTAAGACGTTGTGGCGCTCTGTGATATGTGACCTAGAAGAACGCTATGGTATTAGTATCTCACCCTTCTGCCGGCGAAAGTCTGTAAAGACACTAGACTAGACTACTACTACTAGACTAGACTACTGTGATGTCAGTATCTCACTCTTCTGCGAGTAGTGGTATTGCGCGTCCTAAGATGCTTCCAGTCAGCGTGTCGACTTTTTGACGACACTAGCCTGACACTATCTGTATATTCCCTTCTGTGAGGAGTACTTCTCTAGCCGGCGACATTCTGTGAAGACACTAATCTGCTGTGCTGTCAGTCTCTCACCCTTTTTGCGAGTTGAGGAGATGCAGGTCATACCAATGAGGGATCCCAGCGGCGCTCTGTGACGACACTAGTTTGTTGCTGCCTGTATCTTTTCGCGAGGAGTGTCACCCTAACTGGTGGCGGGACGCTGTGACGTCACTAGTCTCCTGCAGTGCCTATAACCTACCCTTCTGCGAGTGGTGGTGGTGCGCGTCTTCCCTGTGGTCCCAGCCGAGCGCACTCGCGTCCTGGCGGTCGGCCTGCACGCCGAACTTGCCGCCGAAGCCCGCGGCGTAGTCCTTTTGAGAGGAGTGCTTCTCTATTTGCTCTCGATGCTCCCAGCCGGCGGCGCTCTGTGGCAAAAACCATAAATAAATGTAGGTCCCTTACTATTGTTAATTGTGAACAATCTAAACGTTAAAATATCAGTATCGTTTATAGCCAATGAGCTGCTGTCAAACTGACATTGACGTAAGTAATGTCAATGTCACTCTAGAAACGTCAGTTTATGCTAAGTGATGAATTGCATTTAAAATGAGGCAATATAATGTGAAAATCCAGTGTTTTATTTATGAGAATAGATCTACCGACCGTTAAAACTATGGACCTCGTAAGAAGGTCGCCAAAAGGGCAATGGAGCGTGCTATGAGTTTCCCTGCATTAACGTAGAATTAATAGCCGTTAGGGCAGAAAAGTCATCGTTTGGAGAATACGGGCAACTTGGTGTAGGCAGGTCACCTACTCAACGGACTGACGATCAAGTGAAGGTCGCGGAAAACAACTGGACATCTTTGTAGACCTTTGCCTAGCAAGTGGAAGATGGAAGTCAACCAAAAGTTGAAACGAATACCAGTAGCATTGCAAAGTTAGGTTCTTTTTGGGACTTACCTCACGATCCATAACGGTAGTACTCATCATTGAACAGTCATAGCTTAAAGGGATGAAAAGACAATTGAAGCCATATTAACGTCTTCTGATCACCACAAAAAACACTTATTCACGCGATTGATGCAAACGCGACTGATGAACTCATTTTACACAGCAGCGATGGCCACAGCATGCGGTATCGGTGTTCGGTTTCACCGCATAATAATATAGTTACTGCGCTACAACATTGTAACGTATGCTAGCTACAACGTCCCATTTTCGCCAAGTTTACACAATTATTTTTTCTTGGCTTTGTAGCCTTGGCTACCTAGCTACACGTAGTCGTGCCCCACGGCCGACGCGTCCATGAGGTCAGTTTGCACGCCGAACTCGACCTTACGACCTAAGACACAAGGCTCACAACAGCGCACCTTATGGACACAGACTATCTGCACCTACTAAACTCAACCTTATGGCCTAAGACACAAGGTCCACAGCTCAACTTGTCAACGCGGTCAGCGCCCTTTGTGAACGAAGACAGTCTGCACCTACTAAACTCAACCTTAAGACCTAGGACACAAGGTTCACATCTCACCTTGTCAACGCGGTCAGTCTGCACGCCGTACTTGCCACCGAAGCCGCGCGAGTAGTCCGTCTGCGACTTGTGCTTGTCCACGGTACCCACGTAGTCGTGCCCCACGGCAGATGCATCCATTCGGTCAGTTTGCACGCCGAACTCGACCTTATGACCTAAAACACAAGGTTCACAGCTCACCTTGTCAACTCGGTCAGTCTGCACGCCGTACTTGCCGCCGAAGCCGCGCGAGTAGTCCGTCTGCGACTCGTGCTTGTCCACGGTTCCCACGTAGTCATGCCCCACGGCAGATGCATCCATTCGGTCAGTTTGCACGCCGAATTTGCCGCCAAAACCTGACACAATGCAAAATTAAATTATCATCATCATTTTTTAAATAACTTGAAAAAATCGAACTGCTTAAGGCGGGAATCGAGCCCACGACCTTTCGCTTGCCGGGCGATAGCTCTTCCAACTGAGCTACTTAGACACTGGATGAACCCGTCGAAATTTTCAAGTGTAATACGCTGATATGGTCGCGTTTTATTTCATCAATATGGGGTAGTAGACTCTAATCGCTAAGAAATTTTTCATCATCAACTGCAGGTTGCCTCCTGTCAAATTAAAAAAAGGGTCATTTAAGCCAGTTTTCACCATCAATCCCTATTTTTTAAGTGTCCCCTATGGTAACACATAACAGGAATTCTGTTTTCATAGGAGTAACTTAAAAATTAGGGATTGATGGTGAAAACGGGCATTAGTCTCCACTACACTCTCAATGCTGACCAGACTGTAACACCCGTATTCATAAATATTACTGCTATGAGGTCTCACAGTGCGCGTGGACACACAGGGTGACACATGAACCAATCACAGAGCTCTATTCAACGCTGTGCGTTCGATATGCTGAATAAAGGTATTCTATTCTATTCTATATGTCCAATCGATCAACGTGAAAAGCATTAGGGGAGGCCTATGTTCAGCAGTGGACGTCCTATGGCTGAAATGATGGTGATGATGATGATTCATAAACAATACTATGAGGTCTCACAGTGCGCGTAGACGCACAGGATGACACACAAACCAATCACAGAGCTCTATTCAACGCTGTGCGTTCGATATGCTGCTTCACTTAAGCAAGCATCGTTTGTGAATACGGGCGTAAGCACCAAAAGTCCTACTAACCCCTCGCTAAACTATACTTTTGCTAAGGGTAAGTTTACCAGCCCAGCGGTGGTGGAATTCGAACCAGCGTTACTCGGATCCGGGGCCAGTCCAACAGCTTCACCGTTGGGCTATAGTAGCTTACATTGAGCTCCAATATTAGAATAGTGTGAAAAGCCAGCAAAACGGAGTTAACTTACTCTAAGGAGAAAAACATTATTTCTGTTTTAAATGTACATTTCTGCAAATTATCACTTCAGTAGTGCTAATGATATAGTGCAAGTAATGTCTCATTGTTAAATACTGGAATCATTAGCTTAGAAAGTGGGTGCTAAAACTAAAACAAATACAGAAAACAATATGCGCTTTCGTTTGCAATAAAGTAATAGAAATCACATTTCTTTTCATTCGATTGGTATTTATAACTAGCATGCAATAATATCTGTATTTCTGTACATGGAAGAAGGCACATCAAACTTAACCCTGTAGCACTTTAATCCTTTGTAATAGGTGCGAGTTTTCAACTAATATTGAGTCAGTTGACAGCAGATTAACATAAAACAAAAACGCTAATTATTCGCTATGAATATTGAACTTTATACCTTTATAATAAGGTCTACAATCATTTGAAAGTTTTATCATCACTGTAATAATTTGTTGATGAGCTTGGTACCATAATAACATCCGTATTCACAAACGATCAATGCTTAAGTGAAGCAGCAATCGAACGCACAGCGTTGAATAGAGCTCTGTGCTTGGTTAGTGTGTGACCCTGTGCGTCCACGTGCACTGTGAGACCTCATAGTAATGTTTGTGAATACGGGCGTTAAACCCAAAATATGCACAATACCTTGAGCATAATCTTTTTGGGAGACGTGTTTCTCAGTTTTGCCGACGTAGTCGTGGCCCACAGCCGATTTGTCCATACGATCGGCTTGTACCCCGAACTTTCCTCCATAGCTAAAACAAAAAACATTTCAGTTATAAACATTTGCATTCATAATAAGGAAAACATAATGTAACACCTTTAAATCTAAATTCAAATTGTTTTTATTGTGAAATCACAGAGTTAAAATGTAAACAAAGAAAAAAAAATTTACACCCTTCATAAATAGTTGTGTTGAATTTTTCTTTCACTAAATTCCCATTGGTTTATGAACTGGTTGGTTTAGTAAGTTTTCTGAAGGTAGCTCTTTTATTATTTCCGAAATTACCTCCAGAGTCGCTCGATGCGTCTGACATGGCTCAATAACGTGTTGACTCACAAACTGTCCACTTTTACCCGCGTGCGTAATATTTTTTTCGCGTGAAGAATAACAAAAATCCATACATTCTCTCTCGCAAACTTTCGCGCGCGAAACGATACACACAATTTTCAACCCAACTGTATTCAGAATAATGTTAATTCTTTGATACAAACTTACCCAAAAGAAGGCTTCGGTCCTTTCTCATACTGCTTCTGTTTCTCCATTTTATCGGCTTCAAAAACTTCTTCTCTAAGCTTCGCCATGCTGCAGAAAAATCATATTATGTGAATTCCGTCAGTTTATAATATAACGCGTAATATTATAAACCAAGAGTGGGTTAGGTTAGACTGTAATCTAACTACGTCAGATTATAATCTGACGGAATTCACAATTTTACGATGACATGTAGTATACAGCATAATGTTTTGTAAATTACATGAATCACCGAGCCCACACGTTTCCTCCTTGTCTGGTGTTTATAAATAACCGAGTGATTGACCCCACGAGCTTCCCTAAACTGTTTATTGAATTAAGTTCGTGACCATAACAAGTAATAAACTTAAAAATTTTGGATGATGTTCCTTAATGATAAATCTCTCTAGGTTTACTCTGTATTGCATGTGGCACAGTAGCAGTAGTTTGATTTTTGTTGGAGGTCTTTTATATTTATTTATACGGTCAGCCAATTAATAAATAATAAACAAAGTATAAATTCAAATAATAATTTTTCAATATTACAAAAATAACTTGATAAAAGGAGTGAAGTGCTTATCTACACCTAATTATAGTCTTTTTCACGTAAGATGATCCGTATGACACTTCAAGGTTATCCATATTACGCATACTACATATGCAGAATATTTTTGAAAAAATATTTGTATTTTATTAGCAATATAATAAAAAAAAATAACTACCTTGTCTTGAAATATATAGTAAAATCTGAGTCTATTGATTATATTTTAATTAAATACGATGTAAAAATATCATTTATTTCATGTACTAAATGTGTGAAACGGAATAGATTTAGTGCTGGGGTATTTCTTGTATAATAAAATCGATTGTATCCGCGGTTCATTAATCGATTGCAGTGAATACTTAGTTATTAAAAACATCACAAAAGTCAATTATATTTTTCGATTATTTACTTTAATAAACGCATTAAAAATAAATTAATGGTTTTTAATTTAAAGAAACAGAACCAGTACTTTTTAGGAATCGTTTTTTTGAACATGAACCATGAAATTTGAATATTATCAACAAAAAATTGTTACAATAATATTTGTAAATGTAAAAAACATGTTTTTTGTTAAATATCACCTATACAAAATATTTCTCTAAAAGTAGGTTTTACTAACTCTTCGAAAAAAATCGATAGATAAATCGCTATGGTTTAGTTATGTGACATCTCTAAATCTTTCAAACTCGAAACGTCATACGGATCATCTTACTTAGGTGAAAAAGACTATAAATTAAGTGGTCACCTGTGACACCTGTGATGATCTAATAAGTAATTAGTTCATTTTACTGTTTTGTGGCGTAAATAGTTGAATGCTTATGTATTGAAACATATGTATTCAGTTTACTGGCCAATCAATGGAAAATACAAGTAAACGGGACTATTCCCACCTCTCGTTCCCACCACTGCAACTCCTGTGTAGCCAGGATCTACAGCTTGACCGCCACAAAAACCCAACCAATGAAGGTCAAGTTTGTCCCGGGGGAAAGTTAAACTGTCATTGGACCCACAACGAAATTAATCAGAAGAACATAGGAGGAGTTCGAAATTAAGGTTCGACTTCCCTCCATCGCAAAGTGGATGACAGGTGACAAACAAAGATTTAAAATAAGTAAGGCTTTAATCATCAACAGCCCTTTACAGTCCACTACTGGATTATGAGCCTCCTCCACTATAGTGGAGGGTTTTTTTATAATCCCCACGCCTGGCAGGCGGGTTGGAGATCGCAGTTTAAAAGATTGATGTTTTTCAGAGAGCGCTGCTGCCCGTTCTCTGTTTGATGTGTAGTCCCTAAGTCGCCTCTTACGACACCCGCGGGAAGAGTAGGGGTTGGTGACAAATGTATTCTACTCTGCCGTCACCACACGGCACGGCACAAGTAAGGCTTTAATAGTCTCTAAATAAATTGAAATAACACAAATATGACTATTACTTACTCAATAGCTTCAACGTTCCGTCCCCCAGGGCCCCATCGTTGCTCGTGCTCGGTGACATCGTTCACGAAGTCTGGATCGGTCTCCCAATCGTCAGCCTCGGCTAGCGCTGGGGCAGCCACATCCGTTGCTGCTTTCCACATCTACACCATAACACAATTTCATTCATATTTTTAAATAACATTATGAATAACTAGCTTTTGCCCGCGGCTTCACCCGCGTGAAATTTAGTTTGTCACATATCGTCATAAATTATAGCCTATAAGTTATTCTGGGTTATAAATAATAATACTGTAAAGTTTCATCAAAATCCGTTCAGTAGTTTTTGTGTGAAAGAGTAACAAACATCCAGACATCCACACAAACTTTCGCATTTATAATATTAGTAGGATATAAACTTATTTAGCAAGCTCAAATCTATACTAATATTATAAATGCGAAAGTAACTCAGTCTGTCTTGCTTTCACGCCTAAACCACTGAACCGATTTTGATGCAATTTGGTATAGAGATAGTTTGGGTCCCGTTTTTCTGTGACATACAAAATTCCACACGGGCAAAGCCGTGGGCAGAAAGCTAGTGTTCTAATAAGAAAATGTCTAATGATGATGTTTGTTTGTGTAACTATTTTAAATACATAAGATTTGGAATCTTTTAAGTGGGTTATTTAGTAGCCTGCTTTTTCAGCAACAGAAACATTCTCATGTAATTGCTACAAGCTCTTTATTAGCATTATTAGGTAATACATTTCATTATTACAAAGATTTTCTAATGTTCACTGGAAAGCTGACTCATCTTTTCTTATTCATTCAACTAAGTAGAAACATATTATGTGTGTTGCATTTAGGCAATCCAATACATAAATGACAAAGCTTGTTGTCTGTTTTATTGATGAAAATCAGTAGCTTGAAATTTATAAGTATCTACATACTCTTTAATTTGAAATAAAGATATATTATGCCACGAGATAATAAAAAGTATTTTAGTAAATTTAGTAGTCATCAGCAAATCAAAAATAACTCACAGAGAAGAGTGTCATGTTCTAACAGAGATGGAATGTTATTATTGCACGACTGTTATCTAAAATACAAACGAATTATCAAGTACACACTCCTAAATATTTATCAACACGATTGTAACTCAATGAAATTAAATTAACCTACCATTTTCGCAAATATTGTGCTGATAACAGGTGATATCACTACACTATCGCGTAAGAACTGTCGTGACTAAAATTATCTTGACTTATTAGACACTTCTAATGATCAGCGCGGGTTCGCCAGCCCAATCAATTTCTAAACAATCCATTTCGAGCAACTCTCTCCTTTTTTGTTTACATTAATATTCGTGAACAATCACCCGTGAGAGCAGCTGAATCACACTTTTTTGTAAACAACCATATACCTGTAAGTTTATATTGCCGTAATTTATAGGAAAATTCAGTAAAATAAACCACTGTACCTTGAAATCTACTGCCGGTTGAGCTCACACGTAGTCAAATCACTCTCACGATAGAAATCTAACACATCAATGTATCAAATCACGTTTATATTGTAAAAATATTAGTTCAAAAGCAAGTTTCGTCTAAATATTGCCAATAATAACCGAGAAATTCATACAATTTTGCAAATAAAATTAGTAGGGCGACCACAGGGCGACCCTCCTCGATGCGTCACTTGCTCAGAATGACATTGACATTAATGACATTTTACATCTTTGACTTTGACATAAGATTGTTCTCTATACGCAGATTTTGGTTTAACAAATAAATTGTAAAAAAATGATATTTTTGCTATACTCCTACTAAAAACTCAATACAAAACAAAGTAAAAATACTTGATAGTTGTACGGCCACAGTGTTAACTATCCATTTCCGTTTTTGATCTCGCTCTCACCAAATGGTGATTCTTGCGATAGAACGAGACATGACCGGCAATGGGCAGTTAACACATAGAGGTTCAGAGGAATTTAATTCCTCTATGAGTTAACACCATGTTATAATAACACTGTGTTGCCGAAAATACAAAATTTTATGTAGAAATCACAAACCTACTGACACTGTAAACAGAATTGGAATTCATCGGGGATTCTAAAAAAGTGTTTTTAATTAATTAATGCTGCAGTCACCGTGGGAATTTAGGAATTTATTTAATATTCGAAATTCGAAAAATGAAACACATAATTATGAAGAAGTTTTTATTTTTAATAAAATTACAAACAAGGCCCTATGGATTATAATGTTTTACTAAACGTAAAAATGAGAAACGCGCTTGAATTATTCAGGTATGTTATATGAATTTTCTCATTATTAATTTTGCTCGTGTTATTCCTCATTTTTAAATTTTATAATAACGCAATCTGAAAGTTTTAAAGTAAATAATTAACTTTTAAATCACACATGCACATAATTTTGTATGTACCTAATAGTAATAATAAAACATTAATAATAGTACCTACTTCGTTAAATAATATTTTAAGTGACTTGTGATGTGCAATTTTAGAGAAGTACCTACCTACCATTGTAGGTAATCAATAATGAACTCAATAGCTTCAATAAAATCATGAAAAAAACACAGACGTTTAGTTAGTTACACACCGAAACTAAAGAAGTTAGTAAAAATATTATAACGAATAATACCTACAAAAGATTTTTGTTTTTTTTTTTTATGTTTTTTAATACATTGCATTACCTACCTACCTATTTAATGATATTTTATTACCTGCTATCACATTGAGCTTATTCATCTAAATGATTACTTAATTTTAAGTGGCAGATGTTTAATAATAATCTACTTAGAATAACTAATAATAATTGTATATTTGTATCTAGTAACTGAATTCATTTTACCAATATATTTTCCTTAGTTTAAATGGGAGTGCAATTAAAAATGGATTTGGCTTACTGTCAAACTGGATTTTGGATCTTGAATGCACAAACGGTAGTCAATGATCATGGAAAATACACAATCTATCATCCCCTTCATGATAAAAAGTTTCTCATATCGAACAACTAGTAATGCATTTCCATACTAAACCGTCATACAATAATTATTTAATTTACCTATATGCCGACAACGAAATTGAAGGAACCTATAAAATGCATGCTATTATTTGATTTCACATTTAAATTAAATAACTTAACTTATTTATTTCATATTGTCAGCCTCTCCGTAGCTCTAACATGGCTTTCAGTGCATAAAAAATACCTATTATGTTGATACTTATTTGAAAAGATGGTTCTTGAAAAAATAGAACAGTAAAAACTATTGTTTTAAAAATTACTCATTTGATGAGTTGATAGGAACAAAATATTGATCTGTAGGCCTAAGATGCGCGCCGCGATAAGCGGTTATCACGCCATTTTATCGATTTTGCCCATACATTTTGACGTCGATAAAACTTATCATGGCGCGCATCTTAGACCTACTGGTTGTATAAAAATATTTGATCTAGAATTTTGATTTAAAACAACTATCAACAAAAACAGAATTCTTAGACATTAAAATTCAGGATCCGGCGCATCGATGGCATATCCAAACTTCTGCAAAGCGGTTTTGATTTCACCAAATACTGTTGGGTCTTCAATAGTCGCGGGCAACTTCACTAGTTGCGACCGTGCAAGCTTCGCAATAGCACCTCTTAGGGCTTTGCCAGATCTGGTACGTGGGAGGGCTGGTACGGCTACAGCTTTTCTGAATGCTGCTATAGGTCCGATGAGATGACGAACCAGAGCGATCAGTTCTTGGGTGACAGTGATTTCAGCAACGATTTCTTCATCTGCAAATAGTTATTGAAAGTTGTGAAAAGTTGCAAAAACATAAAATGTTTTTCTTAAGTTGGAACGTGAGAGTGAGTGTACACTAAATCCTCTATTTTGCCTCTGTAAATTAGTGAGGGTCATCCACTTGCAGAGTCCTAAGTGACCTGTTTATGATGATGATGATGAAGAATAAAAGATACTCACCATCTTGAGGTGGTCTCATGACGTACAAACACAGCGGCACATCTCCTTTAGTAGGGTCTGGGGCCCCGACCACAACAGCATCGGCAACTCTGGCGTGCTTCAATACTACGTCTTCCAGCGCCGCTGTTGAAAGACGGTGGCCGGCGACATTTATGACGTCATCTGCTCTGGCCACCACCCACACTGCTCCTTCAGCGCTTATCCAGCCGGCATCCTGAGTGTCGTAGTATCCCTAGAAAGTAGGAGAAATACACATTAGCTTTTCAATGTGACAAACAACAGTTTACGTGTAGACTATTTTTAGCAACAATTTGGTTTTGACGCATTATTACTGTTGTTGTTCATCAATCATTAACTTAATTAATTTATGCTCATGAACATAAACTGATATTAACACAAAAGCAAAACTTACAGGATAGGATTCGAAGTAAGTTTTTTTGAAGCGTTCGTCAGCTTGCCACAATGTAGAAGCAAAGCCAGGTGGAAGTGGAAGCTTGGCGACTAGTCTGCCTACTTCGCCAGTCTGACATTCTATGCCATCTTCTCGTAACGTACGAACTGAAACAAATAAAAATAATACCATTTAGGTGAAAGTAACAGTTTCATTTATTAATTTTATAGCAAGGTATCAAAATGATAATGGTATGAAACCATCAGATTGAATCTCTTACTATCATATCCAGGAACAGGATATCCTGCAGAGTGAGGCGGCACTGCTTTGACGCCATATCCCAAGCATGCAGCGGTGATGGCGGAACCAGTCTCCGTTTGCCACCAGTGGTTCAATACAGGAACTCCAAATACGCGTTCAGCCCATTGCTGAAATCATTAAAACTATTGTTTTTACAGTGCCTGTGTCACATGGATAGAAAAATTCCACTCCGTACTCTACAAGACAGTCATTTTTTTTTAAATATCTCGACGTTGGAATGTAGTCTGTTACCATCCAGTGAATTCCAATGTGTATAGAAAACAGTTTAAGTTAATACAGTAATCGTATTTAATGTCCCATTTTCATTACTGAAAATGGGAGCAGCTAACTCAATTCTTTTCTACAAACCGCAAAATACATGTAAATTGTAACAGTCAGTTTGTTTTTCCTACTATTTATAGTGTACCTACTATACCGTTTAATTTACTGTTTAAACAATGCCACAGGGCAGAGATCAGAATCGTGGCGTTGAATTTAATCTACATAACGTTAAAACATGCTGTCAATATGTGAATAGGGACAATAACCTTCCAATTAAATACATGTTTACTGTTAACCTAAATATTTTTATTATTTTATTATATTTAAAGGCATTAATCTGTTCTATTGTGTAATATTCATTAAATATAAAATAATTAACTAAGTTTCTTCTTGGTCTTTCACCATGCGTTGCATAGCGCTTATCAAAATGTAAAGCATTATTCCATTGACCTTAGCTATTTACAATACAGTCGACTGCTACATTACATTGTTTACGTATTGATATATTCCGGTTTATTTCGATTTATTTAATTAAACACAATTAGGCACAGACACCTACCTACTTTAACGCTTATGATAGAACTTGATGAAAAACAAAATTAATACTTTTACTCACTCTAGTATCTTGGTCGCAATGTTCACCAGCCATAAATACAGTCTTCAAAGAATTTCCACAGTAACGTCTGGCGTATTTAGCTGATGGATCTGCACGTTTCAGAACTCGGAAAGCAGTAGGTATAGTGAAAAGAGCATTCACTCTATGCTGCTCTATTATTCTGTGGAGAAATCGCAGAATAAGTAAGTACCTACCTATACTAATAAAAAACAAGAATTTTAATCCATTTAGATTAGGTTAAGTAAAAAATAATACTGAGGGCTTAATACTAAATCGAAAGTAATTTGTTGCACCTACCTAAAATATTGTCCTGGGTCCGGAGTCCTGTCCGGTTTGCCCTCATAAAGTACTGATGTTAACCCAGCCAACAACGGTCCGTAACAGATGTAAGAGTGACCGACCACCCATCCCAGGTCTGATGCAGACCACCACACGCCTTTCTTGAGGCCGTATACTGCATGCATTGACCAGCACAAGGTGGCAGCATGACCGCACGGACGTTGAACGCCCTTCGGTGCATCAGTAGTACCTGTTAATAAGCCATATTTATTTAATCTGCAAGACCAAAAACTATGCTATCAGTAAATAGAACATCACTTAACTGTGGGAGAATTAATTTTTATTTTAAGCAAATACTTGCTGAAACCAAGCATTAGGACGACTATCTATAATCTTCCAAAGTGGGTGTCCAAGTAAAAATATGGGTAAGAATGTAAAAAAGATAATCCTACATACCTGATGTATACAAAATATACAGCGGTTCGTTTGCCTCCACTGACACGCAAGGTACAGGATCCGCCTCCAATGCCTCCTGCCACGAAATGTCCCTGTCTTGCTCTAAAGCACATTCGAGCACTCTCCTACGTTGGTATATAATGCACTTTCGGGGCTGATGCGTGCTTTGGCAGAGTGCCTCATCTAGTATATCCTTGTACCTAGTAATAAAAGCATTTTTATTACGACAAAAAATTAAATTACTCAAAAACAATATGTGAAATTATTCAAATGATGTTGAATAATTTTATTTAACAATTTTTAATTATTACCAAAAAGATATTATGAAAAAAGTTTCAGACGTTTTCAAAAATGTCTGATTTAATATTTGCCTACGCTACGACGCACACTTTATGGTTTTGCATTGTCAAATATGGCGTAGGTAAAAAAGCGCGCGAAATGTTTGAAAAAGTTTCCGAAAGTTTTGTTAATTTACTTTCAATAATTTGCTTGATTAAATTAAAATAATTATTCGGGTCTTTACTATGATTATTTATGTATGTACGTGAGTAAATTCAAGACATGTGGACAAAGTGAAAGTGTTGTTTTTGTATTGAATCATACCGAACAATTTTGTTGGGTTCCACTCCACAGCTGGCCGCAATGATCACGGTGGGCTCTGCGTGTTCGATTCTAGTCCTCAATTCCCTTGCAGCAAAACCTAAAGAATAACAAAAATATGAAATACGATTAAGAAGCCATTAGATGAAAATACAGTGAAAGAAAAGGTAAATTTGAGCTTTATAACTTTATAGCAAGACAACTCGTAATCTGTTGTTAATTTTCTGCAAGTTTATAGAACTCGAGCTTACGGGGCTAATATAAGAACATCTGGCCTTTAACTCCAATTCTTCTGGCTAATGTTGGGTTAATTATTCTCCATTTGCCGCAGATAAATTACTAAATAGGAAACTAAATAGCCCCATGACGATACAAATACTATGACGAGCTATTATCTTACCTCCGAACACCACGGAGTGTATAGCGCCGATCCTGTTGGTGGCCAGCATGCTGACAATTGCTTCAGGGATCAGCGGCATATAGATCAGCACTCGAGAGCCCCGCGTGACCCCCAGGGCTGACAATGTGCCGGCCATGCGGGACACCTTCGGAAAATTGATAAGTAAGTATTTGTCTGTTTTATAGATTGGGAAACGGCTACTGATTTTAAAATCCCTTTTTGAAAGTGACCCTTAATCATTAGAAATTAAGAGTTATACTGAGGTTTGAGGTTTCCCTCTCACTATGACGTTACTAGTACTAGTACGCGGTAAAATCGGATTTCGTACAGACAATTGATTGAAAACTTACTCAGTTTCCAGGGATAGAATGGAGTGAATTTTATGAGAAGCTGTGCCTTGGAGTGGTTATTGGTGTCAAATTAAGTACATAAAATCCAATCGCAGAGAGAGAAAATTAAATTATCTCTTTCAGACTGGGAGAGGACAGTTGTTCTTTCCAAATGGACCACCTTCTTTTGTTTTCCTGATATCATCATCATCATCTCAGCCATAGGAGGTTGGTAGCGGCCTGCGTCCAGCGCTTTCCTGCTACCTTTATGATGTCGTCGGTCCACCTTGTGTCCTGATATAATAGTGTAATTGACATACCTGATCTTTCAGCTCAGCGTACGTGATCTTCCTGACGGTGTCAGTGAGCGGTGAGTCGTGCACCAAGGCGACGCAGTCTCCCTTGCCACTGCTGACGTGGCGGTCCACCGCATTGTGGCATACCGACATCTCGCCACCAACCCACCTGGCATTAGATTTTTGTTAAGAAGCTGTAGAACTGGCGCTTAGAATGTGAATTTACTATGTTATATCATCATCATCATTTCAGCCATAGGACGTCCACTGCTGAACATAGGCCTCCCCCAATGATTTCCACAATGGCCAGTTGGTGGCGGCCTGGCCCTGCATCCAGCGTCTTCCCGCTACCTTTGTGAGGTCGTCGGTCCACCTTATGGGTGGACATCCTACACTGCGCTTTCCGGTACGTGGCCTCCAATCCAGAACCTTGCTGCCCCATCGGCCGTCAGTTCTGCGTACTATATGCCCTGCCCATTGTCATGTTATTGCTATTGTTATATGTTAGCCAATAAATATGATCGAATCAGAAATGAGGAGATCCGTAAGATAACTAAAGTTCAAAAACCTTCTCGAGTGACAATCACGCGCCAGATGCAGCAGACCTTCACTTAATGGACCGAAGACCTGGTGAAGGTTACGGAAGGCGTCTGGATGCAGCCAGCGCAGGACTAGTCATAGTGGAAATTCTTGGGAGAGACTTTTGTTCAGTAATGGACATGACATCTGTATAGACTATTCAGTTTTCTGGTCAATCCATTCCTTTCAGAAATGTCGAGATACTGTTACCTAGTTAATTACTTAATTGTGAAACTGATACTGACTTCATTGCATATTCAAGCGTTTATTTGTGTGGGGGTTACGCAAGGAACGGTACTTTGCTCTTTATATTATTTATTTCCATTAAAATAAGTTACACATACCATTTAGTAAACGGTGGGTTGGAATTATCGAGGACTCTGTCCCAAGGTTTGCTCCACTCCAGCTCATGGCCGACCTCTGCCCAGAACCCTTCGGGGTCGTCCAGGGAGCGACGGTGGGCCTTCTGGTATACCGGTGTGACACCACTCTCTCCTAATTAGGATAAATAAAGTAAGTGTAAGTAGGTACTTATTACTAGCTATTTGTCCGGCGTTCCCTTGTCCGTCTCCATGGTACAAGAGAGCCGAAATTGCGGAGTGGTTTATCTAACATAGTAAAGTTTCATTTCTCCAGACTCTCACAATCTTTCTCGTTTTTAGTGCAGTAAGCCTACCTACTTAGGTATTTATAACGATTTTTAGTTTAAATCTCCTCTACCGATTTATCGCAAACTAATTACCTACTAATATTCAAGCCCTCCAAGTAGCTAAGCTAATTGTATTTGAAGCGAGTTCACCACAATAGTCTAGTAAAGTACATTATCTAAACTATGAATTAATTACAATANTCGCAGAATAAGTAAGTACCTACCTATACTAATAAAAAACAAGAATTTTAATCCATTTAGATTAGGTTAAGTAAAAAATAATACTGAGGGCTTAATACTAAATCGAAAGTAATTTGTGGCACCTACCTAAAATATTGTCCTGGGTCCGGAGTCCTGTCCGGTTTGCCCTCATAAAGTACTGATGTTAACCCAGCCAACAACGGTCCGTAACAGATGTAAGAGTGACCGACCACCCATCCCAGGTCTGATGCAGACCACCACACGCCTTTCTTGAGGCCGTATACTGCATGCATTGACCAACACAAGGTGGCAGCATGACCGCACGGACGTTGAACGCCCTTCGGTGCATCAGTAGTACCTGTAAATAAACCATATTTCTTTAATCCGCTAGACCAAGAACTACGCTATCACTTGACTATGGGAGAATTAATCTTTATTTTCAGCAAATAAAATTAAAAAGCTATCCGCTGAAGCCAAGCATTAGTGTCTAATGCTAAGATGATACGTACATAATCGTCTAATGATTAGACGATTATGTACTTATCATCTTCCAAAGAGGGTATCCAAGTAAAAATAATATGAGTTAGAATGTAAAAAAGATAATCCCACATACCTGATGTATACAAAATATACAGCGGTTCATTTGCCTCCACTGACACGCAAGGTACAGGATCCGCCTCCAATGCCTCCTGCCAGGAGATGTCCCTGTCTTGCTCTAAAGCACATTCGAGCACTCGCCTACGTTGGTATATAATGCATTTTCGAGGCTGATGCGTGCTTTGGCAGAGTGCCTCATCTAGTATATCCTTGTACCTAGTAATAAAAATAACGATTTACTTACATAAAAAAATATTTAAAAATTTGTAAAATTATCAAATGACTTATTTGAATAATTTCTCAATTTTTCATTATTACCAAAAAGATAAGAAAAGTTTCAGACGTTTTCAGAAATTTCTGATTTAATATTTGCCTACGACATAAACTCTATGGTTTTGCATTTTTAAATATGGCGTAGGTAAAAAAGCGCGCGAAATTTTTGAAAAAGTTTCCGAAAGTTGTGTTAATTTACTTTAAATAATTTGCTTGATTAAATTAAAATAATTATTCGGGTCTTTACTATGATTATTTATGTATGTACGTGAGTAAATTCAAGACTTGTGAACGAAGTGAAAGTGTTGTTTTTGTATTGAATCGTACCGAACAATTTTGTTGGGTTCCACTCCACAGCTGGCCGCAATGATCACGGTGGGCTCTGCGTGTTCGATTCTAGTCCTCAATTCCCTTGCAGCAAAACCTAAACAATAACAAAAATATGAAATACAATTAAGATTAATTAATGCCATTAGATGGAAATACAGTGAAAGAGAAGGTAAGTTTGAGCTTTATAACTAGCAAGACTAAACTCGTAAACTGTTGAATTTATTTTCTGTAAGTTTATACAACTCGTGCTTACGGGGCTAATATGAGAACATCAGGCCTTTAACTCCAATTCTTTTGCTTTGAGAATGTAGGGTATATTCTCCATTTGCCGCAGATAAATTACTAAATAGGAAACTAAATAGCCCCATGACGATACAAATACTATGACGAGCTATTATCTTACCTCCGAACACCACGGAGTGTATAGCGCCAATCCTGTTGGTGGCCAACATGCTGACGATGGCTTCAGGGATCAGCGGCATATAGATCAGCACTCGGGAGCCCCGCGTGACCCCCAGAGCAGAGAGCTTGCCGGCCATGCGGGACACCTTCGGAAAATTGCTAGGTAAGTATTTGTTTGTACCCTAACTGTTTTGATGGCGAAATGGCTACTGACTTTTTAATTTATTTGTGAAAGTGACGTAATACATTTCTTATTTAATATTTAAGTATTTTTAAAATTAAGTTACAAACTAAGTAACTTAATTATTTATTATACCTAAGAGTTAGGTATATTGAGGTTTGAGGTTGCTGCCTTCTCACTAATGGAACCTACATGACCCTATGCTACGACGTTACTAGTTCGCAATAAAATCGTTCAGACTTACTCCGTTTCCAGTACCTCTAGCATGAACAACTTTCGTCTTCGAATCATTTGCGTATTCGACAAAATTCGATACTCAACCTTCGAATTAAACGATAACGTGACAATTTTGATTCTCAAAATAAGTTTCGTGCAACCATTTCTCATACTAAGTTCACTTTAGGACACGTTCACAAGGGCGCTGTTGTAGTTTTCGTACTAAATCTTTTGATGGCGATTCGAATACGCAAACGATTCGAACTCGAAAGTTTTTCGTGCTAGCCGTACAGGGTTAGAATGGAGTGATTTTATGAGAAGCTGTGAGAGTTTTTGGTTATTGGTCCCAATCGCAGAGAGGGAAAATTAAATGATCTCTTTCAGACTGGGAGAGGACAATTGTTCTTTCCAAATAAACCTTCTGAACTTTGATGTCCTGATATAAGTAATAATAAAGATATACCTGATCTTTCAGCTCAGCGTACGTGATCTTCCTGACGGTGTCAGTAAGCGGTGAGTCGTGCACCAAGGCGACGCAGTCTCCCTTGCCACTGCTAACGTGGCGGTCCACCGCATTGTGGCATACCGACATCTCGCCACCAACCCACCTGGCATTAGATTTTTGTTAGGACTGTAGAACTGGCGCTTAGAATGTGAATTTACTATGTTATATCATCATCATTTCAGCCATAGGACGTCCACTGCTGAACATAGGCCTCCCCCAATGATTTCCACAATGGCCAGTTGGTGGCGGCTTGGCCCTGCATCCAGCGCCTTCCCGCTACCTTTATGAGGTCGTCGGTCCACCTTGTGGGTGGACGTCCTACCCTGCGCTTTCTGGTACGTGGCCGTCAGTTCCATGCCATGTTATTCCTATGTTATATGTATGTTAGCCAATGAATGTGATCGAATCAGGAATGAGGAGATCCTAAGATAACTAAAGTTCAAAAATGTTCTAGAGAAACAATCACGCGACAGATGCAGCAGGCCTTCCACTCGATGGACCGAAGACCTAGTGATGGTTACTGAAGGCGTATGGATGAAGCCAGTGCAGGACTAGTCATTGTGGAAATTCTTGGGAGAGACTTTTGTTAGTGGACATCTGTATCTATTTTCATTTTCTGGTTAATCCACTCCTTTCAGTAATATTGAGATACTGTTATCTAATTAATCGTGTAACTGATACTGACTTCATTGCATATTCAAGCGTTTATTTGTGTGGGGGTTACGCAAGGAACGGTACTTTGCCCTTTAGTATTCGTATCAAGTTATTTCTACTATAATAAGTTACACATACCATTTAGTAAACGGTGGGTTGGAATTATCGAGGACTCTGTCCCATGGTTTGCTCCACTCCAGCTCATGGCCGACCTCTGCCCAGAACCCTTCGGGGTCGTCCAGGGAGCGACGGTGGGCCTTCTGGTATACCGGTGTGACACCACTCTCTCCTAAATAAGATAAATAAGGTAAATGTAGGTACCTAGCACTAGCTATTTGTCCGGCGTTTCCTTGTGCGTCTCAATAGTACAAGTGTAGGTACAATCTTCCTCATTTTTAGTATAATAAGTAGGTAGTTATACGAGCAGAAGGCGATTTTTATTGTAAATGTCCTCTACCTATTTGTCGCAAACAAATTACTAATATTTAAGTCCTCCAAGTAGCTAAGCTTGTATTCGGAGCGAGTGCACCACAATAGTCCAGTAAAGTAGGTACCCTAACTAAACTATGAACTATTGATTACAATAATGTGAAGTTATCATCACAATACTTACCATAACTTTCTATATCAGCTGCCGAGACAAAAGTTTTCTTTTTTAATTCACTAATCGACGATTCGAATTTGTTTTTTTCAATTTTGGGAATCCCTTCGCTTTCTTGGTGCATTTTTGACTGTCACCAAATTCGCAAAATTAATAAAAAACACTTTTTTTTGGTTTTGAGTCGGCAAACCTACTCGGGATTTAATACGGTACTGTCGGGAGTAATAAGTCATTCCAGTAGCCCGTAGTCTTATTTCACCACATTTAAATTCCCGTTTACATATGAATGAATGACCCATGACACTACTGAATTATTAACTACGCTGAATGTAGCCGTCATGAAATTCCGGTTTATTATTCCGACACGATCCGGGATTCGTGTTATTTTTACGGGAATAGGTAGCTAACAGACTCTAGCTTATTATCATAATAAACTATAATATTAATAGCCTAAATGCATTATACATTGTAGAGAATACGAGTAGGTACGTATAGAAGATGTATTTATCCTTCTCAATTCTTTGAAAGTTTGGTCCTACTTANACCTACTTACTTACTTAAAATGGCCACTGACTTCTCAAACAAGTTCCTTACCCATATCTTGCTGTAGAGCTCTGCTTGCACAGAAAGGTGGAGGAAAACCGCAAAATCAGAATTGGAAGAAAAACTAACCGCGCGAACCCCGGGATTGCATTTCACGGGATAGATGTACGTCACTAAACAGTATAGTCGCAGTTCAGAATAGTAACATCATAACATGCAAGAAGGAAATGTTTAACTGTCTCGTCTATTATTTCATCGAAAATAGGTAGGATCTATTCCCAAGTTTAGAAATGCATTTTAAACTTTAATAAATACCTTGCAGATGATGGCTTAATTAAGGTTGGTTAATGATTTAAAATTGTCGGGGCTCTTCACAGATTTGTCCATCCTCTAAAGAAAAGAGAGAAACAGAATCGCATGGATAATAGCGTCAAGATTTTTTTTTATCCACAACGAGGAAGCTCTTGGCCTATATCTCACCTGATGGTAATTGATGATCAGGCCGAAGGTGGAAGCGAGCTTCACCCGGAATCCTCAACCACGGAGGAACTGGCTATCTTACCTCTAACAGCCGGAACACAACAATGCTGTTAACATTGTTGTTATGACGATAGACTTAGGTAAGATGGTGGTAGCTAGCCAGGCGGACTTAGAACAAGCCTTACCACCAACCAAACCGAACAGAAAAATCTGCCCCAACTGGAAATTGAACCCGGGACCTCTGCGTCTGAAGCAGGTGGTCTTACCACTAGACCACAGACTGAGGCGGTTCTGCTGAATTTAATGGTAACTTAGACTTAAACATAACATAACTTTCATACAACATAATAATATTTTTCCTGGAGTCTCTCCCACTACATCCAGCCATAAGTCAATTTAAATTGTATAATTTATTATGACTCGATCAGAAATTGAACCTATCTCTCTCACTAACTCCTTTTTAGCACAAATAACGCAATGGGACACTACTACCGATTCAAGAGGTCTCATCGATCCCTGCTGCTGAGGGCTTAGTGTATCTAATCAATAAGGCGATTATCACACTGCGCCGCGCTCCGCCGCGGTACGCGGAACGACAGATTTAATCATTGTATGCAAGTACCTCAGTTTGTATAGAAAACACGCGCGGCACAACACACTGACAACGCGTCTGCGTGCGGGATTTTTTATATGAAATCACGCGGACCGCGGCGGAGCGCGGCGCAGTGTGATAATCGCCTAAAATCTTCATACATTACTAAACGCAGTCGATTTCGAAAGCGTTTAATGTAAACTCACACTACACCCCCTGAACTATATTGTGGTAAGCCCACTGTTAAAATAAACATACAAGTCTAGCGGGAAATTTTAGTACCTAGCATAATTTAACAATAGTAGTAAGTATTCTCGGTTAGAAAATCTGCTTACCTCGAAAATACGAAAAGGTGTTTAGGAGTAGACCGGCCCCTCGTCTTATCCGTAGGTGAGCAAAGGACACCAAAGAGTCGCATATAGTCCACTTTTATCACCTGGGTGATCAAATCCAAGTGACCAAAGTGGAATAGAGTGATCAAAGGACACCAAAGTGTCGCTTGGAGTGCACTTCTATCACCTGGGTGATCAAATCCAAGTGACCAAAGTGGAATAGAGTGTTCAAAGGACACCAAAGTGTCGTTTGGAGTCCACTTTGATCACCTGTGTCATCTGTGTGATCAAATCCAGCTGTATAGAGTGATCAAAGGACACCAGTGTCGCTTGAAGTGCACTTTTATCACCTGGGTGATCAAATCCAGGCGATCAAAGTAAATAGACCTACGATATACTTATAAAAAATGTACTTACTTTTACGTTTATGGTCATCTTGAAACCGTAGCTTCGCCGCAGTGTTGTCCCGTAGTATAGAATTATTAGTGATCAAATTCAAAAAACGATTCACTGACTGACTCGGCTTTAAGATATCTAAAAAGGACAAAAATAATTAGTAGAGCATTATAATTTATTTATAAGTCAAAAGGATCTGACCATAGTATAATATTATATTATATTATTATTATACTAGCTTTCCGCCCGCGGCTTCGCCCGCGTGGAATTTTGTCTGTCACAGAAAAACAATATCGCGCGCGTATTTACTCACCGTTTAGACCTGGACTACGACAAACATTTTAAAACCAAAATCAGCTCAATCGGCCCAGTCGTTCTCGAGTTATAATCAGACTAACGAACATCAATTTTATTCATTTTTATTTATATAGATAGATATATGATAGCTAGCGGCCGTCCGCGACTTCGTACGCGTGGATCCCGTTTTACCCCCTTCATCTATCTTCAGCGGTTAACTCCCGTTCCCGTAGGAATTTTGCAATATCCTGTTGTAACTAAGCTTTAAGTTTACTAAGGTACCTGCACACCAAATTTCAAGCATCTAACTTAAGCGGTTTAGATTTTTCATACAAAAGGATTTTTCCGCTAATTCCGGGAAAATTTCGGGAATTCCTTTCTTAGTGCACCTCTACGGTACCTAAACTACGTCCCTTCCAAATTTCAAGTGCCTACGTTTAGCCGTTTAGGCTGTGCGTTGATCTGTCAGTCAGTCAGTCAGTTTCTCCTTTTATATAATACTAGCTGACCCGGCGAACTTTGTTCCGCCTTAATGGCAATAAATAACGGGATAAAAAGTATCCTATGTCCTTCGCCTGGCTCTAAACTACCTCCCTGTCAATTTTCAGCTAAATCGGTTCAGCCGTTCTTGAGTTATAAGTGGAGTAACTAACACGACTTTCTTTTATATAATAGACTAGCTTTCCGCCCGCGGCTTCGCGCGCGTGGACTATATTATCTACATATTTTAAGGAACCCTACTTTTTTTCAAAATAAAATTTAGCCTATGTTACTCGTGGATAATGTAGCTTCCGAATGGTGAAAGAATTTTTAAAAACGGTCCAGTAGTTTTTGAGCCTATTCATTACAACCAAACAAACAAACAAAGTTTTCCTCTTTATAATATTAGTGTAGATTTAGATTCATACAAAAGGATTTTTCCGCTAATTCCCGTTCCCGTGGGAATTTCGGGAATTCCTTTCTTAGTGCACCTCTACGGTACCTAAACTACGTCCCTTCCAAATTTCAAGTGCCTACGTTTAGCCGTTTAGGCTGTGCGTTGATCTGTCAGTCAGTCAGTCAGTTTCTCCTTTTATATATTTAGATAATAGTAATGTATGTTTTTTATAGTGTCCGACCGAAACTAGTTTTACGACCGAAACCGAAACCGAAAACGAATTTCGGCAACGGTGTCTATTTCGGCCGAAACCGAAATTTCCTTACAAGGCTCATATTTTGAGGGAAAAATAAAGAAATGCGAAAATGCACTGCCTGAAAGAATCGCACAACCTACTCCGACTACATGACTAGCCGCGCTATGGAACCGGCTGGGAAGGGGTATCTTTGTTCAACAATAGCTTCGAAAGTAATAGACGTAGACTAATAAATTTACATTTGTTTTGTAGAATAGCTCAAATACTAATAATACAATGCAAATAAGACATACTTTAACGACCTGGTTTTTCTTGTGTTGGAAAATAACTGAAAAAGAAGTGAAAATAGTCGTGTTTTTTTCTACTTAAATCCATTCCTACTTCCCTTGTGTCTGTTTTCTACTTTACTAATAGATCATTTTATCAGCTATCGCATGACATAAAATATTTGCTCGTTAGTGTTATGGTGCCCACGCAGTCACTTGTTTTAGAAGGAAGAGGTGAATTCTAAAAATTAAAAACTTTAAGCCTTGTAATTTTTTGAGAAATGGGTCAAGCCCCAAATTTGAAATATTTTCATCGATAAAATTGTCCATAGATCACGCCCTTAAAGTTTGATCACTACATGCCCGGACATATTGTATAATACTATAAATTAAGTATAAACTACGATCGTAATGCACATTCGGTTTCGGTCGTAGTTTCGGCAAGTTTGCCGCCGAAAACGAAACTAAACCGAAACTCGTGTTTTTACCGAAACTCAACCGAAAACGAAACCGAAACCGAACATTCGGTCGGACACTAGTTTTTTATTTGCGGAGGCTAAATTACCGGAGATTGGTTTTTGAAAGATTCATTATATTTAAATATTCTTTCGCTATTCAAGAAACAAAATTATTATTTTTTTACTTTATCGGAAATTGAACCATATTTTGAAAAGTACCTAATTCAATTTAAAAAAATCCAGAGGTCTATTTCTTCTAGGTTCAAATTATAAATTCATGATAATCTTAAGTTAAACAGATACATAATAAATTGTAGTATTTTTATTTATTATTATATTTTTTTAATCCTCAGGAAGGTCTGCTCGAACTTGTAGATTTCCAGGTTAAAAAATTCAACGTTAATCCTAGATAACCGACTTACCTCTATCTCTTGATGATATTTGAGCAAACATGTTCGTTTTGAAAATATAGACAAACTACTATCCGTTCCGCTGGCGATATGACGTCACTCGAAGGGACGCGTCTATAACTTTATCAAACTATATTTAAAATATTTTTTATTTATTATTATTGATAAAAATTGTATATTTGCGTAAAATAAGACACATTAATTGCGTTTAATCGCGGTTGGGGGAGGGGACGCGCGTTCCACGGACTGGCAAACTTAGCGCGAACGGGTAGTATGCACGTGCCTAGACCATGTGTTACCTATTTATAATATTCCATAACTAGATGCTAATAGGTATTTTTAAAAACTAGAGTTGGGTAGAAATACTATTTGAGTATCTAGGTAATACATCGATGTCGAATTATTGTCATTAAATGGTGTCTTTTCCCTTGATGTTGTAGATACCAAGGTCAGTAAGTAAGGGAGCATTGTGCGAACATCACACCTTCCCAAACCGTCTGACTAACCGTCAGCGTGGGAAGTGTAGGCCAAATTCTGTATTTTCCTCTGGCTAATAAGAAAGGATCATATTCTGCAATGAAGTCTTAGGGCGCTTTCAAATTTGCCTTTATAAATGTACTATCTTTTCGCCCGCGGCTTCACCCGCGTGAAATTTTGTTTGTCACAGAAAAACTGTATAACGCGCGCCCCTGTTTAAAAAACTGGGATAAAAACTACCCTATTTCCTTTATCCAGTATCTGTAGTTTGAAAATTAGGTATACCAATATGATCCACAATTTCATCCTCCATCCACAACATTCGTGAATTCATGGAACTCCTTGGTAGTTAGACTTGAAGTACGGAATCCTAATAACACCTATGTGATGGAGTTTACGGGTGTATTAATGGGATTTGATAATTTATGAAATAAAATTACCATTATTGATAAGCATTTGCGTTCATTAGAGCCTGGTTGCAGTCGTGAGAATTAATTACTACATTTACACAGTAATTTAACATGCTTTACACCTTTATTTTCACACTGCGTAAGTTACTCATTTTAAAAATACAACCCGTTTAATATAATTCATAATTATTTTAAATGAGGCATCACGCTAAATGACGTCACAGTGTCATAGCCTTAGGCCTCAGTGACTTCTCTCTGTGTCGAAGGCGAGAGCGGAACTTCTGGAGGAGGACTTGTGAGTTTTAAACGGCTACATTCAGTTCACTTTTTTCCCGATATTTTTCAGTGATACCATCAACTCTCGCATACACAGTAAAAGTGAAAGGCACTATTGAAATTGGTGACCAGATAGCCGACATATTAAAAGAGTTCAAGGACCGATTTGTCAGACAAATGGAAGACTTGCCTTCAATAAATAACGTTAAAACAGTGTCGGTACCTGTTGCTGAGAACAGCGATGGTATGCCTCAGCCCCGAGATGTCCCATTTCTGAACGATATTCCAATAATGGAGAACACACCAGAAAAGGATGTTAGCGTAGAATCTATTGATGTCCCGTTGCTGGATGAGATAGTAAGCAAAAAAGAAGGTCGAGTGCATATTTATGGGAATCACAAAAATAGTAAGGTTAGAAGACCACACGAACCCTTAAACAATATCGTTGTGTAAGTGACCTGAAACGTTTACCAAATAAAACAATGATCATTTGTATGATTTTATACTTTTCTAAGGTTCATCCCCAATCAAAAACTGCCACCTAATATAGCCAGTAACCATTAAGATCAAGCAACATTACTCAATCACATACTCAGTACCAGTCGATATGTTGTCCTGACGTTTTGGTAGGAAATGGGCCGACTTACATACAAGAGGTTTAATTTGTCCTCTCGGGAACACAGAAATTAGAAATTTCTTTTTTTAATCCACAACGAGGAAGTTCTTGGTCTGAATCTTACCTGATGGTAACTGATGATCAGGCCGAAGGTGGAAGCGAGCTTCACCCGGAATCCTCAACCACGGAGGAACTGGCTATCTTACCTCTAACAGCCGGAACACAACAATGCAGTTAACATTGTTTTGAACAAGCCCTACCACCAACCAAACCGAACAGAAAAGTCTGCCCCCACTGGGAATCGAACCCGGGACCTCTGCGTCTGAAGCAGGTGGTCTTACCACTAGACTACAGAGGCGGTTGCTCTCTTTCCGCTCTTCTTACCATAATATTAGTTCGACTAACACTGCAATCCCGCCCCAACCCACCAAAATCGATAAATTATCATTCATGTTACCTCGATTTGTCTTATGGGAACAACACTAGTGTTGTAAATGCAAATTGCTGAGTAGGCGACATCTATTTACTTCCTATACGTCATGTCGTGTTATGTATATCATAAACTTTTTCCATGCTACTGCGATACTAAAAATACACGGTTTTGCATCCTTGACATATTCACAGAGATTAAAGTAGCGAACAATACCTACCTATTATCTATACTAATATTATAAATGCGAAAGTAACTCTGTCTGTCTGTCTCTCTTTCACGCCTAAACCGCTGAACCGATTTTGATGAAATTTGGCACAGAGATAGTTTGAGTCCCGGAAAAGGACATAGGATAGTTTTTATCCCGGTTTTTGAAACAGGGACGCACGCGATAAATTTTTTCTGTGACAGACAAAATTCCACGCGGGCGAAGCCGCGGGCGGAAAGCTAGTTTTAGATAATAAACAAGACCATAAAAAAGCACACTATGTTTTTAGCAATTTGGTTTTGCACTACAAGTTCGAATAAACCAATTTTGTCTCGCACGTTGAACAGGCGCATGGAATAAACCTAATGGGCATCAGCTTTTTACAAAAGTCCCAAAAAGTTAAAAATGATTAGCAAACTATTGTCTTCCGTTGTTAATACAGCCTGCTAAGTCTTTCGTTAAATCTTTCGAAATATAAATCTAAGGGTTGTTACCTTTTTAGGGTTCGGTAGTCCTGACAAGGAACCCTTATAGTTTCGATATGTCTGTCTATAGTATATTAACACTAGAGAGCTGTAATTTTGTATAACTGGTTGAAGAAGTTAACTTTTTAATTTTAACTGTGTGGTGCCCAATATGCAGCGTAGTAGTAGAGTTGTGTCTCACAGGGAACACATTATTTCATTACTTTTTATTGTGGTGATACGGAAAATCGAAATGAAATGAAACAGGTATTTATATTAACCCTTTATTTTAAATTAAACGAATATCCTTGTGCCAATACAATGTGTTATCTGCTGTTTTACTATGGTTACGGTTATGCGAAATATTTATACTAGATTGAGCGTATGCCACATCTGTAAAAACATTATTTTAGTGAAGTATCTATACAAAAATGGGGTAATTTAACTTTCTCCATTTCTCTACGCTTCCACGTCCCTAACCACACTCCCCCACTACTGACGTAAACAGAACATTTTTACTAATTATTTATTATATCGTAGAAATGCTACGAGGTTTTTTGACTTACACATCAGTATTTCTAGAGCCTTAAGCATGAATTGTATATTTTATAGGATAAAAATAGCATTTCCAGTAAATACAAATGACTAGACATGATGATACGACGATCTACATATAACTGTCAAACTCGAGTATTCGTAAAAAGACGATCGCTATTTTTTAACATTAATGATTTTAGTAAGAGAGACCAATTTTTACACACAAAACCCTACAAGATGTGGCATACTCTACCAAATATGATTTTACCAAAAAGTAAGCCTATTAAGGCGAATTATCTTACATACAATAATGNCGCCTTGCCAGACAGCTTTTAGGGTGGCTGAAAGTGCGAACGCGAGGCACTATAATTATTGTTTTTTGTACTTTTTCTTAAGTTACTCAAGTATTTGAGTCTGTAAATCATCATCTCATGTTGATGAGCTGATGATGGAAGGTAAGTACAACTCCTTAAGGCTTAGGTAATCCCGAATTTTAAAGTGATTTCCTCTGAAAGTTGCCTAGAGTAAAGTTCTTAGCAACATTATCATTACCTATGTTAATGCTAATGTTGCTAAGAACTTTACTCTAGGCGTTTAGCAACTATTTTGAAGATAAAATTTGTGGCACCACATTTTGTGTTGATTTGTAGGTGAGGATTTGGGGGTCCTAATTCAATATAGAATTGTTATAGTATTATTTGATACTATAAATTTGATTATACTATGCACAGTAATAGATATATCATGATGGTTTCGCTGGAAGGATACTCTGCAGCGCAACCACTTTCAATAACAAAATACGGCGAAACCTGTGACATATTTTTTTTTAAATAGGACTAGAATTTTAAAGACATATCAAAGATTTATTTTAGAAACTTACACTAGACTAGTTAAATCAAAAGTAGTTCCGCCGGGGAGCATGACGTGAATTATCCTACAACTCCTAAGCATTAAGGAGTTGTACCTTCCATCAACATGGGATGATGACTAGCTGATGCAAACACCCAAATAACTTTAGAAACTATACTTATATATACTGGTTAAAGAATTATCCTACAACTCCTAAGCATTAAGGAGTTGTACCTTCCATCAACATGGGATGATGACTAGCTGATGCAAACACCCAAATAACTTTAGAAACTATACTTATATATACTGGTTAAAGAATTGTCCTCCAACTCCTAAGCCTTAAGGAGTTGTACTTACCTCCCATCATCAGCTCATCAACATGAGATGATGATTTACAGACTCAAATACTTGAGTTACTTAAGAAAAAGTACAAAAAACAATAATTATAGTGCCTCGCGTTCGCACTTTCAGCCACCCTAAAAGCTGTCTGGCAAGGCGAAGGAACCATCAGAAGTGTCTGGCTGATGAGGAAACTTCATCAGATGATAGTTCAAACATTTTATGTAAATATCAGCTTTTATAGTATGACGTAAGTAGGACTACATTTTCATGAACTTTAAGGTGTCTGGCTAAGGGCTGCCACCATGGTAGGTGTCTGTCAATTAATGACGTCATTTATAATGACATTTTGAAGGAAATATCAAAAAATCAGCCTTTATACTTTGACGTAATTAAGTTGGTATTTTACACACCTTTAGTACCGTCTGTCTGCCAAAGCCACCATGACCCAAACTTCATGTTTGGCCATGGTTCTTAGCTATGTTGGGAGCATGCGCTGACAAACTTTCAGCCTTTATAAAATAACGTAGGTCTGGCGTTCACTAGCTCTTAGTCTAATAGTTTCGATATGTCTGTCTGTCCGAGGTTTTGCTTGGAAACTACACTGGTCATCACAAAAATCGACCCTCCCGCGACAAGCACATTCAAACGTATGCATCCCCACTTCCCACAAATATTGCCACCATTTAAAAGCCTAGTTCTAAACTTCATTTCATTAAAGGAAAGGTTTTTACCCCAAAAATGTGTCTGTAGAAGAATCCAGTCACTTCTTCAAAAAATAGGTACCTAGTTACGCTTGAGCCAACTTTTATGGCTATAAAACTGTTAAGTTGGGATTAATCGCTATCCATCTGTTAAAGAGGACACGTGAGATCATTATTTGGTTTTATAACCATAAAAAATTTTCTAATTAATTGGTCCCAGAGGTGAGCCCAAAGTGAGGTCTTTTTTCAAGTCACATTTTTATTGTATATCGCGTTTATGTTAATCGTTTATTAAGAATTTAAATGTGTTTTTCTTTAAGGATATTTATTGGGCTTTCAAATAACACCAATATTGTTGGGGCACCATGATTGTGTCAGTAGAAACGAGCTTTCCTGTAAAACGTAGGTGGGCGGATTTTTGTGCTGACCAGTATATTAACACTAGAGAGCTGTAATTTTGTATAACTGGTTGAAGAAGTTAACTTTTTAATTTTAACTGTGTGGTGCCCAATATGCAGCCTAGTAGTAGAGTTGTGTCTCGCAGGGAACACATTATTTTATTACTTTTTATTGGGGTGATACGGAAAATCGAAATGAAATGAAACAGGTATTTATATTAACCCTTTATTTTAAATTAAACGAATATCCTTGTGCCAATACAATGTGTTATCTGCTGTTTTACTATGGTTACGGTTATGCGAAATATTTATACTAGATAGAGCGTATGCCACATCTGTAAAAACATTATTTTAGTGAAGTATCTATACAAAAATGGGGTAATTTAACTTTCTCCATTTCTCTACGCTTCCACGTCCCTAACCACACTCCCCCACTACTGACATAATCAGAACATTTTTACTAATTTATTTATTATATCGTAGAAATGCTACGAGGTTTTTTGACTTACACATCAGTATTTCTAGAGCCTTAAGCATGAATTGTATATTTTATAGGATAAATATAGCATTTCCAGTAAATACAAATGACTAGACATGATGATACGACGATCTACATAACTGTCAAACTCGAGTATTCGTAAAAAGACGATCGCTATTTTTTAACATTAATGATTTTAGTAAAAGAAACCAATTTTTACACAGAAAAGATGTGGCATACTCTACCAAATATGATTTTACCAAAAAGTAAGCCTATTAAGGCGAATTATCTTACAATAATGAATATTAATTCCCATACAATTGCCGAGCGGTATCCCACCACTTAATCTAAGAGCACATACACACAACGGTGTGAGAAACCTTACCAATACAAGGAAGCCGCATAATCAACGAACAAAACGCAAAAACAACGGGTATCAATAAAAAAACAAAAGAACTGAAATTAAAATATAAAATTTATTGATAATAACGAAACAGTTAATATTTACAACAACAAAATAAATGTTTTAAATACATTAACTCTATATGAGAATAGGCCCTGAACAAACTTAGATAATAACCGAGGTCGATTCGTTTGTCACTCGAAAGGGCATTTCATTATTTACAATGTCGACTTTTTCATATGCGATTAGTTTACTAGGACCTTAAGCGTGGTGATAAACTTTGAATTTAACGAAAATTCCGACGTTCATGACTTTGGGCATATATGTGTTAACACACTGGCATTTGCCCCCGACGGAATTCGAGGCTACTGGTGCTGTGATTCACTACACAAACCACTAGGAGAAGAGTTTTTACCACCTTACTTTAACCGTAACGATAACCATAACCGGTAATTTTTGTATGGAGTTTGACAGAGTTTTGATTTCATCGAGCTTTTGTCGTTTGTGTTGTGATAGTATTTTACGCCTTCGCCTTTGTCTACGCACCGCATACGAAAAAGTATTTTTATCACATTTAAATTAAACACTGTCATATACAATACAAATGAGGTCGCCCAGCGGCGGCAAACAAATTAAAACAACACCGAATACAAATTGCAACGCAGAGTACCTTTGGACTCGGCATATTTGCGTGGTTACTCCCAAAAACGTTTGAAGTTTCGAATGTTTCCATCTCTCTTACACAAAGCTTGAGTCAACATGAGCGACAAAGACAGATATACCCGAAACTACGTAAACTGCGTTTCGGAGTAGCCCAGCTGTACTTACAATATATGGAACGATTGCTGTATTACCCTACGCGTTGATTTAAAAAACATTTCGATTAATTCACCAACTTATACACTAGTACAATATTATCACCTAATCATGAATACTAGAACGGTTCTTTGTCACACTAATACAGTGAAAATAGAGCTTAGAGATATACTAAAGAAGGTTAAATATTAACTAAATCTTTTGAGAATACTTATCTGATCGTAAAATGATGTCACTGTTCCTTTTAGGTCTATAGACATATTGTTAAAACTGTCGCAAGAGACGACCTTTAAGTCTTGATCCATATCAAGTTTTGACTAATACAGCTTCATTCGTTTTGAAATAGAATACTGCATCGACTGACTAAAATAAGTATTTTAATAAATATTTGATATTTTATAATAGAAAACCTTAACACAAACAAACAACTTAGAAAAAACGTTCTCTACTAATTAAGCGACGATACATCATATGTTGTAGTTAGACCATTTAGAAAATATAGGGTGTAAAGAGGAATCTTTGTACCTTACACCCTGTACTCAACTATTCTAAACTACATACGTGTACCGTCCACGTGTGCCCCTTGAAACCGCCCTTTAAACTTTAAAATATGACAAAAACAATTGAATAGTATTAAAACAATTGAATAGTGTTAAAAACAATTGAATAGTGTTACAAAGAACCGCGTACGCCTAACTGTTATATTGAAATAGGCATAATGAACTACAGAGGTACGATAAAAAGGAAATATATTGCCGTATGCCTGCGCGCATTGTCCGTTATTCCAGCGAGTAATACTTGAGCATATTCAAAAGAATATCCGATTATCGATATATTTAACGATCAATCGATTAAGTTGCTGACACATAGAACTCCTTCACAAATTGCCAATTTAAACTTTAACTATTTTACTACCAAATAAATAATTTGAATTTTTATTGCTTATAATTTTGATTGAATTTACTTGTAGGTGTATTGTATCGCATTTTACACAAAGATATTTCTTGGCAATGAAGTTACTGTACAGTTATAGATTAATTTAGAAAAGTTTAAGTTATTAATAAGATAAACAGTTGATATAATATCATGAATTTCTTCAGTAACTTTATTGCCAACAAATCTACATAATACATAACCCACTATTTCGTATAATCATTTGACACCAACCCATACCGATAATATTTCATTTATCCATCACCTATTAATGCGATACTACTCTACTTTTCACGCTTAATAAATACTATTGTATACTTAAGTAATCGGTAAAGTAAAATAATAATACATTTCAATGAGTTAAGTTGAAGGGAAATTGGAATTAAATTCGAAAAAACATGACATCAAACTGTAATATCAACTACTGACCACTAAGGCCCAGAACAGACGGTGAAACGCAACTGCAACGAAACTGCAACTGCTAGTTACTTTTGAGTTGCATCTAAGTTTCTGCCGTAGCGTCCGTTGAGAGACCACACATGACGCGACCAGTTTGAAACTTTCAGTATCATCAGAAAGTTGCAGTTTCGTTTCACCGTCTGTTCTGGGCCTTAGGCCCAATTTCTACTAAAGCGGAGAGATGTTAGAATAACCAATCAGATTTCGTTATTTCCACATCACATCTCCTCTTTATTTTTGTGGAAAGTTGGCCTTAGAAGTAGTTTGAGTTAATATTTTTTGTGATGTGTGACTGTTAAACGGTTCAAGTTCAAAAACCCTTCAAAAAACTCCCGATTATCCAATTCAAAAACAAAATGGCGCATTCAAAATCAATCAAGTATTCAGCCGAAACAATAAACAACGGGCATAGACAAGACTCACGCGGCGATGACGGCTCAGCGCAGGTCGGGGTTATCGTTGATTTGCTTCTTGATGCGGACCAGTATGGTGGTGTACCACTGGTCCAGTCGCGATATACTGTCGTATGTCTTCACAGCTTCGGTGAACGCGTCCACGTTCTGCTCCTCCAAATGCTCGATTAGTTCCTGTTGACAAAATCAGTAATAAGAATAATGCCCGTTTTCACCATCAATTCCAAATTTTTAAGTGACCCCTATGAGAACAAAATGCCTGTTATGTATTACCCCCACTTAAAAATTAGGGATTGATGGTGAAAACTGGCATTAGATACTATAAAATCACCTGGATGTCGGCAACGACGACGGTTTTAATTTCGTTTATTCGTTCGTTTCAAAGTGCGTCAACTGCTGGACAAAGGCCTCCCCCAAGGATTTATATAAAGACCGGTTCTGCTGTTAACTTTCTAAGTTTTAGACTTTGTCTTTACAATTTCAACAAACCTTAAAAAGGTTAATCTTCTATGAATAAGAACAAACAAATATTGCCCTGTTAAGCCGATTAACAATAAATATTAATATGTGGTCATTAAGTTTATCTTCATGATTTAATAAGCTAAAAACTCAAATTTTCAATTTAATTTAAATGTCAATTTATGTAAATGTTAACGTTAACAGTTATCTCTAGGTCATGGTGTAGACAATATGTTCATAATTATTTATTATAATCAGTTTGTTAAAGACTGGACCACTTGCTCTTTGCCCTTTGAACCCATTTAGCCACTTTTTAGCTCACTGTACTGTAGCTCAGCCGGCCTATAGCTCACTGTACTGTATCTAAGCCATCCTGTAGCTCACTGCACTGTAGCTCAGCTGGCCTATAGCTCACTGTACTGTAGCTCAGCCGGCCTGTAGCTCACTGTACTGTAGCTCAGCCGACCTGTAGCTCACTGTACGGTAGCTCAGCCGGCCTGTAGCTCGCTGTATTGTAGCTCAGCCGGCCTGTAGCTCACTGTACTGTAGCTCAGCCGGCCTGTAGCTCACTGTACTGTAGCTCAGCCGGCCTGTAGCTCACTGTACTGTAGCTCAGCCGGCCTATAGCTCACTGTACTGTATCTCAGCCGTCCTGTAGCTCACTGCACTGTAACTCAGCTGGCCTATAGCTCACTGTACTGTAGCTCAGCCGGCCTGTAGCTCACTGTACTGTAGCTCAGCCGGCCTGTAGCTCACTGTACTGTAGCTCAGCCGGCCTGTAGCTCACTGTACTGTAGCTCAGCCGGCCTGTAGCTCACTGTACTGTAGCTCAGCCGGCCTGTAGCTCACTGTACTGTAGCTCAGCCGGCCTGTAGCTCACTGTACTGTAGCTCAGCCGGCCTGTAGCTCACTGTACTGTAGCTCAGCCGGCCTGTAGCTCACTGTACTGTAGCTCAGCCGGCCTGTAGCTCACTGTACTGTAGCTCAGCCGGCCTGTAGCTCACTGTACTGTAGCTCAGCCGGCCTGTAGCTCACTGTACTGTAGCTCAGCCGGCCTGTAGCTCACTGTACTGTAGCTCAGCCGGCCTGTAGCTCACTGTACTGTAGCTCAGCCGGCCTGTAGCTCACTGTACTGTAGCTCAGCCGGCCTGTAGCTCACTGTACTGTAGCTCAGCCGGCCTGTAGCTCACTGTACTGTAGCTCAGCCGGCCTGTAGCTCACTGTACTGTAGCTCAGCCGGCCTGTAGCTCACTGTACTGTAGCTCAGCCAGCCTGTAGCTCACTATACTGTAGCTCAGCCGGCCTGTAGCTCACTGTACTGTAGCTCAGCCAGCCTGTAGCTCACTTTACTGTAGCTCAGCCAGCCTGTAGCTCACTGTACTGTAGCTCAGCCAGCCTGTAGCTCACTGTACGGTAGCTCAGCCGGCCTGTAGCTCACTGCACTGTAGATCAGCCGGCCTGTAGCTCACTATATAGCTCACCTTGACGAGCTTGCACTCCCGGGTATCGGTGAACGCCGGGTAGAGGCCGCAGTACTTCTCCACGGCGTGCTGTGCGTTGAGGATGTCCACGCATAGGTGGCACAGCGCCGCGCGGAACATGTATTCCTTCGCGCTGTATTTCAGCAGGCTGTTGTCTAGCGACGACTTGGCGATCTGAAAAGATACGTCATTGTTAGAATACGACAAAAGTCGGATAGTGAGTGTTATCGCTTACTATAGGCCTCTTATGAAGGCTCAAAGTCACCCAAAGGGCGATGGAGCGTGCTATGCTTGGAGTTTCCCTGTGTGATCGAATCAGAAATGAGGAGATCCGCAGGAGAACCAAAGGATGAGGGTGTTCGCGATTGAAAAATCCGCCAGATAGCAATACGTAGACGCGAGGTCCAAATGCTGCATGATTGGTGGATTTTGACATATCCGTCAATGTCATGCTAAAATCTAGTGGCAATGGGCAGGGCACATAGCTAGCAGAGCTGATGGCTGGGACAGAATTAGTTCTGGAGTGGTGACCACGGACTGGAAGACGTGTGGGCAACTGGGTTCCCCACTAGTTAAACCGACGATTTGGTGAAGGTCGCGGGAAATGATGTGGATGCGGGCATACACAGCACCGGTCATTGTGGAAATCCTTTAGGGCCTTTGTCCAGCAGTAGAAGTCATTAGGCTGAAACGAACGAGTGTGCTGTGTGACAGCAAAAATAGGCGGCGGTTGTCCAAAATAGGACGTCTATAATGTGTTTTCTTAGCGCATGTATCGTGTATAAATCATTTTTTAAGTGTTTGACCTATTTTTTTTCTATTTTAACCACATTTATCGCATGTTTACCTGCTCATAGATCTGTATCGCCTTGTCGTAGTGCTCCAGCTGGGCTGCGTACTGGGCCAGCTTGAGCATGCACTTGTTGGCCGACGACGTGGACTCCTCGCCGCGGAAGTAGTCAGCTTTACATGTTTAAACTTTTTTCTTTTTTAACAACACTTAGGGCGTGTATAGCACCTGTATAATATGTCTTGTTTGAATAGTGTAATTGGTACTACCGTTCTATTCATGAATAAATAAATAAATAAATGTGTACCTGCTCTATTTTAGCAACACTTAGCGCGTGTATAATGTGTGTACCTGTTCTATTATAACAACACTTCGCGTGTGTATCGCACGTGTGTAATGTGTACACCTGCTCCATTTTAACTGCACTTAGCGCGTGTATCGCACATGTATAATGTGTACCTGCCCCATTTTAACTACACTTAGCGCCTGTGTAAGTATTTTATCGTGTGTGACCTCATTTTTTTTCTATTTTATCCACATTTATCACACGTTTACCTGCTCATAGATCTGTATCGCCTTGTCGTAGTGCTCCAGCTGGGCGGCGTACTGGGCCAGCTTGAGCATGCACTTGTTGGCCGACGACGTGGACTCCTCGCCGCGGAAGTAATCGGCTTCACATGTTTAATCTTTTTTATTTTTTAACAACACTAAGGGCATGTATAGCACCTGTATAATGTGTGTACCTGCTCTATTTTAGCAACACTTAGCGCGTGTATCGCACGTGTATAATGTGTACCTGCTCTATTATAACAACACTTTGCGTGTGTATCGCACGTGTGTAACGTGTACACCTGCTCCATTTTAACTGCACTTAGCGCGTGTATCGCACATGTATAATGTGTACCTGCTCCATTTTAACTACACTTAGCGCGTGTGTAAGTAATTTACCGTGTTTGACCTCATTTTTTTTCTATTTTACAACACTTATAACATGTTTACCTGCTCATAGATCTGTATCGCCTTGTCGTAGTGCTCCAGCTGGGCTGCGTACTGGGCCAGCTTGAGCATGCACTTGTTGGCCGACGACGTGGACTCCTCGGGTGTGGAAGTAGTCGGCTTTATATGTTTGACTCTTATTTCCTAATTTAACTACACTTAGCGCGTGTATTACACCTGTATAATGTGAACCTGCTCTATTTTGACAATACTTAGCGCGTGGATCGCATGTGTATAATGTGTACCTGCTCTATTTTCACTACACTTAGCGCGTGTATCGCACATGTATAATGTGTACCTGCTCCATTTTAACTGCACTTAGCGCGTATATCGCATGAATACAATGTGTACCTGCTCTATTTTCACAACACTTATTACGTGTAAAACATGTTTACCTGCTCATAGATCTGTATCGCCTTGTCGTAGTGCTCCAGCTGGGCGGCGTACTGGGCCAGCTTGAGCATGCACTTGTTGGCCGACGACGTGGACTCCTCGCCGAGGAAGTTGATTTTACATGTTTAAACTTTTTCTTTTTTAACAACACTTAGGGCGTGTATAGCACCTGTATAATATGTGTACTTGCTCTATTTTAGCAACACTTAGCGCATGTATAGCACCACAATGTGTGTAACTGCTCTATTTTAGCAACACTTAACGCGTGTGTATAATGTGTACCTGCTCCATTTTAACTACACTTAGCGCGTGTGTAAGTAATTTATCGTGTTTGACCTCATTTTTTTTTCTATTTTACAACACTTATAACGTGTTTACCTGCTCATAGATCTGTATCGCCTTGTCGTAGTGCTCCAGCTGGGCTGCGTACTGGGCCAGCTTCAGCATGCACTTGTTGGCCGACGACGTGGACTCCTCGCCGAGGAAGTCGGTTTTACATGTTTAAACTTTTTCTTTTTTAACAACACTTAGGGCGTGTATATCACCTGTATAATATGTGTACTTGCTCTATTTTAGCAACACTTAGCGCGTGTATAGCACCACAATGTGTGAACTGCTCTATTTTAGCAACACTTAACGCGTGTGTATAATGTGTACCTGCTCTATTTTCACTACACTTAGCGCCTGTGTCAGTATTTTATCGTGTGTGACCTCATTTTTTTTCTATTTTATCCACATTTATCACACGTTTACCTGCTCATAGATCTGTATCGCCTTGTCGTAGTGCTCCAGCTGGGCGGCGTACTGGGCCAGCTTCAGCATGCACTTGTTGGCCGACGACGTGGACTCCTCGCCGCGGAAGTAGTCGGCGGCTTGCTCGTAGTGCTGCATCGCGCGGGCGAGGTCCACGCACTCTGTCTCGTATAGCTCGGCGATGTTCTGTGAAGAAGTAATATATCTTGTTTACTATCAGGGTTCGAAAGGATAATTATCACGATAATTATCGTGATAATAACAGATGGATAATTATCGGTTGATAATAACAAAAAAATGCGCTCATGAAAATATACTGTATTCGAAGTTTTCAAATGTGTATTTCCATACATGCGGCATGGTGGGCGTTAATCAACATAGATAGTTATAAAACCTATATTTTAGCTCCACAATGATCACTAGTTATCTAGTGTCAAAATATTAATCTATTTTCCAAGCTTTATGCGACTAGCGATGGATAACTTGACAACAATCAGCAACCAAAAACATAAAGCAACATTTGCCATCAGAATTTCTTATGAAACAATATGACAAATGTATCCATAACTGTTGATAATTATCCGATAATTATCATGAAGCGTAATTATCTTGATAATTTCGAACCGTGTTTACTATTACTACAAATGTTTGCTAAAACAGTAGTACCAGTAACCAGTGTAGTTATTAAGCTCAGCAAGCGATATTTTAAAAAGGGGCAGTTGGAATATAGCTTGGCGATAAGATTTAGCTAGAAAAAACTTTTTCGAGGATTTTGTCGATGATCTTAGAGCGTAGAGACTAGACAAAATGACTGCTAATCTGACTTTTGTCTTCTACTGATAGTAAAAAAAATGCAATAGACAACGTTTTCAACATAAAAGAGTCTCATGACTTAATTACATTTTGTTGTCGTTAAAAAAGTTATCCTTAAACCAAAGAAATCATAGAGAGAGAGTATAGTGTGTCTAGATCAGGGTTTCCCATTTTTTTTTGCCAAGGAACCCTAATTGATTATAATTTTCCTAGCGGAACCCCCGTACTACTCCGCCCGCACGCCCTGCCCCTCCCTTGTGCGTAAACAAGTCGGTGCGAGTGAACAACGTCGGTCACGAAACGTGGGATAATTTTTACGGAACCCTTGCGGCCTTTCCACGGAACCCCAGGGTTCCGCGGACCACCATTCGGGAACCGCTGGTCTAGATAGTGTAATAGGTAATGGATAAGTTCTGGCCAAAAATGAGAACTACTTTTTCAGTTTAATTAAAAATAACACTCAAAAAAAGTTAAATACGACTTAAATAACCCTGCCTTCATAAATAGTAAAATGTAGAGTATTTTATTTCCCTCCAGTTCTATTAAATAATAGGGATGTTTCCTGGGTCAAAAAGCAAGAGTTTTAATTAGTCCGTCAGTTAAATTTAAAGAGATAAAGCGCGCCAAAGTTCATAAGAAGAGGCCCGTGACGTCAATGCGTGCATAAAAGTGCCGCACGTTGTGACGTCGTGCGGAACTTCAACGCACCATAACTATGTAATTATTTGTTAGATTGACAAATAAAAATATGTGTTCAATATTTTTTGATATTAAACATGACGGACTAAAAAAATTTTTTTAGGAAACTAGCCTATTACCTGATATTACCTGATATGATATTACCTGATGTTGTTTAGCGGCGACGGTGAATCGCCCCATGTCGGTGTAGATCTCGATTGCTTTTAGCAGACACGACACGGCCTCTGCAAAATGCAAATACAGTCTTACATTTTTATAGAGATATGACGCATACGGGTAAACTCTTACATGAATATGTCTTCTAATTGGCCTTTTAAACTATGTTTACGTATGTAAATTCATACTTAGGTTTGTTTGGAAATATTATGTAGGAGTATTTAGCTTGATAACTTAATAGTTTCCCGGAAAGTCTTAGAACAGTAATGATGCACTTAGGTCATTCTGATATGCTGGAAATAAAACGCTAAGCTAGTGCTAAGTATAAGCTTTTAAATCCAGCACCCCGATTGCGCTAATTTGTAATCCGATTCATTCGCGTTTCATCTGTAGTCTACACTCCAGTCACACTCCGTTTTCATTCCAGCTGAAGTGCAATTCTGTCTACTCACTACTCTTTAAAGAGGTTATTAGTTCAAAAAGCTTTCTTTGCATAACATACAACGCAGTTTTGGACGACCTTTCGGTCATGCTGTCAAAAAAATTAGGTCACGACATAAATATTGAACGAAGAAAGATCGTTGACTTCATATGTACATTTTAAGGGTCACTTTTTCACTGAAAGTGATTATGAAATTTACAGGTTAAGAAATAAAAGGGCTGTGCCCGACAGGGTCCCTAATTGTATCCAAATTAATACCATACCACCTCTGTAACATTATGGATACAATAAATATTAAGTATTTAGTTAAGAATATTTGGGAATTAATTGAAGACTTAAATACTAGACCAGAAAACGAATAAGCATCACATTATAAAAATGTTATCTGAAAGAAGATAATCTAGAATGTGCCTATTTCCAACAAAACGTTTGAATAATTTGTTTCTAACACGCATATTTTTAACAAGAACGCAGAAACCCGCGATAAAAACTATTGTTTTGTTTTATTACAACACAATGGAGTCGCTGTACTCTATTTGGTAAGTAAATGTCGATATTTATTACGTCGTTCTTTAAAAATGTGCTACTAGAATACTAGATCGAATGTAACATAAAATTGTTTCTTCTAGCTTAGTTAATGCTCATAATTGGATGTTTAGTAGGTAATTAAATTATTATATCACTGCCTGTAAAGTGTGTATTCGACATTATTTGACTCATGCTGATAGTTTACTCACGCCCCCAGTTGATTTCAAAATAAATAGTCATTGTATGCGGCTTTTTCGAATAGATAAAATTGTGTACAGTAAATTCTGTCTATCTAGGAACAAACCACTGTTGTTTATAATATTCTTGCATGTATGATATAAATATTTAGCATAGAAACTACAGATAAACCTAGGTTTTTATGAAAGAAGAATTCATGAGCTAATTTAACCTATGTTTGCAAAGGACATTGTCAGAAACCGCCTAAAAACCGCCCAAAAACATTAACCCATCATAATTATTTTCTATTTTTTTTAATACATTAAGCACCCATTCATTCTAATGGACACTTAAGCATTGAAAAATTAAATAAATAAGTCTTTTAACGTTTATTCTATAATACTATTACAACTTCCGGACGTTTTGGTGCGTGGCATGGTCTAAAACCTATCAAGTTCCATAATTTTTGCCGATAAAATCTGTACGAGGCATTACCGTACTTTATTGCTGGGAGTCCATGTATAGTGATGTTCCTGCGGCCATCATAGACAATAAAATATCGATTTTGAAAATAAAACCCATATTGTTGTCATTGTCTATATCAGTGTTATGATCACAATTCTTTTTATTTTATTCATGACCTTCGACCAGTTGGACACATTAGATAGCTTCTTGTAGTATCGTGCAATATATTTTTAACTTTTAATTAAAATCTAGTCATACTGTAGCAATTTGGACGATTTATTTTATTTACAAGATCGGTATCTTATTGTCTATGATGACCGCAGTCAACATCACTATTACATGGATTCCTAACAATGAAGTACGGCATTGCCTTGTGCCGATTTTACATAGATTTTATCGACACAAATTATGGAACTTCATAGGATATGGAGCAGGCCACGCCCTAAAATGTCCGGATGTCGTCATAGTATTATGGAATACATATAAAATACTTTTATTATTTCAATTTTTAATCCTCAAGTGTCCGTTAGAATCTAATTAATATTTAAGTATTCAAAAAGTAAGAGATTAATTTTGATACTTTACTGCTGTGCCCAGGAATCTAAGGCGGTTTCTGACAATGTCCTTTACTTGTTAGTCACACCTAATCAAACATTACGTTTATAGGTAATGTCTCACTGGGATACCATGCCAATGACATAAAATACGTTATTCATTGCTTTTTGAATCCCTCGAGACTTCGAGAGTTGACGACAGTCCCGTATTTGGAATCGATACTTAAGCGAAGTGTCTGCTTGAGCTTTGGGATTTTGGCGCAAGCTACTTTGTGCTTTATTATGTTTCCAGTTGAGAAAAACTTGGCTTGTGTTAAGTAATTGCTGGAGAATTGATTTACCCCAGAAATATTACAAAACAGCGGTGCCATTAGCCATGACAGACGTTCAAAAGACGTGTGCGTCGAATATGCAATAATTGCTTAAAGCTAGACTAGATTATGTAATAGTGAAAACATCCTTTATTAGGGTTATTGTTCATTTATACATGTAACCTGGGCCCCGATTACGCTAAAAATTTTCAACTTCAACATGCCCGGACGGGAGCTGTTTTGACAAATCCGTATCGCAGAATCGAAGAAATCGAAGAAGCGCGTCTGTATTGGAGACGTCAAAAATTAGCGTAATCGGGGCACTGGTCTAGTGGCTACCGAACTAATACGGAGATCACGGGTGCGAACGCCGTTCTGGGTCATTTTAATAAGTTTTTATTAACTACAAATAGTATAGACCTAGACAGGAATCGAATTAGCGTTCTCTTAGCGAATCCTGAATTGGCAGTCTGAGGCTTACATCATTGGGTTATAAGGCCCATATCATAAACTGTCTGTTATAGTTAGAAAAAACTACTTTTTAAGGCCTACAGACCTATATTTTGGGGCCTAGATGATGCTGTTTTAACATGTCCAAATATTTTTATTACATAACAACAAACTAGGCATCTCAGTGAGATATCTCCCCTAAAAAGTACACAGTCCACATTGCAAAAGATAAGCTCAGTACACCAACAGCATGTAAACACTAGTGACCATGATCATGCTGGATCATTCTTATCAGAACACGCGATTACTGATATAGACTTTCGATTTTGTACTGTAAAATCATTATTATTAATCAATTTCAAATTCAGATCTTAAACCATGGTTTTAGATTTGGTTATCTGGCCACACCCATTTTCCTATTTTGATAATAAATACCTACCTATGTCAGATATATACAGAACTGTAAGTGCATATAACATAGAATACCCTATTTAAAACTGGCAAAAAACCCTTCTTTAATATTATAACAGGAAGGTTAATAATTTATTAGATAAAATTACCAACAATGTATTAATCAGACACTTCTATTTTATCTGTTGTTTGAATAATTAAATGCCATTAGGAAAGTAATTTATTCATTAAAAATGCTGGTATGATTTTAAGTGTCTTATTTTGAACTTCCTGATCAAGATTGTATTTTAATCTCTTTCTTTTGCCCTAAAGATTATTAGTTTGTAAGGTTATCTGCATATGACATTTAAAATCATTATACTGTTTAAAACTATACTACAATGCTAAATAATTCAAAGCAATATTTACCATTAGGATCACACTTCTTATAGCAATTGGAAGCATCTACGAAGTTGGTGGCAGCATCGTGACGAACACCAGCCTTGAGGTGCAGTTGTGCGGCGCTGCAGAAAGCGTTGCCGGCTTGCGCCCACTTCTTGGCCATCTTGAAAAGGTTCGCTGCTCGGAGGTAGCAGTCCACGGCTTCTTCTACTTTTGACGAGCCTCTATTGTAGGAAAATAATAATAATAGAACTCTTTATTGCACACTACAACAAGAACAAGAACAAATAAAGGAAACACACGGAAAAGAACGAATGGTCTTATTGCTATGAAGCTATCTCGTCCAGACAACCCATGGTGAGGACAGATTAGTGATGGTCAAGTCGAGTAAGTAACTCGAGTTAACTCGAGTTGGGCGTAACTCGAACCCACTCGAGTTTAATTCTCTCTGACTCGAGTCGAGTTCGTGAACCGTATGGAACCGACTTAGAGCGAATTTTGCCGATCATTTGAGTAAGACTATGTTAGTTTATTCAATAATTCATAACAAACATCAAATCAATCACTGGTATCGACAACCACATTGGATATTGAGCCTCCTCAAAAAAGATTAAGGCACTGTTCCGTCTTTTGTAAAAAAATAACGCAAAATTCTGGTGATAACGCTTTAATTAATCTGATAGTCAAAGCTTTGCAGCCATTTCAGATAGTGGAAAATTCAGATCCAATTTTTTTAACTATTTTTAATGCGAAGCTGAAGGAGAATAAACTGGTAAAAATTTAAAAAATATTCACTTGTCCATCCAGTTAACTCGAGTTACGTAACTCGAGTTCAACCCGAGTTATGTGGATTTTAACTCGGGTTAAATCGAGTTTTGTTTTTTCCGAGTTGGCCCATCACTAGGACAGATGCATAAAACAAGTAAAATAATATTTGTAATTAATTAAATTTCAAGATACCAAGTTCATTTATCTTTTGCAAATATTTCTAATTAGATGTGTGAATCACATGGATTACTAAGGTTTAAAACTAATCTTATTACTTATCGAATATTATTTAACCATTTATCAGTCATAACATAATCAAATTTTTCATTGTTTTTTGACCTGACGCGAATAAGGTATAAAATATGGTGGGAACAATATTCCCACTGTCTTTTAAAGGCTTAAGCAAAATAAACTTTAATAATCATAATAAGAATGTTGCTTATATTATTTATAAATACATGTAGTATGTATTAGTCATGTGGGTTTGGGTTCAGTTCAAAGCATTTCATAATTTAGTAACAATAATCAATGATGAAAGCTCAAGACATCAATATTTGTACTCAATAAAGCCTTGAAATTAAAATAGTTGGACATACATTACTGAGGCTTATTGTACAACAAAAAAGTAAAATACAACATGCTGTTAGTCATCACATAGCCATTAGCTTTCTGCATAAAAGTGAAAGTTTAGGGAGAGGGGCTTAGTGTGTGTTTTTATTGATTAAAATTTGTAAGTTACTGTTGCATTGTTATAAGTAGTTATGAGACCTTTGACAATAGGAAGATGTTGGTGTAGGTTAGAACAAGATTAGAGGTCAATTAATCTATCAATTAAGAGTGCACTGAGAATTAATGACATCATTGTCTCTAAAATGGTTTTTCAAATACTACTAAGTCTGACAACTACAATGAATAGTATTATACATTTATGGAGATGATGTAAACATAATGAAAGGAGTAAACTAACAAGCAAATTGAAATTATCCATAGGAAATCTTGTGACTAAGATGAAAATTAGGCAAAATCTTGGTTGGAATATTTTTTTTTGTTTACAACTACAATGAAGAGGCAGAGTAAAGAACATGATGACTTTAATACGTTCAAGGAGCTGATAATTAAGCCAATATCAACAATTAATATGAGAAAGTCATTGTCCTCACCCAAAAAGTGACCCCAGGAACGATTTTGAAGAACTCAATTTTTTCTCCGCCTCCGCCATCAACTGCATTGCTTTTTGTTCATTGTCTGCCATCTTTGTGGCTTTTTAACACTATTCACTAAGCACAAAATCAACAAAATCCAACAATATTCCCAATTTATTGACAAAATGTCGTCAGCGCCGAAGTGTGAAAATCCGTCGCTGTCATCGATTGATTCAGTCTTGCCATATTGAAAAATTTTGTCATTTCAGATGCGTTCATTTATTCATATTTTTTTCTACCATAGACAAAGTTGTACCAGATTTTTATTCTCCATTTAAAAAAATGCTTTTACTTTTCACCCAGTTTAAATCTACAACTGCGTGTGCTACTCCTAGGTGCTTTCCGATGTAATAATCTTATATCGTTGGTTAATCAGCTTAATTGGGCGCATTATCCCGGCATTTACTGCGATGTGTACCCTACACCTGGGCGAGAATCGAACCTCATACCACTGATGAATTCTTGATGGAAGTGTGCGTGATACGGCCTTTTCCCCAATTTTTTAGCTATACAAATTATCCAATCTTACTTATCTTGTAACAGACTGTCGTAAACTCAAAATCAAAATACAAGTATTTTTTTATCCACAACGAGGAAGCTCTTGACCTCTATCTCACCTGATGGTAAGTGACGACCAAGTCGAAGGTGGAAGCGAGCTTCACTCGGAATCCTCAACCACGGAGGAACTGGCTATCTTACCTCTAACTGCCGGAACACAATAATGCTGTAACATTGTTGTTATGGCGACAGACTTAAGTAAGATGCTGGTAGCTAGCCAGGCGGACTTAGAACAAGCCCTACCACCAACCAAACCGAACAGAATAATCTGCTGCCCCCACTGGGAATCGAACCCGGGACCTCTGCGTCTGAAGCAGGTGGTCTTACCACTAGACCACAGAGGCGGTAAAAAAAGTCCCTTCTGACTATATTGCACTACCAGTAGTGTCGTGGGGTAGACAATATCGGAAGCACAAATTAGACAGATGTCTATATATAGAACAGAAGGTCCTATACGGGCCTTTAGATCCTGGTTAAGTGTGATACCTATCAGGTGCATTCCCTCCATCTATTCCTTGGTTGGGATCGTAATCCTTAAATTAATTTAGAAGTATTTTTATACCTTCATGGTGGACTCCTAGTAGATTTGTCTCCATGCATCGCAGTTGAAGCTACTATTTACTCAATTCTTAAAGAGGTGGGGTAATCCCACATTACTGGTCTCACACAACGTTAAATAAAACAATTTTAAACTTTATTGTACTTTTAATAATCAACCGCCACTATCTGCGATCCAACAAGATACACTTTGAAAGCTTTGTATTGCAGGAGTGTTCTGACAAACACAACAATAGAATATAAGTAGATCTTAAGATAGTCGAGTACAGAAACCCACTCCTAACAAAAATATATGATATCTTAGATATTGTGGGTGTGATATGTTAATCAGTGAAGTACGCATTGAACATTGGCTCTTGTTATGTAATGTAATGTAACTAAATAATCTAGCATTAGAATGAGTATCTTGGTAGGTACATTATATTGTAATATTGCTTCTATGACTGTTATTTGTACGATAAGCAACAGTTATTTCACACAATTCCTAAAATCAGCAAAATTAATTAAAAAACATAATCAGCAAAATAAATAAACGCACTATTAATTAACAACTGATTAACACATCACTGTCTTATGACTACATCTCCAACTAATGTAACAGCTATACAATATTCTCTGACATCTATTGAAATCTTGCTACTATAATACTGTGATTATTCAGAATATAATATCCACTAGCTTCAAGATTTGGTCTGCCCTAGGAAGTTTCAAGGTCTAAGATATGGGGATCCGTATACAGAAGACTGATTTTATTTGTTGGACAACAATGAGGGTTTTCGCGAATGAAAGATCCGCTAGATAGCGGGACGTGGATGTGGGGTCTGACTGCTGCGTGATTGGTGGATTTTGACATATCTGTCAATGTCATGTTAAAAATAACCAATCAGGGTCATTGCAGCATTTGGATCTCGCGTCTACGTATTGCCATCTGGCGGATTTTTCATTCGCGAAAACCCTCATTGTATTAACTCTGTACAGTGAGATATACAGCTGTTTCAATATTATATTTGGGCATATTTTTAAACTTCAGAATACGTAGCAAATGACCTTCCTAGAACAAACAGAAGTGCGACTTTAAATTTCTATACACTTACATTAACATTACAAACAGGCCGATTTAAGATTAGTTTGTGATAGTATTGTCATCGGAAAGAGAGGTAAATAGACATCCACAGATCTATATTAATTACACAAAAATAACTCTCTTTAGCTAGAGAAATTTGAAACACAAACACTACTCTAGAAACAAAAATTAATGTTGGTATAGGCTTAAACTGGACCCTCTGATAAGCTACGAAATAAAAGGGTAAAAACAAATAAAAAGCAAAAATAATCATAATTGATTTATTCCTTTCATAAATAAACTAAATCGAATATCTAAAGGCGCGATAGAGCTAGTATAACATAGCAGGGGATATATTTACATAAAATATTGCTACATTACATTTATAAAAAAAAGAATAAAATGTACAACTTAAAAATTTCAAGGTGACTTGAGTAAGAAAAGAAAATCCAAAGTGTGTCCTAGACTTTCTCTTAACAGAACTTATAAGTAGTCTACAAAGAATACCCTACTCTTCCAAATAAATCAGTCGAAACGACAATTCATCACAGCAAAAATCGAAAAGTACAGTATGGCCAACAAGAAAAAGAAAACTGGATTCATAAGAAGCGTAAAACATTCAAAATTATTTACGCTGTGAGCATAATCAAAAATATTGCACAAAAAATACTAGCAATAATATAACTGCATAACGATTTCAAACAACAGATCTCTTAGGATATTGCAAATGATATCATATACCATTAATTTTAACACTCAAAACTATTAAAACTAATCAATCAGTACATAAAAAGAGCACTACTGATCGACGATAAACGAAACGACTCATAAGACGCAGCATACATGCGTAGTGTTGCCACTTCTAAATGCACAAATTTTAATATTGTCCAAGAGTCTAAGATAGTCGAAAAGTACTACAATACGTGTATGTCGAGTCGATACCAGCCATGCTTTATGTAAACACCTATTTGTTTATATTATTTACAAACGCTATTTACTTAGTCGACCTGCAAGAATTAATTTGAACTGTACTAAAACATTTAATTAATGAATTTCTAATCTACTATAATGTGTGTACATATACATATAGCTATATAATATTTATTATGATCAGAATACATTTTCCTCTAACATTTTGAATAATGCAGCAACATTCACAGTGTTGCAATCTATAACTCACGTTTTCTACTTTAATGTAATTCAAATTTATTATGATAGCAACACTTAATAATTACAATACTTTGTCCAAATGTTTTAAATAAATAAATCGAATATTTATAAAATAATTCATACCATTTTAATACTTCGAAAATTGCTTTACAGTCTTTTAAACAAAAGTTTATCACATGTAAATAAATTACAATTGTTTTTAACACAGTCGTTTCATTTGCACAAAGTATTGTTGATATAACAGTAAAGATTACATATAATATAATATACAAACGTCCGGAAACATTAGCAGTGGCAAATTGATTTTACTGCCTTTTTGGAGCAAACATATGTTTTAACTTTCTTGATAAGCTAAGCACCTCACATTAATCCACATGGCATGCATTCTGTGATATCTATGACAACAATCTAATGCGTTCCATAACATTAATGTACGTTGACACGAATATTTTTACATAACATTGCGCACGGATATGGATGTTCACTGAAAGGTACATTCGATTATAAAGTGCTTTCATTCATAATTATTTAAGATTCTTGCATACAAGTAAAGGTTTATTGACATTACCACGTGTGATGCTATTTTAAAGATTGATATAGAAAATATCTTCAGTAATCAGACACGACAACCATCAGGTTACGCGGCGACTACCAGTGGCATTACATTAATGTGAACATACCTTTAATACCCCAAAGATCTTTATTTTCGGGTCTCGATTGACTAATTATGCAATTCTCATTTAAACACACAATATATTATTATTACACTTGATTTATAGATCCTATACATAACCATTACATACGTGACATCTACAGAATTTCATATACTTACTATTAATTTAAACTTCCAACTAAAAGAACTAGATTTTCACTTCAATTCCAATCCATAAATGCTGACTATGCCCGAAAAGTAGGAATAAAAAGCTATAATTATGTAACAAACTATTAAAATACTTTATATTGAATAAATCTGTCGCTAAGTATATAAATTATTTTTGTACAATTATGGAATGTGATGTCGGATGAATTTTGAAAGAAATCTATTAAAGACATACGCACCGTTTTCATAAGAAATTTTATCTAAAATATAATCATTAAGACCATTGCGAAAACGAAGAAGAAATGAAAATGAGAATAAATATAGATTTTTTCATAAAATAATTTGATTTTATCAATTTAATTTATTAAATTTTTAAGCAAATGATTTCTTTATTGATTTCATAGCGTATAAAAATATTTCATGGCAAATTCATAATCATAAATCACCTTCTAACATACGAGTAGTAATTTATTGTAAATTAAATGTTTATTTATAAGTAAAATAAGTGGCAGACAACATGATTTCATCAAGATGGAAAGATATAAGCACCGGAATGCTTGATACAGTTTATAGCTGTGATGAAAAAGAATGTAACTTTAGTTAGAAAGATACAGTCCTATTTCATGTCTGCAAACAAAAATAAGTTTTGTTAGGTACATGATTAGATCAGATTCCTAACCACGCGATCATGTGGTAACTTTGAACACAAAATTTACATTAGTGGTAGGAAGTAAGGGTTAAGTTAACTGCTTAACTTGAGAGGGTACGTCTACCTGAATCACAAGTCAGCTTCGAAGATAGCATTAAAACTACAACCCGAAGGCTTTGAACCATTGAAACAACAGTGCCTATTTTAATTACTTCTGACTCGCTACACTACATTTTCGAAAAATATTTGCCGCCAAAAGTGAAAATGGTACAACTCGTTTTCGCAACTTTTTGAGGCAATTATTTTTAACTTTTTGGTAGTAAGCCGTCGGGTAGGGTGACGAGGACCGTACAAAACTGATTTAAGAGTTTAACTGAACTGGTTGGTGGTCGGTTGTGGTGGTACCGCGGGCCGCATGGGTTGCGCCATTCCCATGGGCATCATGGGCGCTCCCGGCATGCCCATTACCACGCCTGGCTGTTGCTGGAATTGGAGAAGGTGATATGTTACGTTCAGAAAATTCTGGGATGCTGAGTACGCGCATTGATTACCGAGAACAAAGTAATTTTACCTAGTTTCAGTTACACAATTTGGTCACAAAACGAGCCTAAAGTATTCTTGCGATGCAAAACTTAGCGTCTATTGTGATGTCTAGCAAGACCACACAGAAGAATGGTATGAGTCTCACAATGAGCTAGTCATGCGAACAATCATTCACGACCACATCCATGCAAATTATTTACTCACATCGTACTCTTTACTTTACCTTCTGATACATCCATTGAATATACTGATTGTTGAACTTGTTAGGAGGGAAGGTCTTGGGATAAATCATAATAAAAACGAACAAAAAGGACAGCAAATTGCGATTACTACATTTAACTTTTTGAAAATTAAACTACATTACATTAATTTTCGATTTACAGTTTCTTCAGATTATACAGTGCCAATATTACGGTATAGGTTTTACTAATTTGCAAAGAAATAGCGTGTATAATAGGGAACCTAAAGCAAAGCCAGGGTTCACCAGGGATATCTAATCCTAAAATAAAGCAAAAGAAAAATAATGTACAAAATAAAAACACCATACAACTTACCACAATATAATGCGGAGGGTGATATGTATGGGGCAAAGTGTGGGGCATTGGCGGGAGTGTCATGCCAGGACCCTGAAAAACAACAATGCTGCCATGCTACGGGGAAAACAGAAAAAAAATGCACAAAGAAAAAAAATATAGCAAAAGAAATCGTTTTAAGTAGCGGAAGGGTCTAGTGGCTAGCGCAAAAGAATCTGCTAGCGAAAATTATATCGCAATATGCAACAAATAAAGCGGGATAGTAGAAGTTGGCGGTGGATGCACCGTTCCTTCGAGGTGGGTATCTCATTTTATCCTAAAGGGTTTTACTGTCTTCAGTTATTTGTTATCGCACGATAGTTCCATTAGTTTTTCATTTACTTGGGTAGTCACATCAATTAGCAAAAAAAACTTTTAGTCACACAATTTACTTATTGATTTTTTAATCTGTTCAAGTATCAATAGTCAAGATTAGTCAACGAACATGAATCAGTGTTATAACAGTTCGTTCCACAACTTTTAAGGACCAACAAACATAAATCAGCTCTATAACGTTCGTTCCATAACACATATTCGTTTAGCTCAATCAATGGACCATGGAAGTGTCGTGCGATGGCATATCCTGTAGGCCTAGGATGCGCGCCGCGATAAGCATCGCGCCATTTTACCGTACGCGATAAAGTCCATACATTTGTCTAAAATCGTCGATATGATTTTATCGCGGTGCGCATCCCAGCCCGGTTGTCGTTGCCTTACCATCGGCCGGTATCCAGCGCCGGTGGTGGCCTGCATAGGCTGCGGGCTCCACGTGTTGCCGGGCTTCGACGCGTTCTTGGGTGAACTCCACTGCATCGGTCTACGCCGACACGGTACGGGTCAGTCATGCGGGTTGGTAGGTCCATACGGTACGTTTTTGAGGTCAGACGCAAGGAAAATACGCTAATCCTCTTTCAAATGTTTTTTAAATCAATATATTTAAACTCTCTTACAATAAATAATACTGGTCATTCAAAAGCAGATTAACATTTTTTTTTGCAACTGACCCGTGTAAGTGTTTTAAGCATGTTGTCCTTATTGAAGCAGTAAGCCAAGTTGTATTCCGGCATGAGAGGTGATATTTATAAAATAAAATAGAGCCAGCTCGTGTTTCATTTGTGAAAATTGTGAGTTGTAACATTATTGACATCGGCGGCTAAAGTATAACTAATTTGGTTAATTAAAAGAAACCCTATGAAGAACTGTACCCGGTTGATTTATGTGTAAATACAATGTACCATATGAACCTATGAGATGTTTTACAAATGCATAGCTGCATTTAATTTACATTATTAAGGTAGTAAGTAAATTAAATTCAGATTATGCAAAGATAAAGGTGAATATAATTAAACTAGCATACTAATGATTCACGTACACTTCACTCGACAAGGTATTTCAAGATTCAGATTTGAAAAAACCTTAAGAATTGTAAGATTTACATAAATATACACGGTTTAACTTAATAAGTAGGCCTATTAAGCAGTCTAAAAAGTTTTTTAAACATCTGAAACTTGTAATTTATCTACAAAATCAAATTCAAAATATGGAAAAATCTTGATGACACTACTATTATATCTTCCAACCTTCAATCCAAGCTATTGCTTCCTACGAACATGTGCAAACTTTAATTGCTACGCTTCAAATTAAACTGGCGCAAAATGAACCTTTTTGAATTTGAAATGCAATAAATGAATTTAGAGTTGAATAATAACGAGTAAAATATAAGTACATACATGAGCTCCTAACTAATTCAATCATTATCATTTCAGCCACAGGACGTCGACTGCTGAACATTAGCCTCTCCTAATGATTTTTAAATTGGCCCGTTTTAGCGATTTTTATCAATACCATATTTAATCTTTTTAGTTATTTTGTAAATTTTTTTAAGCTGAAAATTGCGTATTACGAATCATAAATTCCAATTAATTCATATGATTGGTTCAAACAGCATGCGATTGAAAAACCCGAATTCTTCGAAAATACGTTTCAAATATCGAAATAATTAAAGATTCATTCTTCAAATTAATTGAAAGGCTATTTTGCCATGCCACTTTTCGATTAACAACAAAAACTTTATTTTTGCCTAAATAAATACAATAAAAAAATAATTAAAATTTTAGAGTTACTCACTTTTGCGCAGTGGCCGTCTTGTTGATAGACAGATTGTTGGCGAGCTGCGCTAGCGACGAATCCAAATCCCCAGTGAGAACCTTGCCGGTTTGTTGCTGGGGCTGTTGACCTGTTAACATGAATCTTATTCGTATTGTGTTATGGTTCTGTTTTGTATGTGCTCTAGAACTGTGAAATGTGACTTCTAAAATGTATCATGAAGTGATGTTTAAATTGATCTGGATTTTATTGTAGCATAAATAAGAGCTATTTCTCAGTGCAAATGACTGTAAAATTCAATACCTGTCATTAGAATGTTGAAACAATAAAAACAAAATAGGACTTTTATACATTATGTTATGACGACAAAAACCAAAGTTAAAATTATGTTTGTTTAATGTGATTGTTATTAGCGCATGTGGGTAACTTTACATGCATCAAAAGTTCGACATTACAACTAATCTAGTACAAAAATAAAAGTATTTACACGTGTCGTACATAAATTGTTAAATATACACTCGACAGCAAATAAATCGCACCACCCGCGACGCGAACTTTAAAGATTTTCTTTTGACACAATAATGGTGCCCCAACAATATTGGTGTTATTTGAAAGCCCAATAAATATCCTTAAATAAAAACACATTTAATTTCTTAATAAATGATTAACATATACCATAAATGTGACTTGAAAAAAGACCTCACTTTGGGCTCACCTCTGGGATCAATTAGACCAAATTTTATGGTTATAAAACCAAATAATGATCACACGTGTCCTCTTTAACAGATGGATAGCGATTAATCCCAAGTTAACAGTTTTATAGCCATAAAAGTTGGCTCAAGCGTAACTATCTATTTTTTGAAGAAGTGACTCTGGATCCTTCTAAAGAAACATTTTTAGGGTAAAAATCTTTCCTATAATGAAATGAAGTTTAGAACTAGGCTTTTGAATGGTACGTTATATACGTTTGAAAGTGCTTGTCGCGAGTGGTGCGATTTATTTGCTGTCGAGTGTAGATATACATAAAATAAATCCAATACAAAAATAAAACTACAACATGAACTATTTACAGCTGCTAGCTATAAAAACTCAGTGCGGGGAATTAGGTCGATAAGGTTCACTGTTGCGCGTCTTTCTAAAGCATCATTCCATCGCGATCTGGTCTTTGAAATCGATAGAGACAGAACGATGTTTGGACTTTGGACAAAAATCAAAGAGATGGGTATTTGCCACCACTCCCCAATAATTCTAAAGCACAACTTTTTTAAATAGGCACTTCATTCTGGTCTTAAAAACTTAATTAATTTTAAATTACCTGTAAATTAAGATTTTTGGTTGCATTGTAATTGAGAAAAGTTGACAAACTAGTGACGTCATTGGCTAGTATTGCCATGCAAAATCTATGAAAGTTTAGTTTTGACAGATTTAAAAAGTACGTCACTTGATTGGTGGTGGCAAATACCATAATCTGTGAAAGTGGGACAAAAAAAGAAAAAAAACTTGGCGGCAAGCGGACGGTTGCGAAAAAAAACAAACGAAGATCCATCTAGATTACAAATTTCGAACCCATCGCCGCCATCGGCACCATCGGCTGCCGGGCCGGCGAGCCGAACATCATCGGCTGGGTCATCGGCATCGACATGACGTCACTGAAAGGCTGCGTCATCGGCTGCGGTTGCTGAGTGACCGGTTGTGGTTGCTTGGCCGGGGAGCCGCCGAGGGACATACGCATAACGTCTTCGAGGTCATCGAACGCGGACTTAGGTTGCGGGGGAGGGGGACGGGCGGGGGACGCGGACGGCTGCGGCTCTCCCATACCCATGAACGGGTTGGCAGCTTGCGGAAGTACATAATACGTTAGATATGAACAATATACATTATACAATACAATAACCATCACCGATAAGTTTTTAATATTAATAGAAAGTACTGGAGAGGTTGCCATGGTAACACATACGATATTTAAAGCCCGGTCTCCGAGCACGTAGAATTTTGTCCAATGACCTCAAGCTACCCGTCCTTATCGCTCGCGCATAATTAATTATATTGCTGTCGCGACTGTGCGACGGGCGCCCGCAATGAGTGTGCGAGCGCAACAGCAATATAATTAATTATGTTGCTGTTGCGCTCGCACACTAGACGAAATTCTACGTGCTCGGCGACCAGGCTATAGTCATAAAAATTAAATTAATTACAAAACATGTCATGCTGTTCATTCGCGAAAAAAAAAGTCAGCCAGTCAAAGTATTTACTGAAAATATTTTTTTTTTATATCACTACTTTTTACAACACTTTCAACAATTTATTTATTTAGTCATATAAGATCTACTCAATTTAATTACAAATCTATCTACTTAAATTAACTTTGAAAAATTTCACTACCTCAAAAATCTACCAAATTAGTAGTTTCCGTTCAAACATGGCAACCCCTCGTGCGTCTACGTGTGGAAGCGCCTCACCTGTGCTGTCAGTGTTACTGAATACGTTAGAGAAGTTAGCCTCGGACACGAATGTGTTGCCGGCCGGCGCGGGGAAGGCGGCGAAGCCGTTGCTCGGCTGCTGCCACGCAGGCGCGGGCGCGGGCGCGGTCGCGGGCGCAGCTACAAAGTGTTGCCAGCGTTACGGGAGAATTTTTACAGTTTTTGTGACGTGTGAGATTGTAGTAATTTTTTTTGTTTATTATTTGACGGACTTTAGAGTGAATTTAGTGTTATTTTGTGTCCTAAAGTGTAGTGAGTTGATTATATTCGCGTAAAAACAACACTAAATTTCAACGCTCATCGAGTGAAGAACTAACTACTCGCTTTATTGGCGCGTGGCCGTTTGAAACCTTCTTACGGGAATTATTTGTCTCTCTAAAATATTTGTATGGGAGCAGCACGGGAAGGTGTTCTTTGACGTCAAACGTCAGTGCGACTTCAAATCTCCTTTGCCATGTCACGTCATAATATGTCAATGTCACCCCTCCCGTGTTGCTCCCATACCTCAACTGACTCAGTTAAGAGCTAGACCTATAAAACACCCATGTTCTATTGTACATATTAACTTGACATTGGCAGATATAAATGTCGCAAAGACAGTTGGTTTGCGCCGGGAAGGCCGCGAAGCCGTTGCTTGGCTGCTGCCACGCAGGCGCGGACGCAGCTACACTGTTGCCAGCGTTACGAATTTTTTTTATGCATAACAAGACAGGTACTTGACCGCAATCGTACCTGGTGTGTGAGATGCAGTGTAGGATGGTACATATCTGCCCTGTAAGTGCCTATTCACTTTCTCCTTGAAAAGGCCCGGATTATAGTGTTCGTGAATTATACACCCTTTGAGGGAAAACTTGTAGTGACGTGTGATATTGTAAGTTTTAGTTTTATCGTGCCTACATTGCTCTCTCAAAATAAGGTATACGCACAAGGATCGTTTATGAACAAAAAAAAAAATAAGGAGTGCCATCGTTCTATTGCAATTTCTTTCACGCATGACACACTTTCTTTGGAACATCGCAATCCTACAAGTTTTATTGCAGATGATACATAGCATCTGTTTTGTGGTTGACTTTTTGTAAACTTTATTTGTATTGTAATAGACTACAACGAACTTACAAAAGCAGGGTTTTTTCTGGAGATCGGTATTAGGTTCTCTGATGAGAACTTTTTTGATGCGACGCTATATTAATCCTGTTCAAAACTACGTCAGTGTTGTAACGTGAAAAACTGAGTGAGCCCAGTTTAGCAAGAATGTGTTCAGTGTGCGTTACCATCGCTAGAAGCTTGTAGTGTGCTGTTATATTACAGTGTGTACTAGTAGATGAGTACAGTAATGTAATCGTATTATCCAGATACTTATAAAAATTGTTTACAGTTTTGATTGTCAAAATCAGTATTGTGTAAACAATTTTGATAAACAGTATTGCTACAACAGAAAATTAAGGCCATTTGGTAATAATTTTATGTCTTTTTAGGTAAAGCATTATTAAACGAGGAAAAATTATTATGAAATGACCCATACCAACACCATTTTCTATACTATTATGGAATTATTTGTACAACAGTTAAGAGTAAGACTAATTTTGTGTAACAAATACGTTATCAAAAAGTAGTTTATTATCTTGTTTATTTGTTATATTTACACAAATCATAGAATGTAATTTTACTGAAATATTGGTTACTGCCTCTTCAGCGGATGTACGAAACTTTATCGAGGTCGAACGATATTTTCTGTAGGCGCACATTAGGCGATAGAAACGGCGACTGGCTACGGCTAACAATTTCATATATTTTGTTCAAAGCTTCGCACACTTGGCGTCAGACTTGCGGAGTCGCGACAAGTTATTATGTGAAATTGATAAGAATAGGCGTCAAGTTGTCGAGTTGTCGCGTGTCGCTTAGTGTGCGCCTGTACGTAACCTTATATTGTTTTAAACTTTCATGGTCACTAACATAATTATTATTACTGACGGGATTGCTACCATGTACCTTAATTTTGAAGTTCCGATATTTCGGCACTGTTGCAAGCGCCATGGTCACGGAGTAACTGAGGAAACTTGCGGGTGAGATGTTATGGGCAGAATATCGGTCTACCCTCAAAATGGTACATGGTAGCAATCCCGTCAGTAATAATAATTATGTACAGTCACGGAATGAAAAGGTTCGTCAGTTTTCAAATTGATTCCTTCAACGAATCGCGAGCACATATTACCTTTTGAAACTATGTTACAGAATAATATCGAGTTAGAGAAAATAATCTTTAACTGTTCGTCAGTAAAGTTCAAAATTATTCAGATCAAAGTTGTTTGACGATTTATCTTGTCAAGAAGATTATTATGATTGATAAACTAAAACCTTCTTGTTGGTTCAACCTGCCATTATTATTTCTTACTAGCGGCCGCCTGCGACTTCGTACGCGTGGATCCCGTTTTACCCCCTTCATCTATCTTACGCGGTTTAGATTTTTTCATACAAATGTTTTTTCCCGCTAACTCCCGTTCCCGTGAGAATTTTGCAATATCCTGTCGTAACTAAGCTTTAAAATTACTAAGATACCTGCATGCCAAATTTCAAGCGTCTAACTTAAGCGGTTTAGATTTTTTCATACAAATATTTGTTCCCGCTAACTCCCGTACCCGTGGGAATTTTGCAATATCCTGTTGTAACTAAGCTTTAAGTTTACTAAGATATCTGCATGCCAAATTTCAAGCGTCTAACTTAAGCGGTTTAGATTTTTTCATACAAATGTTTTTCCCCGCTAACTCCCGTTCCCGTGGGAAATTTTGCAATATCCTGTTGTAACTAAGCTTTAAGTTTACTAAGGTATCCGCATGCCAAATTTCAAGCGTCTAACTTAAGCGGTTTAGATTTTTCACACAAAAGGATTTTCCCGCTAATTCCCGTTCCCGTGGGAATTCCTTAGTATCCTATAACCTGCCCAGGAGTATGAAGAATAATTGTACCAAGTTTCGTTAAAATCCGTCGAGTAGTTTTTGTTTCTATAAGGAACATACAGACAGACAGACAGACAGACAGACAGTGAATTAAATTGCTAAAATATTTTTATAGTCGTGAAAGAAAAGTGGTTCACGATGTGTTAATGTATTTGTCGAAGAGAAATACTAAGGGTTCGGACAATATTTTCATTGAATAATGTTTCCGACAAAGGTTGTCAAATTGACTGACATGTTTATCGTATGGTACAGTCCACTATGAAAATTAGCTGTAGTCTGTTTCAACTACCTATTTTAAAGTTTTTTGTCACTTTCTAAGTTTTGAATTTTATGGAATTGGGAAAGAAGTACCGAGTTTGAAGCGTTCATGAGCAGACATTGCAGTTGAATATTCATGTTCTGAATTTGATTATTGATGAATAATAAAATAAATCCTACTAGCTCGATGGATGGTTTCATTTAATTTATTTAAACCAGGTTATCTTTAATAATATTTTTCGTTAATTTATGAAAATATCAAATTAGCCCGTAATCCTGAATCCTGATACATAAATTTAGCCTATTAATTTAACACATGTACGACTGTACTCAGTGTTGCACTATCAAATGCAATTGAAGCGCCTCTGTGCCAGGGTTTTTATGTTCCTGGTCAGGCTATATGTGCTTTATTTTATTTGAAGTCAAAATCTATCGGTCCATTAACTAGAACCTAAAAATGAGGTCAAATATAGAATTTTTTAGATACACACATAGGCTGTGCCAGGTGTGCCCCTTTAAGTTCAGAATGTCCAATTCCCAAAATGTCCAATCGATTGGTTCTTAGACCAAATTTTAGTATTTGTGTGTGTGAGATAACTGAATTTGTTGATACTTTGAAGAGCTGTGCTGTGGTGAATTGGATAAAGCAAAAAGCACTTTATTGCGTGCTGTGATGGAATATTATCACCAGCGTAAAATGGTATATGAGACATGAAAATGTTTTGTAATTTTTAGACAGTTTCAAACAATACACACACTTGATAATACGACACTCAACCATCCGAAACTATAGACAAAAAAAGACATAAAACCCCAGCTTTTTGAACACATCAAAAGGTGTGCCTTTTAAATTAATATAAGCTGTCGTGATTACTTTATCCCAAGAGCACGACAAAAAGTCAAAATACAAGCACATAATTTTTTTACAAATTATAAAAAAGATTAACGGTAAAAAGTATACATATAAAGATAGTAGTGGTTTCAAGATACATTCGCATTACTGTATCATGTGCCTTTTAATCCCATTTGATGCCATGGGTCAACACAGTCTCGTAGCAGTGCGAATAAACCTTTACAAAGCAGAGACAATAAACTGTGTGCTGTTCCCTTGAAAGCGACCATAGAAACCGCGACATACACAACCGCCCCCTAGCGAGTGCTTACAATAATCTCAGATACGTCTTCCTCGCCGGTCCACTCTACGCCTTGCAATAAGTGCACCTGAAAATGTTCTGGTGGTCACTAAATGTACAGTCACGGAATGAAAAGGTTCGTCACCTTAGTGTCGGTTTTCGCTTGCACTAGGTACTGTAAGAGTCAAACCTGCCAACATAACAGTGCAAGAAACAGTGCTGCTAACATTTAAATAAATATGACGTTTGCTAACGAATAAGGTTTTGCTTGTTTATTTTTCTATCCCATCAGTGCAATGCAATGATGAAATTGACCAATTGACAATAGTTTTTTTTNATCGACATGACGTCACTGAAAGGCTGCGTCATCGGCTGCGGTTGCTGAGTGACCGGTTGTGGTTGCTTGGCCGGGGAGCCGCCGAGGGACATACGCATAACGTCTTCGAGGTCATCGAACGCGGACTTAGGTTGCGGGGGAGGGGGACGGGCGGGGGACGCGGACGGCTGCGGCTCTCCCATACCCATGAACGGGTTGGCAGCTTGCGGAAGTACATAATACGTTAGATATGAACAATATACATTATACAATACAATAACCATCACCGATAAGTTTTTTATATTAATAGAAAGTACTGGAGAGGCTGCCATGGTAACACATACGATATCTAAAGCCCGGTCTCCGAGCACGTAGAATTTTGTCCAATGACCTCAAGCTACCCATCCTTATCGCTCGCGCGTAATTATGTTGCTGTTGCGCTCGCACACTCATTGCGGGCGCCCGTCGCACAGTCGCGACAGCAATATAATTACGCGCGAGCGATAAGGATGGGTAGCTTGGGGTCATTGGACGAAATTCTACGTGCTCGGCGACCAGGCTATAGTCATAATCAAATTAATTACAAAACATGTCATGCTGTTCATTCGCGAAAAAAAAAAGTCAGCCAGTCAAAGTATTTACTGAAAAGAAGGATTTTTTATATCACTACTTTTTACGACACTTTCAACAATTTATTTATTTAGTCATATAAGATCTACTCAATTTAATTACAAATCTATCTACCTAAATTATCTTTGAAAATTTTCACTACAAAAAATCTACCAAATTAGTAGTTTCCGTTCAAACATGGCAACCCCTCGTGCGTCTACGTGTGGAAGCGCCTCACCTGTGCTGTCAGTGTTACTGAATACGTTAGAGAAGTTAGCCTCGGACACGAATGTGTTGCCGGCCGGCGCGGGGAAGGCGGCGAAGCCGTTGCTCGGCTGCTGCCACGCAGGCGCGGGCGCGGGCGCGGGCGCGGTCGCGGGCGCAGCTACAAAGTGTTGCCAGCGTTACGGGAGAATTTTTACAGTTTTTGTGACGTGTGAGATTGTTATTTTTTTGTTTGTTTATTATTTGACGGACTTTAGAGTGAATCTGGTGTTATTTTGTGTCCTAAAGTGTAGGGAGTTGATTATATTCACGTATAAACAAAACTGAGCGCTCATCGAGTGAAGAACAACTCGCTTTATATCCGATGGCGCGTAAACCTTCTTACGGGAATATTGGTCTCTCTAAAATATTTGTATGGGAGCAGCACGGGTGTTCTTTGACGTCAAACGTCAGTGCGACTTCAAATCTCTTTCAGTTTTGTATGCCATGTCACTTCAATATGTCAATGTCACCCCTCCCGTGCTCCCATACCTCAAGAACTGATTCAGTTAAGAGCTAGACCTATATAACACCCATGTTCTATTGTATTGTACATATTAACTTGACATTGGCAGATATAAATGTCGCAAAGACAGTTGGTTTGCGCCGGGAAGGCCGCGAAGCCGTTGCTCGGCTGCTGCCACGCAAGCGCGGGCGCGGGCGCGGTCGCGGGCGCTGCTACAAAGTGTTGCCAGCGTTACGGGAGAATTTTACAGTTTATGTGGTTGTACTGGTTTTAATTTATTATCTGAGGGACTTTAGTATATGAATTTAGTGTTATTTTGTGTCTTAAAGTGTAGTGAGTTGATTATATTTGTGTAACTTTGAATTTGAGCGCTCATCGAGTGAGAACAACTCGCTTAAGACCCAATGGCGCGTGGCGCTTTGAAACTCGCTTACGAGATAATTTGTCTCCACAGTATTGTACAAATGAGGGCTATTGTTTTACGTTTTATTTTTTGGTCCTTGCTTTATATTAATTTTTTTACTTGTTATGCGCATTTTTTTACGCGAACCCTTCTGGCGCACCGTATGCAGTATTGTGTTTCGAATATCGATGTGAAAAAACTGGAGTGAGCCCAGTTTAGCAAGAATGTGTTCAGTGTGCGTTACCATCGCTAAAAGCTTGTAGTGTGCTGTTATATTACAATGTGTACTAGTAGTTGGTAGTACAGTAATGTAATCGTATTATCCAGATAGTTATAAAAATTGTTTACACTTTTCATTGGCAAAATCAGTGTCGTGTAAACAATTTTGATAAACAGTGTTGCTACAACAGAAAATTAAGGCCATTTGGTAATAATTTTATGTTTTTTTAGGTAAAGCATTATTAAACGAGGAAAAATTATTATGAAATGACCCATACCAGCACCATTATTTACTATTATGGAATTATTTATACAACAGTTAAGACTAATTTTGTGTAACAAATATGTATCAAAAAGTAGTTTAATCTTGTTTATTTGTTATATTTACACCATTCATAGAATGTAATTTTACTAAAATGTTGGTTACTATCTCTTCAGCGGATGTTCGATATTTTCTGTAGGCGCACATTAGGCGATAGAAGCGGCGACTGGCTGCGGCTGACAATTCATATATTTTGTTCAAAGCTTCGTACACTTGGCGTCAGACTCGCGGAGTTGTGACGAAAAGTTATTATGTGAAATTGATAAGAATAGGCGTTGTGCCATGTTGGGGGACCGTATGAATGAGACACGGGTTGTAATTAGTCTCTGCTTTAAGTCTGTTTATTAATGTGAACTGCGCGACTATTTATACGATATAGATCAAAGGTAAATGACGTCACAGCATCAGCACTATACGTGATAAATGTGCTGACACTGCGAACGTGATCAAGATAAGATATGAAGAGATTAAGAATTGTGCATACCGGCACAGGCGTCAAGTCGTCGAGTTGTCGCGTGTCGCTTAGTGTGCGCCTATACGTAACCTTATTTTTTTTTTTTTTTATTATTTTAAACTTTCATGGTCGCTAACATAATTATTATTACTGACGGGATTGCTACCATGTACCTTAATTTTGAAGTTCCGATATTTCGGCACTGTTGCAAGCGCCATGGTCACGGAGTAACTGAGGAAATTTGCGGGAGAGATGTTATGGGCAGAATATCGGTCTACCCTCAAAATGGTACATGGTAGCAATCCCGTCAGTAATAATAAATATACAGTCACGGAATGAAAAGGTTCGTCAGTTTTCAAATTGATTCCTTCAACGAATCGCGAGCACATATTACCTTTTGAAACTATGTTACAGAATAATCTCGAGTTAGAGAAAATAATCTTTAACTATTCGTCAGTAAAGTTCAAAATTATTCAGATCAAAGTTGTTTGACGATTTATCTTGTCAAGAAGATTATTATGATTGATAAACTAAAACCTTCTTGTTGGTTCAACCTGCCATTATTATTTCTTACAAAATAAAAAAAAACTATTGTCAATTGGTCAATGTCATCATTGCATTGCACTGATGGGATAGAAAAATAAACAAGCAAAACCTTATTCGTTAGCAAACGTCATATTTATTTAAATGTTAGCAGCACTGTTTCTTGCACTGTTATGTCGGCAGGTTTGACTCTTACAGTACCTAGTGCAAGCGAAAACCGACACTAAGGTGACGAAACTTTTCATTCCGCGACTGTACTTAATCATATCAAATATCTTTTACAACTAAAGTTAAAGTATTAGCTGTAACTACATACCTCCAAACATATCAGCGAACGGGTTCCCCAGCGATAGCAGGTCGTCGGACGCCTTGCCAGCGTTGTTTGCCGGTTCAGCGGGCGCCGGCCCGAACAGATCCACGATGGACTGCTGGTTGGACGGCGGCGCAGATGACAGGAACGGATTGTTGGCCGCCGAGTTGGTAGGAGACTGCACCTTGTTCTGGAGAGAAGGGGGTTGTTAGATGGGGTAGTTGAGGGTAGAAACCCACACCTGGATGAAGCGATGGTTGGTGTTTTAAAACTTAGGTTGAGTTGCACCATCTTACTTTAACAAACGTCAAAAATCTTTCAAACTCCATACAAAAAGCACCGGTTATCGTTATAGTTACGGTTAAAGTTAGATAGCGCAACTCGGCCTTAGGGGACCAGGAATTATTCACAGATGGTATCATGTAGTAACTCATAAAAACGAAAAATTGAAATTGTGTAGGAAAAGCTGAAATATTTTTCTTTATTTGCTACCTAGTAGCTGGTTTTTTAGCATCCCTTTTTCGTCTGTATCTGCTTAAATAGTATGTATTAATCAAATTCAGACCATTTTTTATGTAATCGAAATAACTGAATTTATAATGACGCTGATCAGCTGTGCTGTGGTGAATTTTATGAAGCATAAAGCTTTTTATTGCGTGCTGTACGATTGCTTTTTTATTTATGAACGTAGAATGATATATTTTATGAATGAAAATGTTTTGTAATAACCTTTAAGACAATTTCAAACAATACACACACTTGAAAATACGATACACGACCATCCGAAACCATACACAAATAAGTAGACATAAAAATCCCAGCTTTTTGAACACATCAAAAGGTGTGCCTTTTAAATTAATATAAGCTGTCGTGATTACTTTATCCCAAGAGCACGACAAAAAGTCAAAATACACGCACATAATTTTTTTACAAATTATAAAAAAGATTAACGGTAAAAAGTATACATATAAAGATAGTAGTGGTTTCAAGATACATTCGCATTACTGTATCATGTGCCATTTTGTCCCATTTGATGCTATGGGTCAACACAGTCTCGTAGCAGTGCGAATACACCTTTACAAAGCAGTGACAATAAACTGTGTGCTGTTCCCTTGAAAGCGACCATAGAAACCGCGACATACACAACCGCCCCCTAGCGAGTGCTTACAATAATCTCAGATACGTCNGAGCGTGATCCCCTCTTGCCCTCGAGCGTAATCCCGTCACTAGAGGGTTCTAGCGTGCAATACCAACAATAATGATCAAATATTTACCTGGCAGTCTGCGTGGGCGTGTTGGCCGCGGATCCCTTCTTGCCCTCAAGGGCGGCGAGGTGGCCCTCCAGCGCGTCTAACAGACTGCTGGGCGCTTTGGTCAGGTCGGGCATGTCGTCCTTGTCGTCATAATATACCATGAGGAATGAGAAGATGTTCCCTTGGTAGTCTGCGTGAGCCTGTTGGCAGCGGACCCCTACTTGCCCTCAAGCGTGTGAGATCTTCCTAAGGAGAGCGTGATCCCTTCTTGTCCTCGAGCTTAATCCCTTGTTGCCCTCAAGAATGATCCCTTCTTACCCTCAAGCTTAATCCCTTCTTGCCTTAGAGCGTGATCCCTTCTTACCCTTAAGCATAATCCCTTCTTACCTTTGAGCGCGATCCCTTCTTGCCCTCGAGCGTGATCCCCTCTTGCCCTCGAGCGTAATCCCGTCACTAGAGGGTTCTAGCGTGCAATACCAACAATAATGATCAAATATTTACCTGGCAGTCTGNATAAAAAAAACTATTGTCAATTGGTCAATGTCATCATTGCATTGCACTGATGGGATAGAAAAATAAACAAGCAAAACCTTATTCGTTAGCAAACGTCATATTTATTTAAATGTTAGCAGCAATGTTTCTTGCACTGTTATGTCGGCAGGTTTGACTCTTACAGTACCTAGTGCAAGCGAAAACCGACACTAAGGTGACGAACCTTTTCATTCCACGACTGTACTTAATCTTATCAAATATCTCTTACCACAGAATAATAAAAAGTACTACATACATAAGTTTTACTTCGCGAAGGTATTTTAAAAAATGTATGCTCAATGTCATTAACAATATGGTGTAATTTAGCCTGTCTCAAGAGTCAAGCACCATTTTGTTGACAAACGTCAGTGATCGGCACTGCGCCGAAGCTATAGGGCTGACTTCGGTAAAATGATGTGACGTGAGGTGCGTGTGAAAATGGCGGAAGAAATACATGATTTAGCATGAATTATCATGAATAATATTAACTACTTATTAACCTCTCAGTGTCTTGAGGCAACTTAAAAAGAACATCCTGTGTTTTTATTATTATTTAGGCAGTTAAATACTGCACAGTATTTAGTACACCATTTTCTTTATTTTCTTCCATCATACACAAGAATACGCGTGCGTGAGTAAATGTTCGCTCGTATGTGAGGCCTTGTCGAATAGTATCCTGTAGGTGGGCCATCGTGCGTGTTTTGTTTTCGATGTAAACTCGCGGAGATGAACAGGCCTGCTCTTACAACTAAAGTTAAAGTATTAGCTGTAACTACATACCTCCAAACATATCAGCGAACGGGTTTCCCAGCGATAGCAGGTCATCGGACGCCTTGCTAGCATTGTTAGCCGGTTCAGCAGGCGCCGGCCCGAACAGATCCACGATGGACTGCTGGTTTGACGGCGGCGCGGATGACAGGAACGGATTGTTGGCCGCAGAGTTGGTAGGAGACTGCACCTTGTTCTGGAGAGAAGGGGGTAGTTAGATGTTGGGTAGTTAGTTGGGGGTAGAAACCCACACCTGGATGAAGCGATGGCTGAAGTTTTAATACTTATGGACTGGGAAACTAATCGGAAATGATTTAATTAACTGAGCATGAAAACAAAATTTTTAAAAAGCCTATGTATGTTAGGTATAGCCTGACCAGGAACATAAAAACCCTCGCCATGTTGCGGAAAACTAATGGTACTAATTTCTTTTAATGGCAACAGTAACTGAAAACTTCATTGACATGTCACCTTGCATGTCAGTCTATTGTTGTCAAAGTGTAAACAAACTTTATTTTAAATGTGTGCAATTGATTTTGTGAATTAAATTGCTAAAATATTTTTATAGTCGTGAAAGAAAAGTGGTTCACGATGTGTTAATGTATTTGTCGAAGAGAAATACTAAGGGTTCGGACAATATTTTCATTGAATAATGTTTCCGACAAAGGTTGTCAAATTGACTGACATGTTTATCGTATGGTACAGTCCACTATGAAAATTAGCTGTAGTCTGTTTCAACTACCTATTTTAAAGTTTTTTGTCACTTTCTAAGTTTTGAATTTTATGGAATTGGGAAAGAAGTACCGAGTTTGAAGCGTTCATGAGCAGACATTGCAGTTGAATATTTTTAAATTTTGATGTCCATATGAGTACTGAGTGGGTATATGTATTTGTGATTGTGGGGTATTTGTATGTGTGTAAAAAGGACCGTTTACATTCGTGATTCTGTATTTTAATGAAAAAAAAAAGAAGACGCAAACTTCACATGCCAAAAGAATGTTTAGGAAAAAGTTTCTATAATGGGGTTAGCCTTTTTATGTATATTGGTAATAAGTGTTATTTTGCAACTAAAATGTAACTGTTCGTTCGTTTCAGCCAAATGACGTCCACTGCTGGACAAAGGCCTCCCCAAGGTTTTCCATAATGAACGGTCCTGCGCTGCCCGCATCCAGGCTCTTCCCGCGACCTTTACCAGATCGTCGGTCCACCTAGTAGGAGGCCTGCCCACGCTACGTCTTCCAGCCCGTGGTCGCCAATCGAGAACTTTCCTGCCCCAACGGCAATCATCTCTACGAGCTATGCCCCGCTTACTGCACTTGATTTTAGCAATGCAAAAATGTGACTGTATTGAATGTAAATATTTTTTTATACATAACAGTATTAACACTAAAATGGTCTTAGGGCATCACATTCAAACTGGTTTCTGTCTGTTCTTTTCGGCAGCACTTGGTCACTAGACGTGCAGTGACGTCACGCGCTCGCTCTGTACTGCGTGCCCACGGTGCCCGTGGGCCGCAGTGACGTCACATGTAACGTCACTTACCTTGTACTGATTCATGGCAGCCTCCTCTTCAGCCAGCGCTTGCTGCGCTAGCGAGTCGTCTATAAACAGCGGCGCGGAACCATTGGCCGCTTTGTCCAGTCGACTGGAAGCCGCCGCGTTGCCGAATGACGATGACGTAGATGACAGAGCGCCCATCACGCTGGCAACGTTCTTTTGGGCGCTGGAACATAAAAATATTATCCTTTGAGAAAAGCCCGATGGCATCAACAGTTTTCATAGTAATATTTCCGATCTTCATTCTATAAAGTGAAGCGTTTGCGAGGGTAAGTTAGTCAAATGGCAGTCTGCTTGATCCCTTGTTGCCCTCGATCTTGACCCCTTCTTGCCCTCGAGCGTGATCCCTTCTTACCCTGAAGCATAATCCCTTCTTACCTTCGAACGTGATCCCTTCTTGCCCTCGCGCGTGATCTCTTCTTGCCCTCGAGCGTAANTCCACGCTACGTCTTCAAGCCCGTGGTCGCCACTCGAGAACTTTCCTGCCCCAACGGCAATCATCTCTACGAGCTATGCCCCGCTTACTGCCACTTGATTTTAGCAATGCAAAAATGTGACTGTATTGAATGTAAATATTTTTTTTATACATAACAGTATTAACACTAAAATAGTCTTAGGGAATTCATTCTAACTGGTTTATATCAGCGTTCTTTTGGACAGCACTTGCTTACTAGACGTGCAGTGACGTCACGCGCTCGCCCTGTACTGCGTGCGGCACCGTGGGCCGCAGTGACGTCACATGTGTCTCTAGTCAGTCAGCTAGTGACGTCACTCACCTTGTACTGGTTCATGGCAGCCTCTTCTTCAGCCAGCGCTTGCTGCGCGAGCGAGTCGTCTATAAACAGCGGCGCGGAACCATTGGCCGCTTTGTCCAGTCGACTGGAAGCCGCCGCGTTGCCGAATGACGATGACGTAGATGACAGAGCACCCATAACGCTGGCAACGTTCTTTTGGGCGCTGGAACAGAAAAAGATATCCTTTAAGGGACGATAGTATGAACAGTTTTTCATAATGATATTTCCGATCTCCTTCTTTCTATAAAGTGAAGCATTTGGGAGGTCTAGAAGCGAAGAAGGCACTTGTTTTACCGGCGACGAGAAAAAGAGAAACTATTTTGTCGCTCAAGATACGTCACGCGTATCGGTTAGTCGAGTCAGTTAGTGTTGGCAGCGGATCCCTTCTTACCCGCGAGCGTGATCCCTTTTTGCCCTCAAGCGTGATCCCTTCTTGCCCTCGCGCGTGATCCCCTTTTTCCGTCGAACATGATCCCTTCTTGCCTTCAAGCGTGATCTCTTCTTTCCCTCGAGGGTGACCCCTTCTTACCCTCGAGCGTGATATCTTCTTGCCCTCGAGCGTGATATCTTTTTACCTTCGAACATGATCCCTTCTTACTTTAGAGCGTATCCCTTGTTGCCCTCGAGCGTGATCCCTTCTTACCCTGAAGCATAATCCCTTCTTACCTTTGAGCGCGATCCCTTCTTGCCCTCGCGCGTGATCTCTTCTTGCCCTCGAGCGTAATTCCTTCACTAGAGGGTTCTAGCGTGCAATACCAACAATAACGATCTAATATTCACCTGGCAGTCTGCGTGGGCGTGTTGTCCGCGGATCCCTTCTTGCCCTCGAGGGCGGCGAGAGCATCTAGCAAGCTGCTGGGGGCTTTGGTCAGGTCGGGGATGTCGCCCTTGTCATCAGTAAGATACCAAGAGAACGGGATGAAGTCAGTCAAATGGCAGCCTGCGTGATCCCTTGTTGCCCTCGAGTGTGATCTCTTCCTACCGGGAGCGTAATCTCTTCTTGCCCTAGAGCGTAATCCCTTCTTGCCCTCAAGCGTGATCTCTGCTTACCATGGAACGTGATCCCTTATCCTCAAGCGTGATCCCTTCTTAGCCCTTAACACGATCCCTTCTTGCCCTGGAGCGTGATCCCTTCTTACCCTGAAGCATAATCCTTTCTTGCCCTAGAGCGTGATCCTTTCTTGCTCTCGAGCCTGATCCCCTCTTACCCTGGAGCGTAATTCTTCTTACGAGAGAGTGAGCGAGTGAAATAACAATAATAACGAGAGTATATTCACCTGGCAGTCTGCGTGGGCGTGTTGGCCGCGGATCCCTTCTTGCCCTCGAGGGCGGCGAGGTGACCCTCCAGCACGTCAAGCAAGCTGCTGGGCGCTTTGGTCAGGTCGGGGATGTCGCCCTAGTCGTCATAACATACCATGAGGAATGAGAAGATATTCCCTTGGTAGTCTGCGTGAGCCTGTTGGCAGCGGACCCCTACTTGCCCTCAAGCGTGTGAGATCTTCCTACTGAGAGCGTGATCCCTTCTTGTCCTGGAGCTTAATCCATTGTTGCCCTCAAGAATGATCCCTTCTTACCCTCAAGCTTGATCCTTTCTTGCCCTAGAGTGTGATCCCTTCTTACCCTGAAGCATAATCCCTTCTTACGAGGGAGCGCGATTGATTCTTACCCTGGAGCGTGATCCTTTCTTATCCTCTAGCTTGACCCCTTTTTACCAGCGAGTGTAATACCTTCTCGCCCTAAAGCGTGAAAACCAAGAAGAGAAGACATTCACCTGGCAGTCTGCGTGGGCGTGTTGGCCGCGGATCCCTTCTTGCCCTCAAGGGCGGCGAGGTGGCCCTCCAGCGCGTCTAACAGACTGCTGGGCGCTTTTGTCAGGTCGGGGATGTCGCCCTTGTCAGCAGAAAATATCAAGAAGAACGGGAAGAAGTCAGTCGAATGGCAGTCTGCGTTATCCCTTCTTACCCTCGAGCTTGATCCCTTCTTGCCCTAGAGCGTGATCCCTTCTTACCCTCGAGCGGAATCCCTTCTTACCCTCAAAAGTGAGTAAAAACCAAGAAGAAATAAGAAGATATTCACCTGGCAGTCTGCGTGGGCGTGTTGGCCGCGGATCCCTTCTTGCCCTCGAGGGCGGCGAGGTGTCCCTCCAGCGCGTCTAACAGACTGCTGGGGGCTTTGGTCAGGTCGGGGATGTCGCCCTTGTCGATGCCCACGTTTTCTGCCACCTGGAAGCAGTGATCAATGACCCTGAAGGTTGTAAACAAAGTATAGACTACTTGTAGCCTTTCCACAAGGTGGACTGGGTGTCCAACAAGGTGGATAATGGACAGATGACCTTGTAAAGGTTGCAGGGAGGCGCTGGATGCAGGCTGCTGCCAACCAGTCAATATGGTAATCATTGGAGGAGGCCTATATTCCGCAATAGACGTCCTATGACTGAAATGATGATGATAATGATGACATTCTACACTGCCGATACCACATAACTAGTGCTTTAATGGTCTTCGTTAGTTCATTTTAATGGTGGTCAGTTTTGGCAACACAGAACATATAGACGATAGTCCACCGCGGGCGTTGTTCAACTCTGATTAACGCCATAAGATACGCTCTCCTACTTTTTTCATCCAGCCGCTGCCGCCTACCACCGATGAATGCCAGAAGACATGCTTTCTCACTTTTTTCATCCAGCTGCCGCCACCTATCATACTTGCTTCCACCTTCGGTCTGATTTATCATTTCCCTTATCAAGTGATATACAGGCTAACAGCTTTCTTATGGTGAATAAAAAAACGTTTACCTTCAGGAACTCTCCGACCCTATCCATCCTGATGAGGAACTTTTTATAGAGATCGAGAGCCTCCCGGCAGTTCTTCTTGTTCATGTCGAAGAACTTCTCCAATAGGTTTATGATTCCGTCGTTGTAGCACGCGAACAATCTGCGGAGAAAACGTTATAATGTTATCTACGTCAATCAAAATCAAAAATATTTATTCAGTTTAGACCACAAGTGGCACTTATGAACGTCAAAATATAGTAAATAATATAAAAGAAAAGGTAGCCCTTATGGGGCACTTTACACGTCTCCTTATCTTTAGGGACCTACCAGTGCTTCGAGACAAACATATGGCAAGTGCTGAGAAGAAACGCCGGAACAAACTCAGTCACCACTAATGAGTTATAGCAAGTAAACGTATTTTCTTCAGACCTTTATTAAGGGCCTACGCTAAAATTTTGCAAGGGTGCCGTATGTATGTCCTAATAATAATCAAATTAAAAACTTGGCTAAAAAGAAAGAGCAGTAAATGAGCCCATTTCTTGGAGGGGCCATTGCAAAGTAGATTTTTGTGACTGGTTCTTTATTATAAGAACAACCTTTCGAGATCCTAGAACAGCTTTTAGACCTTCAACTGTAAATTTTATGGCAGTTTTTTGAGAAGTTTACTTTTTGGTATTTTATACTCTACGAGCTTGCACTAAAGGGCGATATTTCCATCTAAGCGATACCTGAGCAGGTCTCGGAACAGCGATGCACTGTCATTTACACACCTATAGTCTGGTCTGTGAGCACGTAGAATTTTGTCCAATGACCCCAAGCTACCCATCCTTATCGCTCGCGCGTAATTATATTGCTGTTGCGACTGTGCATTGGCACCCGCAGTGAGTATGCGAGGGTAGCTAGGGATCATTGGACAAAATTCTATGTGCTCACAGACCGGGCTTTAGTGCGTGGTAATTTAGACTCTACGAGCTTACTCTAAAGGGCGATATCTACCTGATCAAATCTCGGAACAGCAGCATAAAGCACATGTTGATGACGCCATTGGTGAGGTCGTTGGCGGTACAGTCGAACTCGAGCAGCGAGTCCAGTTGAGCCTGCAGCACTGGCAGCGTTTTGAGGAGCTTCTCCACATTCATCATCCGGAGGGAGCCTTCTTCTTTGCTGTGGACGATGATGATAAAGATGTTAATGATTAACTGTTGCTTTGTTAGATTTTGCGGAAAATATTATTAGCAAGTACACAGCTTTGTGTAATGGCATTTCAGTGGCAATGGGCAGGGCACATAGTACGCAGAACTGACGGCCGATGGGGCAGCAAGGTGGAAGAAAGCTGGAATGGAGGCCGCGTACCGGAAAACGCAGCATGGAACGTCCACCTACAAGGTGGACCGACGACATCGTAAAGGTAGCGGGGAAGCGCTGGACGCAGGCCGTTACCCAATCGATCAACATGGAAAGCATTGGGGGAGGCCTATGTTCAGCAGTGGACGTCTTATGGCTGAAGTGATGATGATGATAATGATGACACAGCTTTGCTCTTTCCGACAGTACGTCCATCCGCAAGTTGGACCGACGACCTCATGAAGGTAGCAGGAAGGCGCTGGATGCAGACCGCTACCAATCGGTTGTTATGAAAATCATTGGGGGAGGCCTATGTTCAGCAGTGGACGTCTTATGGCTGAAATGATGATGACGACACAGCATAGGGCATATAATGCTTACTTGTTATTTTCTCTAAGGTTAAATGTTTGACGTGTGAAACGTGTGTGTCATCGTATCTCCCAATACAGTAATCAAATTTATTATTTCAGGCTAAGGCAATATGCCGTAAAGTTTCGATTNCGTTATTTGCGTTATAGGAGGCATATAGTATTATTATACTAGCGGCCCGCCCCGGCTTCGCACGGTTGCAACTTAATTTTCTCGGCTTTTCTCTTCTATAATATGCATGTTTTAAACATACAAACCTTCATCTTGAAGCACTCTAACTATTGAAAAAACCGCATCAAAATCCGTTGCGTAGTTTTAAACATCTAAGCATACATAGGGACAGACAACAGGACAGCGACTTTGTTTTATACTATGTTGCGAAGTAGGTATAATGTAAATTAAATTAAATATTGGCTGAAAAGAAAGTGTGGGTGTGGAGGCGTCATTCCTTGTATTCCTTTGAGATGCCATGTTGACTTCTGCGAGTCGAAGACTGGGTCTCATTATAATAAGTAAATCTGAGAGGTCCTGGAATGGCTTTTAGACTTATAACTTCTAGTTTTAAAGTAGACTATTTGAGGAGTCTACTTGCAGCGATGTATGCATGGTGATTTAAACACCACAAGCGCCAGCTCGTGCTAATTAAAGGGAACATGTACATGTAGATGACTCCTTTGGCTCTATTCTTCTGCGTAGTAATTTAGACTCTACGAGCTTGCTCTAAAGCAGCGGTTCCCAAACTTATTTAGTCTACTGCCCACTTTGAGAATAAAATATTTTTAGCGCCCCCCATTTCTGTAGTCAAGAGTCGAGCTCAGTCGGTGTCTAAGAGTCCTCCTAGTAGATGACGCCTCCCAAGCATCTACACAACGTCCCGATTTTTTTTCTGGGTCTCTTACCGCCCCCCTTTAAGCCTGCAGCGCCCACAAGGGGGCGTTATCGCCCACTTTGGGAAAGACTGCTCTAAAGAGCGATATCTACCTGATCAAATCTCGGAACAGCAGCATAAAGCACATGTTGATGACGCCATTGGTGAGGTCGTTGGCGGTACAGTCGAACTCGAGCAGCGAGTCCAGTTGAGCCTGCAGCACTGGCAGCGTTTTGAGGAGCTTCTCCACATTCATCATCCGGAGGGAGCCTTCTTCTTTGCTGTGGACGTAAAGATAAATAAATAAATAAATATCCTTAGACATTTTACACTGCGCTTCTAGTCCCAAACTAAGCAAAGCTTGTACTATGGGTACTAGACAACGGATATAAACATACTTAAATACTTTTTTTTTTGTAAATACATACTTATTATACATAAAAAACACCCAGTCCAGTACAAACAAATATGTTCATGCACACAAATGTTTGTACTGTGCGGGAATCGAACCCGCTACCTCCGGAATAGTAGTCCGTTTCGAACCACTACACCAAACGGCCGACTAATGATGTTAATAATTAACTGTTCTTAGCTCTGAGCTTTAAGAGAATTTGCGAAAAATATTAATACCAAGTACACAGCTTTTCCGGTAGTGTGTCCACCCACAAGGTGGACAGACGACCTCATGAAGGTAGCAGGAAGGCGCTGGATGCAGACCGCTACCAATCGGTCGTTAAGAAAATCATTGGGGGAGGCCTATGTTCAGCAGTAGACGTCTTATGGCTGAAATGATGATGACCACAGCTTTGGGCATAGGGCCCATAATGCTTACTGTCCTTGGACATATTGTTTCCCTAAGGTTAAATGTTTGACGTGTGAAACTGCGTGTCTGTGGCATCGTATCTCCCAATACAGTCATTAAATTATTATTTCAGGCTAAGGCAATATGCCGTAAAGTATGATTGATATTTATTACCTAAATATGTACCGCCCTAGGTAGAATGTGATGCCAGTGTGCTTACCATGAGTTTACGTTCGGAGTGCTCGCTAGCGAGTACGTCAAAAAAATCTATGAAGATTTTGTTTCTTGAAAGTAGCCGCTAGGGGGCACTGTACAATATGTCATACATTTAATGTCAATTTTTTACGTAGTCGCTAGCGAGCACACCTAACGTAAACTCATGGTAAGCACACAGTTGGCAGCACTTCAGCGCACATAAAATTCGGGTGCATATTTTCGATATCGAAAATCTAGTAAGCACATGATTAAATCCTTATTTACGATGTAGTAGGTACTGATATAAAATTACTGTATTGATTTGAAAGTTGTAGTAATATCTTACGTTGTTTATTGGACAAAGGCTTTCCTTAATGTTTTCAAAGTTTATCTTTCTTCAGCGAAGTAGGGATTACCATCATCATAATAACTTCTGAAAACTATTGAGCCGTTGTTGCTGACTTTTGAGGGATATAAGTCTTTCTTCATCTGTTGGTTCTGGTTCAGAGACAGTGACATTTGCACTATTTTACTTTAACAAACATCAAAAATCTGTCAAACCCCCATACAAAAAGCATCGGTTATCGATATAGTTACGGTCAAAGTTAGGTGGTGCAACTCAGCCTTGATGGTGCTTTATCTGTCGCGTGGCATTTGTGATTAAACTCATACATCTATGATTTCCACTTACCCCCTCTTGACTTTGCAGAAGTCGAAGGCGACCGTCCTGTAGGACAGGGCCTTCTCGTTGAGGTACTTGGCGTATCGCCGGATGAACGGTGACATGTCATATCCTGCGCACAACAAGTTTTAATAGCAACTGCCCAAAGGGGTGGTGGACAACAAAGGACGTAGACAAGAACAACAAATAAAATTTAAACGAATACAAACGATTTTTAAAGAGGCTGCAAGGGAAAGATGGGAAAAACTACAGTGAATTCAGACCTTAGCTCCAAATTAAATTAATTCCTTTAAATTACGACTTTTACAACTTTTTCAAAACAATGTCAAATTCTGGATTTTGCCTGATTTCGCTGTCAAATTTCTTTTCTATTTGAAATTATTTTCTACCTAAATAAAAACAAGTTCTGTTTTAACCCTAAGAAAACTTAATCAGGTTGTTTAGGCATTACCTAGCGACATTCAAGAACTTTGTCTAGTCTAGATAATAAGTTGTATTAAGTTGTTTAACACAAGGCTCAAAACCAGTTTATTTTAGCCTAGAATCTACAGGTCACATTTGAAATACCTGATAATTCCTATTAGCAATAAGAATTTGCTAATAGACTTATATTTGCTACAATCTTTATCCCAAAAAAACTATGTTTCCGAGCCCTAGTTTACAATTTACGTAACATAATAATCCCGAAAACTTGTTCAATCAATCAAACGAATTGTGATTCAGCGTAGAACAAGTTATATGAATTCTGAACTTGTTTTCTGTTCATTGTCATTGTTATTTGTTAGTCATAAAGTTATTGTTACATAATCGCACGGAAAGTTCTGGAATATCGCTAAATACCCAACTAGCATAATATTACAGTATAATAAACATACTGTGGAACTTTCTCGTCCAACTATTTATAGTCAACCCAAGTCTGGAACGCTTATTGATTTTAATTGAGACGAAGCCTATTCTGGAATTGTTGGAACTATTTTAATAACTGTTACTTTTGTAATAACTTAGATAACTTTATTTGAGGATTCATTGGCCAGACAATCATCATCATCATTTCAGCCATAGGACGTCCACTGCTGAACATAGGCCTCCCCCAATGACTTCCACATCGCACGGTTGGTAGAGGCTTACATCCCGCGCCTCCTACTACCTCAAACCTACTGTCAACTGTCAAATTAATTACTTCTGGATACTATTAAGCTACGGATTTACAAATGTTGGTAGGGTATTTCGAATTACATTACACATATGTTCTTTGATCTGTATTCGCTGTCCAGTTTTGTGCTTTTCATATCAACTGGACTACTCCCATTGCTGGGTCTGTATTTTTAGGTCTATCTGTTTCTGCTAACATATTCTCGCTTTATACGAGAGGAATTAAGAACTTCGAAAATACAGAAAGATAAAACTGATAGAAATATGACGTGTAATCAAATTACACACAACATTTACTTGGGCTTTCATAAAGTTGAAAGTTGGTTTAGGTACGCCAAATTTCGTTATTCAAACCAAATATTATTCTGCACTAAATGACTTTAGGCCTTAGTTTGAACAGTGATAAAACCGTACCCTTCTCGACTAAGGTTCTAAGGTTACCCTGAGTGCTATCCTTACTAATTGAACAGTCCTTTTAGACTAGGCGTGCTAAAGAATCCTTCAGTTGTTATTCTACCCTACATACGCCCACTGAAACCACTATTCATTACTTAATAGGAAAACCATGTATTCCCTTACTTTGTGAATTACCTATGACGAACGTCCCAGACTTGGTATATTTTTGCAGACATTATTATAACTATGTATTTCCAAGTTACATAAACCTGTAGGTTGCAAAACTAATTAATTTCAACTTGATTAAAACCCCGTGCATTTGTGATTAAAATCTACCAGTGTGAGTGCAATCTAACTACTGTGCAGAAATAACAGCGAATTGTTCAACATTATCTTCTATTGTATTTATTGAAACAATAACTATAAATGAAATTGCTTTAATTACTAGTTCATTAAACTGATAAATGTAATAAATAAAGTTTAACATCTAAAACAAATATCGCACGAGAAACAACACAAGCAAAAACAACATAAAATCTAATTTATAGGCTTTTTAATTAAAGGAAAAATGTTAAAAAAACAATACAAGCTAACCAAATTCATCAGTATCATGTTTCCTTGTGATACCGTACCCGAGAAACGATACGGCTAGTACATATACGCCTACAAACAACGATAATTAAAAATAATTAGGCATTAAGTATAACGCGGTCTATAAATGTTACAGTAAAAGTTTTAAAAGATCATTTAATAGTTCAGGAGATAAATTAAATTTGGTAATTGTATATTTCATAAAATTAAATAATTAAAATGTGAAGTATTTTAAAAATCTCGGACATAAAGACACGTTGCGTAATTTTAATAATGTTTACATATAAAAACAGACGACACGACAAGAAATAAGCGAAAATGTGCGAACCAAAGAAGTGAATGCATTCAGAACGCCAAGCGTGCATCTACATCTAACAGACGGACAATCAGTCATATTATGCAAAAAGAAAGCATATCTCCATTCTATAAGATTTAGCCTATGCGCAGACCACCGACTTTTAGTTGGCCGCAGGGCCGGATCTACCTATGGGCTGATTGGGCTGCAGCCCAGGGCCCCGGGGTTACAAGGGGCCCCCAGATCCCGCTAAAAAGTAGGCAATAATTTAAAAAAAAAAATTGTCTGTAATGTGGGTTTACGGACGATATTTTTACAACATCATAAGAAAATATTTATTAAAAATTACATACTAAATTTTTGAGATTTTAAAAAAAAAAAATTTTCTTCCAATTACTTCTTGTAAAGAAAACGTTATAATTTTTAAACTAAGAGGTATATCCTGATAAAATAAAAACAGTAATAATGCTAAATAACAGGCGATACTAAAAAAAAAATACATAAAATACTCAGAAAATGGCAACAAATAATAAAAAATGATACATTTTGAGAAAAATCTGCATTTTAATTCGTGTTTTTTTGGTTATTTGATAAATTTCTCCAAATAATGCCCCCCTAACAGATTGTTTTTATTACTTTGTGTTATTCTTTATCATACTAAGTACCTTTGTAAAACTAAAAAATATCATGTCTCTATCCCTATCACAATGTTTGCAATGATCGTTTGAACGGCTTACTCTCCGGGCGCGCCGCGCCATTCAACGCTTCGTTAACAACGAAACTGAAAGTGGCTCTAGTTTTGTAATTTTGATAAAAACAAGTTACATTTCAAATAAAAACAAAAGATTTCGAAGTAAAATAAGCATTTTAGTTAAAATTAAAATTGTCTCTACCTGTAGCGGATAATAATGTGGTGGCAGGCCTTTCTTCAAATGATCATAGCAAATGTTGTGATAGGGATAGAGACTTCCGATTTTTGGTTTTACAAAATTAATACGATTGAGAATAATACAAAGTAATAAAAACCACCTGTTATGGGGGCATTTTTTGGAGAAATTTTTCAAATTACCAAAAAAACACGAATTTAAAAGCAGATTTTTTTCAAAAAGCCTATAATTTTTTATTATTTGTTGGCATTTTCTGGGCATTTATTGTATTTTTTTAGTATCGCCTGTTATTTAGCATTATTACGGTTTTATTTTATCAGGATATACCTCTTAGTTTAAAAGCTATTACGTTTTCTTTACAAGAAGTAATTGGCAGAAAAAAAATTAAAAAAAAATCTCAAAAATTTAGTATGCAATTTTTAATCAATATTTTCTTATGACGTTGTCACGTAAAAATATCGTCCGTAAACCGACTTTACAGACAATTTTTTTTTTCAAATTATTGCCTACTTTTTAGCGGGATCTGGGGGCCCCTTGTAACCCCGGGGCCCTTACGTTACCTAACGTAAGTAATTGGCAGAAAAAAAATAAAAAAAAATCTCAAAAAATTTTTGACCTCTTTTTTGTCGATAAAAGTAACTAGGTCAACATATGTGCACTTTATCGTGACTCACACTGTATGTATAAGAATAATATATCATTATAGAAACAGTTTTTTGGCATGGCTATTAGTTGAGTACTAAGATAGGCCCCCAAGTAGTTTCAGCCCAGGGCCCCACAAATTCACGATCCGGCCCTGGTTGGCCGATAGTTAAATCGATTTCCAACTTGTATGAAGAATCGCCCGATACCCAATCGGTGTAGTGTGCGCACTTCCATACATGTTCATACTGATCAACAGCCCGACCCAACTATAGGCCAACCAAAAATCGGTGGTCTGCGCCTAGGCTTAAATATCTCCACAACACGTTAAGCAACAAAGCTGCACCGTCTAGGTAGTGTTGCAGAAATATCGATAGAAATATAGATAGTTGACTATTCTAGATCTATTGATAGACCTTGATAAGATCGATCAGAATAAAAGTGGAGCACAGATTTCCTAGTATTTTAAGAAAAAAAAATATTCTAGATGGAATTTATATCAGACCTTATGGAAATATTTTTGAAACTTATAATAGAGAAATCTTATTGAATGGAGTCTTCTTGCAACACACAAACATACAAAAAGCTATCACTCTGTATAAACTCACCGATCCTGGCACCGGCCGCGCCTTTCGAAAGCAATGGAGAATAAGAAATAATTAGACAATGTAGGAAATAACAAAGAATTGTCAAATTTACATTAGGTTGTGAAACATTTGTTTAATGCCTAAGCGGTAGATGAAAGAAAAATGAAATAACTTATTCAGTAAGATTAGAGAAACGTAGGTTTCTATTTCAATTCAAAAGTGTACTTTTGTGTCAGCATTTTATGAAGGAGACTATAAAAAATAGTTGTAAACGCAGCACCTTACAGGATAGTTTAATTTTAAATTGACTTCCAACTTAAGTATAAAATTACATTGTATGATCTGTATTGGATAATGATGTTAAGAAGGTCATTTCGCTTTTAGAAGAGCCATACTTATTGATATAATACAGCAGGCAAGAGTACAAATAACAGTTGTGTCAAGAAACCAGTAATATTAAAAGAATGCGTAACATTTTTTTAATACACGTATAACATGCGTCCATTATCAATTTTCGATGCTCAGTCAATAAAATTGAAACAAAGTAACTTATATTCGTTTATCATTCTTTTAGGCATATGTATAAACGTAACAATTAAGTAATAATAAAGTAATAAAGTCTTTATTTCATAAAAGCTCGTGAATTTCATACCTTATAAGTGTTTATGTTAGAGGTCAATTATTTAAAACCACAAAATTTAATGAAAGCGCTTACCACAGGTAAGGTCAGCACTTAGCGATTAATTGAAAATAATTTATCAAAATCAGGCCACTATTTAGTTTATGAACGACAAGTTTTTTATAAACGGTTGGATACAAGTCGAGCTCGGGTACTGAGGGGTTTCCATAACTGTTTCTTTAATTATTTCAGTCATCTTTATTCCCTCTTTGCTTGAATCAAAACTCGTTTTAAAAAAAATTAGAGCTGCAGAAAGTGCCCTACTAGCTATATCGATTGATTGATATATCGAGTGACGACTTTGTCATGATTTTTCTACTGATTGTTTTATTCGTACCGAGCATAAGCGGCTCATTTCTTATCTAATATTCGACCAGCAGCAGGGCTAGGCTAGGATGCGCGCCGTGATAAAATCTATCGATGATTTTGACGACACATGTATGGGCCTAAAATTATCGCCTAAAATCGGTAAAATGGTGCGATAAAAGTTAATCGCGGCGCGCATTCATGTTTATTTGTAATCGTGGGAAATGCCCCAGTGCCTCTATATTCGTACAATCTACAGGTTACAACAATTCTTCACTGAGAGTCCAAGATTTACTTGGTCAATTATAAGTGATTGATTGACGCATTGCACTTTAAAAAGATATTAAATGTACACAATAAGGCTAATCCACTGTAACAGTTGTATATGACTATTTGACTTCACAGTTCGTTCACCTACAAATAGCAATGTAGGAGTTTTTATTGCATTCACATATCTCATAGATACGAGCTAAGTATTGTATTAGTGTTTCTTTGTACTCTTTATCACGTTTATTATTTATTATAATATTAAGTGTTTGCAAAACGACATGCTGCCATTTTTACTATAGTTAATTGTATGAAGGTGTAATTCACATGAGTCTAAGAGGGGGTTTCGTAAAATTCGTTCTTAGCGGATGTCTACCTTTATAAGGAACCTGCCAAATTTCAAGTTTGTAGGGGGGAGTTCCGTAAAATTTGTTCTTCTTTACATCCTATAATCTCAAGTTTGTAGTTGTGATAGTATCTGAGATTTCGTGATTATCAGTGAGTGGTATTACGCTTTTATACAGATTTCTTTGTAATGGTATGGTAACGTATCAGCCTTGATATCAGCCAAGGCTAATGTTATGCATGTTGCATTGATTATTGCAACCGTAGAGATGCGTTTATCAGCGCACTTGAGGCTTACGCACACTTTGTAAGCATAAGCATCTTATGTTTATCTTTTGAAAGTATAAAACAAACGAAAATGCTACATAGATTTATTTTGCACTGACATTTGAAACAAATGACATCCACTTCTGGACAAAGGCCACCCTCTAAGATCTTGCGCTGCACGCATCCAAGTGCTTCCCGCGACCTTCACGAGATCGTCGGTCCACCTAGTGGGAGGCCTGCTCACACTGTGTCTTTCGGCCTGTGGTCGCAACTAGATAACTTTTCTGCGTCAACGGCTATCAGCACTACGAGCTATGTGCCCCACCCACTGACACTTGAATTTAACAATTCTGCAGGCTATCTCAGTTATTTTGGTTGTTGACATTTCACAGATTTCAAACGTCTCGTTTTTTAAGGTTTCTTAAAAGGAAGAGATAATATGGCATTTCCATGCGAAATTGTAGTGCATGAATTGTTAAGAATGCTTTGGCATGCACGAGATCCAAGATTCCATGACTTATTTACACATGCAGTGCAATTGTGCATCTTATGAATGCATCAGTCCATATTTTTACCGTTTTTTGTTTTCAGTAAATAAGGATCGAACTATAAGCATCATTAGATTTTTTGAATCAATTCTAATTAACGATGATTCGGGATCTGTATAGTCACATCCCTAATAGGTGTTACTGCGTTTATGCCAGATGATTATACTCAATAAACCTTCATACCTAACTAATTATTACTTTTTTTTAGTAAAATGTTATCTATTTCATAAGGCCAATTATATTTATTCAAAGAACTACTCCGCGACGCGACAGCAAGCTTCTGAGAGTCTACATAATTAGTGAATGAGAAAATAACAAGAAACTTGATCATTATAAAAATTCACAAGAATCACAACACCGTTAACTGTTACGCACATTCTTGATACTTTAATAATGGGTGGTATAGTAAAACCGGCTCCGGAGCCGTTGATCTAATTTATGCACTCGCCCGGTGACGTCACCGTCTGCAAATATGCATAAATGCATCGCGGGAATGCCACCGGCCGTCGTGAGTCACACGCATTGGAGCCAGGGCTGCCATTTTTTATATTCCTGGTCATTATACCTTGGGAGAGGCCTTTGTCCAGCAGTGGACGTCATTTGGCTAAAAAATACACTGTACTGGCCAGTTCTAAACTAAACAAAACTTTTTACTATGGGTACATAAATATTTTTGTTTTCAGTAAATTCAAAAATACCCAGAGAACAACCACAAATTCTCTTAATTGCCAAAAAAAGAACTCCATAAAGTGGATGAAACTACTTAGATTTGATTGACTTCAATAAGACATTCTGCAGCTTATAAAAGCTTGTTAAAAAAATCCTTTTAGACAACACTTAACACAAGGATTTAACACTACTCATTCAAAGTCTCTCCAATCTAGCACAATGTCATTATGGCAGCCCTAGTTGATGAAACTTCAACAAGAATAGGGGATACTTTTACCCCATACTTATATTGAAATGGGGAATAATATACAAATTCACTTGAGACATTTCAGACAGGATAATTCTAGTGATTCTATGATTTCATGATACCTGTTAATATTATTTTTTTTAAAACTGTTATTTGAGGGCAATTTATTTCCGTTAACTTTCTAATCCTTGGTCATAAAGGCTTAATGGATTTTTAATTTCATAATTTGATTGTATTTTTATCGAAACAGTAATTAAATCAAATAAAAACTAATTCATAAATTGTTATTACTAATTTTATAACACCTTATCTCTAAATTGATCATTATCGTATAATGTATAAATAGTGTTTATCAAATGAAATTAATGTCTGTAATAACATTTAAGTACGTCGTTTTCAATAATGTATGAATTAAATTATTTTATACGTAATATTATGTATTAATTTATGAGTTGTTGAACTTTGAGCAAATTAAATATTTATTTAACGCGTGCTGTGATTTATAATAAATAAAAATTAAATTGTTTGACAGTTTAAATATTATAACATACGGTTTGTCGATAGAATCATGTTAATCGGTTTTTAAACAATAATCTTCCACAATAAAAACATAGAATAATCAATAAGTAATATTATTTTCTTTTATTTTATCATACACCAAACCAACTATTGGAACTTGGTTACTATGTATAAGGTAAATGTATATGAACAACAAGGTTATCAATCCATTCATAGTAATGGAAGGCACATATACAAGCTGCGTTAAGTTACATTAGTTTATATTTAAAATTATCCCCATACATAATATTTTAAGTCTTCGATTTGTTTGTACCAATGACCTAGAAATTCTCAGCTACATTTTTATGTTAATTTAATTAATATGATAATGAGTTTTAACGCGATACACTATGTTTTGGTAATATCCTTGGTTATGGCCAAGTTATAGATACCGTCCCAGCTATGACATTGTCAGGAGGGCGCTACTATCAATGCTGAATTATTAGTTCCGATTATTGCCACGTTGGACAACCTTAAAATTATTTTTATGTTTTTTATTTTTACCACTTGGACGTTTCAAAATCGTTGGCTATAGGTTTATGGGCTGACAGGTTAATACCCGTCAAAAATAATGCAACGCAAAAGTTATTAAGTAATTCTAGGAATTGTATCTATACTTACTAATATTATAAAGCTGAAGAGTTTGTTTGTTTGTTTACTTGAACGCGCTAATCTCAGGACTTACTGGTCCGATTTGAAAAAATCTTTCAGTGTTAGAAAGCTCATTTATCGAGGAAGGCTATAGGCTATATACCATCACGATACGAGTAATAGGAGCAGAGCAACAATGAAAAATTATGCAAAAACGGGTTTTCACGCGAACGAAGTCGCAGGCACAGCTAGTTTGGTATAAGTACCAAGTCTACCAACATCTTCACGTTCTTTTCGATTAGCAAACTTGTAACAAACTCGCGAACTGCTCCAATATCCGCGGCATCGCCGAATCTCAGCCAGGCCGAGGTCGTGCGGAGTCGACGACCCGAGGGTCAATGGTCAACCACATGTGTTGAGTCGTTTGATGTCATAGCTAGGACTATCGCCCGTATGCACAAAAATTACTATGAAGTCTCACAGTACGCACAGGGTGACACATGAAAAAATCACANCTTCCACTCCCGTGAATTAGTCGCTATCAAAATACAAACTAAGACGTGTTTTATGAAGCTACTGGGGGCACGGAGAAAATCGGGCCGCGCCAAGTGCTTCATTTTTGAATCCGAAAATGCTTTGACCCCATGCGACTAATTAAGGGTTAAAATTAAAATTGTCTCTACCTGTAGCGGATAATAATGTGGTGGCAGGCCTTTCTTCAAATGATCATAGCAAATGTTGTGATAGGGATAGAGACTTCCGATTTTTGGTTTTACAAAATTAATACGATTGAGAATAATACAAAGTAATAAAAACCACCTGTTATGGGGGCATTTTTTGGAGAAATTTTTCAAATTACCAAAAAAACACGAATTTAAAAGCAGATTTTTTTCAAAAAGTCTATAATTTTTTATTATTTGTTGGCATTTTCTGGGCATTTATTGTATTTTTTTAGTATCGCCTGTTATTTAGCATTATTACGGTTTTATTTTATCAGGATATACCTCTTAGTTTAAAAGCTATTACGTTTTCTTTACAAGAAGTAATTGGCAGAAAAAAAATTAAAAAAAAATCTCAAAAATTTAGTATGCAATTTTTAATCAATATTTTCTTATGACGTTGTCACGTAAAAATATCGTCCGTAAACCGACTTTACAGACAATTTTTTTTTTCAAATTATTGCCTACTTTTTAGCGGGATCTGGGGGCCCCTTGTAACCCCGGGGCCCTTACGTTACCTAACGTAAGTAATTGGCAGAAAAAAAATAAAAAAAAATCTCAAAAAATTTTTGACCTCTTTTTTGTCGATAAAAGTAACTAGGTCAACATATGTGCACTTTATCGTGACTCACACTGTATGTATAAGAATAATATATCATTATAGAAACAGTTTTTTGGCATGGCTATTAGTTGAGTACTAAGATAGGCCCCCAAGTAGTTTCAGCCCAGGGCCCCACAAATTCACGATCCGGCCCTGACCCATGACTTTTCATACAAACTTTGTCAGTCTATAACTTCTATACTCCATCGATAACGACATTGAGCTTTGGTTGGGGTAAATTAATATAAGGTAACTTCATTTAGTCCCAATAATTGATTCTGAGTTTTTCGTCCATACAAAATGGAACTGACTCCTTTATGCAAAAATCGTTAAAGAACATAATAAGAACGTATAATAATAAAAAGGTTTTCATACAAGCATTTTTAAACCAATTTCGAGGCTTGCCCCCAGGATTTAAAGTATCGATATCTTATCGACCCCATTTTATCTTTCTTCTCTCTAATTGCTTTTTTCAAAGTGTGCGTCACGTCACGCGGCCATTGATTGGCCATAAGGCACGCCTTCTGGCCAATCACAGCACTTTTAAGCCGGTTGCACATGTTGTCGTAGACTCTCAGTCGCTTTGTTTTTACACAGTTGAATGAGTGTGTGGGAGCTGTGGTGGGGGAAATGTGGGGACACTGGTTCTCGTTGTAGTTACGCGCGACTTCATATCTATTCTCTTTCTATGATCTGAGATGTTATCTTACCTAATTGCTCAAAATGATTTTTAAATTGTGTGGTCTACCTGGGCCACGAATTAAGTACCTCACACTATGGGGACAATACTATACATAGATATTGTATCGTTAGTCCTGCAAATCATTATTATTAATGAATGATAACTGCCAAAGACTTAATCTCCATTTCCTTGAAGTTCTATAAATGTACACTCATCGCGACGTTAATTATCACCATATTCATAATATCCGCTACACTGTTCCGATATCCGCAATCTAGGCGCAGTTGTTTTGCCTATCTTGTGGACTGTACATACTACTATGTTTTAAACTAAAGCGCTAACCATATAGCGCTAATTGAGTAGGTTTATAAATTGTTTTCAGATGGACACATTATTTTGTTCTAATTTATAATTATATGGTACAAAATTACTATATTTATTATGATTTTTTTTTAATTCAATTTAATTGATGACCTTCTTAATTAATGAAAACATTAAAACTTATACATTTTTATTCCTATAGGAAACTTTTAGTATCAAAATCAAATAATTTAGCCAAACTTTAGAGTTGGGTCATCTTTTTTATATCCTACGAATACGATAAAATACAGCAATTAACGATCAATTTCAAAATTTCATTTTAACGATTCACCTTTTTAACATCGACTGATAACGTATTATAAAGAAATAATTGGATAGATAAAAAAAAAGGTTATTTTATCTCACTGATAATATGTAAATGTAATAATCATTATTGGTTTTTTGAGTATAATTTCTATTTAAAATATCGTCTCTAGCTTATTTAATACTAAAAATTACGAAATATTAGGGCATAGTTTACTACATACCTTGTACTCCACTTTTATCTAAGAAATTACTTAGTTGAAACGTAGAATTACTGGATGCTAAGTATTGTGTGAATCTCTGAAAGCAAAAAACAAAAATACATTAGTGTCACAAACTTAAAACAATTTTTTTTTCTTTTTTAATGGTTAGAATTGAAAATTAATTAACGCCCGTATTCACAAACATTACTATGAGGTTTCACAGTGCGCGTGAACGCACAGGGTGACACATGAACCAATCTCAGAGCTCTATTCAACGCTGTGCGTTCGATTTGCTGCGTCACTTAAGCAAGCATCGTTTGTGAATATGAGTGTAAGTATAAAATTCAACCAAACTTATCTGAGCTCAAGTTTGAATTTGGTTTTGAGAGACATGTTATAATACGGGCCCTTATCTCTCTATTTAAGCTTGAATTCAAGACTTTACTTGGTGGTGGCAGAATAGATACCATATTTTGACATTTAGTGAGATAACATAAGGTTCAAAACCAATAAAAAAATTCTTTACCAGAAAAAATACCGATCACATGTGTCGGAAAACCTGTACCCAGTGAAAACCTCTAGAAATACTATTTATTACACTTAACACGACAATCAGGAGCTGTCAATTACAATAACATGTTACGCTGCCCAGTCAATAGGCAGGTAATCATAACCAATAAAGCCCTACTCATACAATCCTGTTAACAAGTCTCAGTCATTCTCAAAACGAAGGACAAACCGATATTATAAGATACATCCATAGAGTAGAATAAGCAGGTACAGAAGGTTCAACGATATTTGGTTGAGAGTCAATATCTGTACAAATAAGAACAAGAAACGTGTAACATTTTTAGCAGGGTTCGAGGATATATATCAAGGGATATATATCAAGATATATATCGGATATACATATATCCGATATATATCAAGCCGGTTTTGATGATATATATCAACTTTTAAAATTTGTTACTGTATTTGTACTTTTTGACATAAGATTTTAATTTTTTTAGTTGTTTTTGCCGTATTTAAAAGAATATTTTATGTTTTTGCTTTATTTGTCTGATTTTAAGGTTTAAAAACATTAAAAACATGTTTATGTAGCACATATGCAATAGTATTCATGAATAATACAATAAAATAATAATATGGCTTTCATACAAAATTGATATATATCAAAGTTGATATATATCGGATATATATCATAAATATCCGATATTTTGATATTTATAATAAATATCGGATATTTTCGAACCCTGATTTTTAGGCTCTTACTAAAAAGTTACGCGCATGTTGAGCACTAGTTTAAATTACCTTTCGATACAAGTGCATCACTTTATTGTTCATAGGGGGGGTAAGTTTTTAAAACTTCCTAATTATTTTGCCGGGAAACAAGGGAGTAAAAAAAGACCTAGCCAGCAATGGGGTTAAGAAATCCCAAAGCCATAAGATAGGTTAGGTAGCATTCTATGAGAAATAGGTACACTTATCTATAATTTCCATAGAGTTACCGTGTCAATTTCAATTGCGGCCATAGTGTTCCTTTATTGACACAAGTGGCTGCAATGGCGACAATATTTTGTGTCGTGTCGCGTCGCTGCGCCGGCGCACGGGAGGGAAATTAATCGCCATAGCGATTGTTAGCGGCCAGCGATAAGGCTGTGATATGAGTTGCATTTCTTGCTGTTTTATTGGTTGTACTGGCCATTGGGCCTTAAGGAAATAATTCGCAGTTATATCAGGAACATAAGAGCAGATTCGGTACTTGATACGCGTAAGAATTCAGTCTTCAGATAAGAGTCAGGGACTTGCATAAATCTTATTCGGACATAAGGAGCAGGTATTTCTGATTTCCAACAATAAATTGAGGTCTCAGGTACTTTTGGACCTACGTATGCCCAACCGGGCGCCTTTAACCTGAGGCAATTATTCTGAAATCATGTTGAGAGGTAGGAGCTTCTCCAAAGTTGACGTCATACCGCTCTCCCACTCATCCCAAGATGGTATACAATTTGGCATCTACGGTGGTTGTAATGGTGTTATTTTGCAATAAAAAGCAGTGTGCTGTTGACTGAACCATGAGCCAAAGCTCACATGTGACAGAAGAATAAAAAATACAGACATCACGTCGTAGAGCAGACACGCTGTTTGTTTTGCATCAATTTCTATTCACGCTTAATCATTCTGGTGATTTAATGGGACAAACAATCTGGAGAATTGTTCCAGAAGTGTTTGTTTTTTAATTTTCTTCAATTAAATTTATGGGATCGGTATACTGGTCTGTTACTTTTTATTCTCATCATCATCGCTATATTACGTCAGAAGTGTGACATTTCGCATCCGCTATTGCTATTTTAAGATTTGCACATAAAAACATTATGTAATGAAATTCTATAAAGCAGCGCAAAGCTACTTTGACCTATACGAAAAATGCAGTTATAACCTACTAGCAATAATGAATCGAACAGCAATAAGAAGTGAAGGTTGATGATGTGTGAGAAACTTTTTAACGAGAAGTGTATAGTAGTCAGAGTCAGTAGATAGTAGAGGTGGGCGCCACGCCGGCGCGCCGCCGCCGCCGCGAATTTTTTCACGCCGCCGCCGCCGACGACTAGCTGTCGGCGCGCCGATACAGATACTGTACAAACTATTTTTAATTTATTCCTCTCCTTTACTGTACTAATTTGTGTTTCAAACGCAGAAGAACTATTTTTTTATTGAGTTGAGCGGCTATTCTAGTTCAATAAAGTCCCAGTATCACTGCGACCGGTACCGATCTATTGTGATCGCCGCTATTTTCCTTACAGTTCGCCTCCGAGTCCTGCATCTTTTGGGGGGCGATATGTTTTACATCTTGTGGGCTTAGGATGTGTTTGCCCAGGTGTAAGCTCCGCTCCGCTCAAAGGTCCGCAGTCCATGAGAATATGTAGTGGCGTTTCATCTGCCTCTTGGCACATCCTGCACGTTCTTGATTTGGATTCCCAAAGTGGACAAGTGTTTGTTTAAGCTGCAGTGTCCAGTGAAGGCTCGAACTAAGATGCGCATTTTGATCCTACTCAATCCTATGATCTGCTTAGAGCATTTTCGGTCATAGGCTTTTATAAGAGCTTTGGAATGAGTTAATCCTGGCGTGTCTGACCATGCCTTAAAGGATTTGTTTAAATAGATGTTCTCCAGGGTCATTCGAGCGAGACTTTTGGAAATGCCACAAAAGCCACCATATTGTGTTCCCTCCGCTTCCGCTCTGGCCAGTTTCACGATTCCCGCGTAACCTGGAACCCATCTCAGCGTTACTCTGTTACGTTTTCCTAGGGTATTCAATCGACTCATGCAGTTTTCTACCAACTTTGAGGTGATTAAGTTGGAGTTTAAGGCTATCAGCGCGGCCTGACTGTCTGAGTCAATGTAAATTATGTGGTTGGCATAATTTTTTCGCAGGTTAGCTTCCGCACATTCAATAATGGCGTAGACTTCTGCCTGAAAGATAGAGGCAAATTTACCCAGGCTTTGAGATAGCCTAAGCTTCGTGTGCTCTCCATACACGCCAAAGCCTACGTTAGGGCCCATTTTTGACCCATCAGTAAACCATATTATAATAGAAGAACTAACTATAATATTTATTCTTTAATTAATGCCATATAAATTGGTACACAAGGGGAACTTAATGCCGTTGATGTACTAATAAATTGATTAAATAACTTAATACTAACTATATTAACAGTTAATCAAGTACATTATTCAAGTTACTGCTTGGTCTACTGAATAATTGATCGCAAGAGGCGCCGGTTCCGGTCCCTCTTGCTGTGTAGAAAAAAATCCCCGCCTTCGTCTGGCAGATAACTCACACTATTGGACTATACTTTAAGCGAATCACTCACACAGAGAATGGCAAATATGTCTCGGAATGCAAATGGAAACCACAACCTCTGGAAGGCAACAAAGTACCTCCCTCAAAGTGTTCTCCACTTATTAGGTCCGGTAATAGATGAGTGCGAACTGACAAGAAAAATCTCAGACTTTTGCTACATGACAAGCTGGTTTATTTAAACCCATTGACACGTATAATCCCTTACTACCCTATCCCTTAATAACCATCCCATTATGATTTGAGAGGGCTCATTTTGCATCTTATCGTATGCTGCTTCTGGACATCTTTGTACTTGACTATCTGAGGAGTTGACAGCCATGTTTCCGCTTACCCTCCTCAAGTTCAAAGTAGAAGATTGGTTCCTACTACGCTAATTGAGGACGAAAGACGCAGGAGGACAAAGTGACTGACATAGCCCACAGAATCGCTAAAATCAAGTGGCAGTGGGCGGGGCACATATCTCGTAGAGCTGATGGCCGCTGGGGCAGTAAAGTTTTTGAGTGGCGACCACGAGCCGTAAGACGTAGCGTGGACAGGCCTCCCGCTAGGTGGACCGACGATTTGGGGAAGGTCGCAGGAAGTGCCTGGTTGCGAGCGGCGCAGGACGTCTTTCGGCTAAAACGAAAGAACTAACGCCAAGAGAGATGGCTAAGCTAAAGAAATAGCCAAAATGGACCCTCGTAAAGCACTTGCATTAATTTTATCTGATCACTATAAAGTCCATGGTCTTGACAATGACCACACTGAGTGAGAAGAACCTCGCAAGTCTCTTAACTTTGGAAATGATCCATAAGGCTGGCAAGTCGCCTAACTAATTCTCTTATCGCTCAATGAATCTGACATTTGTATTGTTAAAATTATTGAAAAGGTCATTCTTGCTCGTTTATTCCCTTGCCTAAGTATGACCCATGTAATATAGTATACTCGACCATACATTTTGGCAGAAACCATACCAACCATAATCAGTACAATGTTTGGAAAAGAAAGAATCCTGTACGTCTGCTTTCGCTGCGGCTTCAGCTGGGTTTATCATAAAGGACTACTCTATGAAATTAAAAAGTACCTCCTAGCACACTTCTACTACCTGCTGATGGATTCTTATCTCAGTGATAGACAGTTTTAAATCAAACTCGGTGACAAAATCTTCTCTTTTTAGCTGCCGAGCTGGAGTACCCCAGGATTCTGTACTTGGTCCGATACTCTATAACATCTACTAGTAAAGTAGCCCAGACGCCAGAAAGCTGCGGCATTCCTCAAATGTAACTGTGATCTTAAAGTGACAAGACTGTTGCAAAGTCAGCTGCTTAGCTGACCAAGTGGCGCATGTAATTAAGTCCCGAAGTCTCACCATATTATCATTTAAGACGTGAAACTTATCCTCCGGCCAATCTAGACCTCGACACATTGCTGCAATCAACCTGCATTAAAAACCTTGGCCGTAGGATGACATGGAAAGACCATAAATATAAATAAAACAGAACTGAATATAATATTCCAACGACAGTCAGCTAATCCAACATTAACTATGTGCCTCGAAAGAGCTCAAAAATACATGTTAAAAGTACTTTTATCGGCACATTGGTACGCTCGCCCTTAGGAAATACACGAGAACCTGATCTCAGCCAAACCCGCTATCCAAATATCAAAGTACCTATCTATGATCAAGAGAACTAATTTACTAGGGTAAACTACTGCTCTAGTGTCTCAAACTCCAACCAACTGCAAATCATCTGATAGTATTGACGACAGATACTAAAAAAACCGGATTTAAAAAAAATACCTAATGAACAAAGGTCAAACAAGGTCACGCCGCCGACGCCGCCGCCGCCGAGGTCAAAAAGTCGGCGCGCCGCCGCCGGCCAATTTTATATCGGCGCCCACCTCTAGTAGATAGGGACTCTGGTAACAGAGGGAAAACGCGACAGAGGTGCGTAAAGAAAGACATCTCTGGTCGAGATAGACATCTGGATATTCTTCGCACACCTAAAGGATAGTTCTGTCGGTCTCTAAAGGTCTAAAGGATTGAGGTCTCGATCCCATTCGTTTAGAAGGCAGAGTTCGAGTGTCAACCAATCGGTTGACACAAGGAGTAAGTAGTACGAGACTATTACCATCTCCTGTTCCCATGACCCAACCAGTAAGGGTCAAGTTTCAGAGGGGAATGTCGAAGTACGTGGAATACTGGTGTAACTTCATAATATAGTATGTGCTCACCTCATTGCCATATGCTAATAAATGGTGTACGGTGATGAGTGCTTTATACACCACCACCCAGTTTGTGTTCTGAGTGCGCTCCACCAAAAGGTTCGCCAGCTGTGGTATTGACACGTTCGGCTCGTTTGTGCAGTGGACTAGATCTGAAACAAGACGAGACATGGCTTTCATAGAATGTTTAGAACAACGGGACTATTCCCAATTCCCACTACTCGATCCTGCCTAGCTAGGATCTACAGCTTGACCGACAATAAAAACCCAAGCAGTGAGGGTCAAGTTTAGAAAACACTCTTGTAAACAAAGTTATCTTGATAGCAACACCACTTCACCAACACGATCTGGTGAAGGTCTGAGAAGGAAGAGACCTGGATGCGGCCAGCAAAGGATTGGTCGCTGTGGAAAGCCGAAGGAGACTATTGTTTAACAGTGAACGGTGTTCAGTTAAAACATATTCTGCAGTAATTAATTAGCCGGGATGAAGGATCAAACAATAAATAACTAAAAGAACTCAAATATGTTTTTGTATTGCAAGACTGTGACGTGTGATAAAAGTGTTTGTAATGTGGGGACATGCAAAAGTAGGCCGGATTGGTTTAATTAATTCTCCTGTATGAGCCCTAACATTTGAATTTGAATTGAAGCTCTTGCAGACCGGAAACCCATGGATCGAACATTTAATACATTTAATACTTCGGTAAAGATAGAGTTCCCATTTCTTGAATGGTTGTGTATTCTGCTTTGTCTACCGTAACATTGTGATGTCTGACTTTACAATAAATTGTCATTTGAATAACAGAATGATAATCATAAACTGTATTATTCCAAATCCACAAACATATTTTTCATAACAAAATATGACCTTAATATCATTTTCACCGATATAGATTACCGTCCCTTCCCAATTCATGTTTTAGATAATACAAAACAGATGCTGGTGTTATAACTGATATGCTATCGGTATGTGATAATGAGGTCATAAGGTACTATTCAATTGAATAAGTGACTGGTTTACGGTTGCATTCAAACCTTTATAGGTCGGCGAGGTTCATCGCGATAAAGTGTCGTTAGGTAAATAAATCTTTAATAGTAAAGGAATCTTCCTCCGGATTTAATTGATTGCAACTATGTACATAAATTGTAAGTTCATTCATAGTTTTCTGTCAGCTGTTTTTCTTTTGTCGCTTAATATTGTACCTCTAGCCATAATAATATAGTTAGTACAAGGGTCTACCCCTAGGTAGCACACAAAGTACGCACGGCGGGAATTTTCCTATGACTTGCCTAAGCGTAGCCATAGTCATTTAAAAATGTACGTAGATCATGGAAACTGATAGTTGTTACATTACTTCAAGGCNTAATATTTTTACATATAAAAACAGACGACACGACAAGAAATAAGCGAAAATGTGCGAACCAAAGAAGTGAATGCATTCAGAACGCCAAGCGTGCATCTACATCTAATAGATGGACAATCAATCATATGCAAAAAGAAAGCATATCTCCATTCTATAAGATCGAAAAAAAGCTCCACAAAATAATAATCATTCTGCCTGTCTAATGAGGGTTTTCGCGTATGAAAAATCCGCCATAGCAGACGTAGACGCGAGGTCCAAATGCTGCATGATTGGTTATTTTTGACATGACATTGACAGATATGTCAAAATCCACCAATCACGCAGCAGTCAGACCCCACATCCACGTCCCGCCATCTAGCGGATCTTTCATAGGCGAAAATCTTCATTAGTAAAGGACTCCATCTTTTTAATTCAATATGTCAGCTACAAAGCTGCAACGTCTTGCTAGTGTTGCCGAAATAACGATAATTGACTATCGATAGAAGATACTGAATTCAGTTATTCTATTGAGAGACCTTGATACTATCGATTGGAGTAAAAAAGTGGAGTACAAAATTTTAATAAGCCTAAGCGCAGACCAACGACTTAGTAGGCCGATAGTTGGGTCGGGCTGTTAATCAGTATGTGGACAATAGTGGACATGTATGAAAGTGAGCACATTACACCGATTTGTTATCGGCCGATTCTTCATATCATAGAAATTATAATTGGGTCCAACTATCGGCCGACTAAAAGTCGGTGGTCTGCGCCTAAGTTAAGACAGAAACAATCGTGATGGAATTTATATAATGAAATGTTTTATGGAGAAATCTTATTGAATGGAGTCTTCTTGCAACACACAAACATACAAAAAGCTATCACTCTGTATAAACTCACCGATCCTGGCACCGGCCGCGCCTTTCGAAAGCAATGGAGAATAAGAAATAATTAGACAATGTAGGAAATAACAAAGAATTTTCAAATTTACATTAGGTTGTGAAACATTTGTTTAATGCCTAAGCGGTAGATGAAAGAAAAATGAAATAACTTATTCAGTAAGATCAGAGAAATGTAGGTTTGTATTTCAATTCAAAAGTGTACTTTTGTGTAAGCATTTTATGAAGGAGACATTATAAAAAGTAGTTGTAGTAGGTCGCAGCACTTAATTTAAATTGACTTCAAACTTAAGTATAAAATTCCATTGTATGATCTGTATTGGATAATGATGTTAAGAAGGTCATTTCGCTTTTAGAAAAGCCATACTTATTGATATAATACAGCAGACAAGAGTACAAATAACAGTTGTGTCAAGAAACCAGTAACATTGAAAGAATGCGTAACATTTTTTTATTACACGTATAACATGCGTCCATTACCAATTTTCGATGCTCAGTCAATAAAATTGTACGAAACAAAGTAACTTATATTCGTTTATCATTCTTTTAGGCATATGTATAAACGTAACAATTAAGTAATATCATAAAAGCTCGTGAATATCATACCTTATAAGTGTTTATGTTAGAGGTCAATTATTTAAAACCACAAAATTTAATGAAAGCGCTTACCACAGGTAAGGTCAGCACTTAGCGATTAATTGAAAATAATTTATCAAAATCAGGCCACTATTAGTTTATGAACGACAAGTTTTATTATAAACGGTTGGATACAAGTCGAGCTCGGGTACTGAGGGGTTTCCATAACTGTTTCTTTAATTCTTTCAGTCATCTTTCTTCCCCTTGCTTGAAGCAAAACTCGTTTTAAAAAATTTTAGGGCTGCAGAAAGTGCCCTACAGATAGCTATATCGATTGATTGATATATCGAGTGACGACTTTGTCATGATTTTTCTATTGATTGTTTTATTCGTACCGAGCCTAAGCGTCTGTTTTCTTATCTAATATTCGACCAGCAGCAGGGCTAGGCTAGGATGCGCGCCGTGATAAAATCTATCGATGATTTTGACGACAAATCACTTTGACGACAAAGGCTTATCGCCTAAAATCGGTAAAATGGTGCGATAAAAGTTAATCGCGGCGCGCATTCATGTTTATTTGTAATCGTGGGAAATGCCCCAGTGCCTCTATATTCGTACAATCTACAGGTTACTACAATTCTTCACTGAGAGTCCAAGATTTACTTGGTCAATTATAAGTGATTGATTGACGCATTGCACTTTAATATTAAATGTACACATTAAGGCTAATCCACTGTAACAGTTGTATATGACTATTTGACTTCACAGTTCGTTCACCTACAAATAGCAATGTAGGAGTTTTTATTGCACTCACGTATCTCATAGATACGAGCTAAGTATTGTATTAGTGTTTCTTTGTACTGTTTATCACGTTTATTATTTATAATGTTAAATCGTTTGCGCAACGACATGTTGCCATTTTTACTACAGTTAATAATTGTATGTAGATTGTAGGTGTAATTCACATGAGTCTTAGAGGGGGAGTTTTGTAAAATTAGTTTTCTATTTCTATTGATGTCTACTCCCTATAAGGAACCTGCCATATTTCAAGTTTATAGGTGTTCTATTATCTGAGATTTCGTGATTATCAGTGAGTGGTATTACGCTTTTATACAGATTTCTTTGTAATGGTATGGTAACGTATCAGCCTTGATATCAGACAAGGCTAATGTTATGCATGTTGCATTGATTATTGCAACCGTAGAGATGCGTTTATCAGCACACTTGAGGCTTACGCACACTTTGTAAGCATAAGCATCTTATATTTATCTTTTGAATGTTTAAAACACAAGGGAAATTCTAAATAGTTTTTTTTTATTGACCTTACATCCATATGACGTCCAATGCGGGACAAAGGCCTCCGCCATGGACTCTTGGAGGAAGCATCAAGGTGGAAGGTTAGTCCACCTAGTAAGAGGCCTGCTCCAATGTGTCATTCGGTCTGTGGTCATCACTCGAGAACTTTTCTACGCCTACGGCTATTAGCTCTACGAGCTATGTGTCCCACCCACTGACACATGAATTTGGCAATTCTGCAGGCTATATCGATTACTTTGGTTGTTGACATAAATTTTAAACGTCTCCATATGGCATTTCCATGCAAAATTGTAGAGCACGATTTGAGAATGCTTTGGCATGCACGAGATCCAAGATTCCATGACTTATTTACACATGCAGCAGTGCAATAGTGCATCTTATAATCTTATGAATGCATTAGTCCATATTTTGTTGTATATGTTTGTTTTTGACCGCTTTTTGTTTTCAGAAAATATTCGAAATACGCATCATCGGATCTTTTTGAATCATTCTAATTATCGATGATTCGGGATCTGTATAGCCACATCCCTAATAGGTGTTACTGCTTTTATGTCAGATTATACTCAATAAACCTTCATACCTAACTAATTATTACTTTTTTAGTAAAATGTTACCTATTTCATAAGGCCAATTATATTTCAAAGATCTACTCCGCGATGCGACAGCAAACTTCTGAGAGTCTACATAATTAGTGAATGAGAAAATAACAAGAAACTTGATCATTATAAAAATTCACAAGAATCACAACACCGTTAACGGTTACGCACATTCTTGATACTTTAATAATGGGTGGTATAGTAAAACCGGCTCCGGAGCCGTTGATCTAATTTATGCACTCGCCCGGTGACGTCACCGTCTGCAAATATGCATAAATGCATCGCGGGAATGCCACCGGCCGTCGTGAGTCACACGCATTGGAGCCAGGGCTGCCATTTTTTATATTCTTGGACATTATACACTGCGCTGTCCAGTCCCAAAATAAGCAGAGCTTGTAATAGAACAAGATTATGACTTTTTCAGACAGCCAAAAATTACAATATTTTGGCAAAGAAAAAAAATAGTTAAAAATAGTAACTACATTTCAATTTACCAAATGGAATTTAATGATCAAATCACTTTTTATAAGTATTGAACTCCTTGAAGTCAATGAAAATACATTCAAGATTTGATTGACTTCAAGTAGACATTCAGCAGCTTATAAAAGCTTGTTAAAAGGTTCCTTTTAGACAACACTTAACACAAGGATTTAACACTATTCAATAAAGGTTCTCCAATCTAGCACATGTCCCTATGGCAGCCCTAGTTGATGAAACTTTAACAGGAATAGGGGATACTTTTACCCCATACTTATATTGAAATGGGGAATAATATACAAATTCACTTGAGACATTTTGACAGGATAATTCTAGTGATTCTATGATTTCATGATACCTGTTATTATTGTTTAAAAAAAACTGTTATTTGAGGGCAATTTCTTTCCGTCAACTTTCTAATCCTTGGTCATAAAGGCTTAATGGATTTTTAATTTCATAATTTGATTGTATTTTTTATCGAAACAGTAATTAAACCAAATACAAACTAATTCATAAATTGTTATTACTAATTTTATAACACCTTATCTCTAAATTGATCATTATCGTATAATGTATAAATAAATAGTGTTTATCAAAATGAAATTAATGTCTGTAATAACATTTAAGTACGTCGTTTCCAATAATGTATGAATGAAATTATTTTATACATAATATTATGTATTAATTTATGAGTTGTGATTTATAATAAACTAGCTGACCCGGCGAACTTCGTACCGCCTTAGCTTAGAGATTTTCTTTATATTTTTTTCCGTAAAAACCTTGTACAGAGTATTAGAAAACTACAAAAAAAAATCAGCCAAATCGGTCAAGCCGTTTTCATGTTATGTCGTGACAACGGAAAACGGGTTTCATTTTTATATATATAGAAGATAAAAATTAAATTGTTTGACAGTTTAAATATTATAACATACGGTTTGTCGATAGAATCATGTTAATCGGTTTTTAAACAATAATCTTCCACAATAAAAACATAGAATAATCAATAAGTAATATTATTTGCTTTTATTTTATCATACACCAAACCAACTATTGGAACTTGGTTACTATGTATAAGGTAAATGTATATGTACAACAAGGTTATCAATCCATTCATAGTAATGGAAGGCACATATACAAGCTGCGTTAAGTTAGATTAGTTTATATTTAAAATTATCCCCATACATAATATTTAAAGTCTTCGATTTGTTCGGTTCGTACCAATGACCTAGAAATTCTCAGCTACATTTTTATGTTAATTTAATTAATATGATAATGAGTTTTAACGCGATACACTATGTTTTGGTAATATACATTGGTTATGGCCAAGTTATAGATACCGTCCCAGCTATGGCATTGTCAGGAGGGCGCTATTATCAAAGCTGAATTATTAGTTCCGATTATTGCCACGTTGGACAGCCTTAAAATTATTTTTATGTTTTTGATTTTTACCACTAGCTAGGACGTTTCAAAATCGTTGGCTATAAGCCTATGGGCTGACAGGTTAATACCCGTAGTGTCAAAAATAATGCAACGCAAAAGTTATTAAGTAATTTTATTCTAGGAATTGTATCTATACTAATATTATAAAGCTGAAGAGTTTGTTTGTTTGTTTACTTGAACGCGCTAATCTCAGGACTTACTGGTCCGATTTGAAAAAATCTTTCAGTGTTAGAAAGCTCATTTATAGAGGAAGGCTATAGGCTATATACCATCATGATACGAGTAATAGGAGCAGAGCAACAATGAAAAATTATGCAAAAACGGGTTTTCACGCGAACGAAGTCGCAGGCACAGCTAGTTTGGTATAAGTACCAAGTCTACAAACATCTTCGCGTTTCTTTTCGATTAGCAAACTTGTAACAAACTCGCGAACTGCTCCAATATCCGCGGCATCGCCGAATCTCAGCCAGGCCGAGGTCGTGCGGAGTCGACGACCCGAGGGTCAATGGTCAACCACATGTGTTGAGTCGTTTGATGTCATAGCTAGGACTATCGCCCGTATGCACAAACATTACTATGAAGTCGCACAGTACGCACAGGGTGACACATGAAAAAATCACACAGCTCTATTCAACGCTGTGCGTTCGATTTGCTGCTTCACTTAAGCATCGTTTGTGAATACGGGCGTATGAATCGTGGGACTGTTACGGGTATGGGATTTACAATTAGATTTGATAAAGACAATTGACAGCAGGGTACTTGACACCACCAATCAATTGAATAGAACTTTTTGAGATGATAATGATACGGTGTTTCTTCATAACGTAGTTTGTATGGAACATTGTGCCCTGTGACGAATACGCTTTATTTCTTAAAAAAATGGGTATTATATTGGGATCGAATCTAACAACTGTTGATGCTGTGATTGATACTCAGAATCATTAGTTTATAATTTATCTAATCGCTGTAATACAAGCTCTAGTCTAGATTCTAGTTGCTTGACAAACATGTCCCAACGCCTGGGCTATGAAATTATATTCATTGAACTGATTCCGAATGAAAGTAAGAAAATCTACGTCGTAACTTCACAGACCATTGTAGTAAACTCGGAAGTAATTTATTATTAGAGGCGCAAGCATAGATCGTTCCCCGAGGCGCCATAGTTGCTCGAGCCAAAAAATATTTGGCAATACCCGGAGCAGTACGGGACGAGTCATTTCATTACTTACACGATACTTTGCAGCGCCGTACCGCCCATATAGATCGTTTCATCCACGAAGACGCGCCCCACCATTTTTTCGCTAATGTTTGAGTGTTATCGGTACACGCTAAATTATCCATGAGTGCACACGCACACTACAATATTGACACTCGGATTGCTCGGATCCCAGCACCCCGCGCTTCCCTCGTGTGCCTCGACCAAAATTGGTGAGGCGCGTCTTCGTGGATGAAACGATCTACATTCATAGGTAAGACGACGCAGCGCCACCGCTCGGGCATCGCACCGTCGCCGCAACGCATCGTGTGCTTTGGCTCTTACTTGCACAACCGAGACTGCAATTCCTTTTCAGGCCAATCAATTCGGTTAACAAAACGTAAGTGAAAGAATAGAATGACCAGGCTATAGAGGTCATATTCGGATAGCAACATCTTGAACCTGTATGACAACATCGTAGATTATAAACATGTTTGTTGACTGTTAAGTGATATAACTCCGCTAACACGCCAAAACGATACGATTCGCAAATTGATGGATCTTTGGTTAACTCATTTAGGTTTATACATTTTATTGGTTAACGTTATGTTAATCAAATCTGCATAATATTATTATGTTATCTTACCTAATTGCTCAAAATGATTTTTAAATTGTGTGGTCTACCTGGGCCACGAATTAAGTACCTCACACTATGGGGACAATACTATACATAGATATTGTATGAGTATCGTTAGTCCTGCAAATCATTATTATCAATGAATGATAACTGCCAAAGACTGAATCCCATTTCCTTGAAGTTCTATAAATGTACACTCATCGCGACGTTAAATTTATCACCATATTCATAGTATCCGCTCGGCTGTTCCGATATCCGCAATCTAGGCGCAGTTGTTTTGCCTATCTTGTGGACTGTACATACTACTATGTTTTAAACTAAAGCGCAAACCATATAGGGTTAACTGAGTAGTTTTATAAATTGTTTTCTAATTATAGGATGGACACATAATTTTGTTCTAATTTGTTATTATGTGGTACAAAATTACTATATTTATTATGATTTTTTTTAATTCAATTTAATTGATGACCTTCTTAATTAATGAAAACATTAAAACATACATTTTTATATCTATAGGAAACTTTTAGTATCAAATAATTTAGCCAAACTTTAGTTGGGTCACTGGGTGACATAATATAATCTTTTTTATACTCCTACGAATACGATAAAATACAGCAATTAACGATCAATTTCAAAATTTCATTTTAATGATTCACCTTTTTAACATCGACTGATAACGACGAACGAATCGACTTTAAAAAGAAATAATTGGATAGATAAAAATAGATTATTTTATCTCACTGATAATATGTAAATGTAATCATTATTGGTTTTTTGAGTTTCTATTTAGAATATCGTCTCTAGCTTATTTAATATTAAAAATTATGAAATATTAGGGCAAAGTTTACTACATACCTTGTACTCCACTTTTATCTAAGAAATTACTTAGTTGAAACGTAGAATTACTGGATGCTAGGTATTGTGTGAATCTCTGAAAGCAAAAAAACAAAAATACATTAGTGACACATCCTCAAAATTGTCATCCTGTGATTGGTCTAAATATCAAATACAATAAAACTTGACTCGAGCTTAAGTTTGAATGTAGTTCTGAGATCTAGACACGCGGCAGCGTGTCAAGCCAAGTTCAAGCAAAGGAACTGGCTCTAGCTAGCCAGAGTGTAATATTACACGAACCATTTGGTGCCACTTTTGACCCTTCTCTAACTCAAATCCTCTTTAATGTGTTTACGTTGTTAAGGTGTTTACTGTAGTTTAACTAGGTATTAAAAATGGCTGATGTAATGAAAACTGACCAAGTCAAATCTTCTCACATTTTCTTGATCTCAACTTACATAGAACTTGGTACTCATTTAGATCTCCATTATTTTTGCAGCGAAGCCTACAGCCAAGCATAATTTTTGTATTGAACTTGGCTCTCCTTTTTTTCATTTATGTTTTTGGTGGGATATGTTTTACAATACGGAGTCTAATGCTTGGATTTGAAGATAACCCCCCCTGTCAAGAAAATAACCGATCACATGAAATGTGTCGGAAAAACATGTACCCATTGAAAACCTCTAGAAATACTATTTATTACATTTGACACGACAATCAGGAGCTGTCAATTACAATAACATGTTACGCTGGCCAGTCAATAGGCAGGTAATCATAACCAATAAAGCCCTACTCATACAATCCTGTTAACAAGTCTCAGTCATTCTCAAAACGAAGGACAAACCGATATTATAAGATACATCCATAGAGTAGAATAAGCAGGTACAGAAGGTTCAACGATATTTGGTTGAGAGTCAATATCTGTAAAAATAAAATCTAGAAACGTGTAAAAAGTTTTTAGGCCCTTACTTAAACGCATGTTGAATACTTAAAAATGACTTTTCTACAGTTCAACACGCGTGTAACTTTTAGTAGTAAGTAGGGTGTAAGTTTTTAAGACTTGAAAAAAATGTTCTGCCTGAAGGTTCGGCCAAACCAACGCGATCACATGCGATCAACCGGCGTGCAGCGATGGCGACCAGACTGAATCGCCATCGCTGCACGCTGGCTGATCGCGTGTGATCGCAGTGGTTTGGCCGAACCATTAGTTGGAACTTCCTTTTTCTTTGACAGGCAACAAGGCAGTACAAGGCACAGCCAGCAATGGGTTATGTGTCGAAATTCTAAAGCCAAGATAGACCATTCTAATTTCTAAGAAAAGTACACTTATCTATAATTTCCATAGAGTTACCGTGTCAATTTCAATTGCGGCCATAGTGTTCCTTTATTGACACAAGTGGCTGCAATGGCGACAATATTTTGTGTCGTGTCGCGTCGCTGCGCCGGCGCACGATCCGAGAGAAATTAATCGCCATAGTGATTGTTAGCGGCCAGCGATAAGGCTGTGATATGAGTTGCATTTCTTGCTGTTTTATTAGTTCTACTGGCCAATGGTTCTTAGGAATACCATAGGAAGGAAGTCGCAATTCTGTCAGGAACATTTAAGCACAGATTCAGTACTTCATACGCGTAAGGATTCAGATAAGAGTCAGGGACTTGGCATAAATCTTATTCGGACATAGGCAGCAAGTAATTCTGATTTTCAACAATAAATTGAGGTCTCAGGTAGTTTTTGGCACTACGTATGCCCAGCCGGGCGCCTTTAACCTGAGGCAATTATTCTGAAATCATGTTGCGAGGTAGGAGCTTCTCCAAAGTCGACGTCATACCGCTCTCCCACTCATCCCAAGATGGTATACAATTTGGCATCTACGGTGGTTGTAATGGTGTTATTTTGCAATAAAAAGCAGTGTGCTGTTGACTGAACCATGAGCCAAAGCTCACATGTGACAGAAGAACAAAAAATACAGACATCACGTCGTAGAGCAGACACGCTGTTTGTTTTGCATCAATTTCTATTCACCGCTTAATCATTCTGGTGATTTAATGGGACAAACAATCTGGAGCATTGTTCCAGAAGTGTTTGTTTTCCTTCTTGAATTTAATTTATGGGATGGGTACATACTGGTCTGTTACTTTTTATTCTCATCATCATCGCCATATTACGTCAGAAGTGTGACATTTCGCATCCGCTATTGCTATTTTAAGATTTGCACATAAAAACATTATGTAATGAAATTCTATAAGCAGCGCAAAGCTACTTTGACCTATACGAAAAATGCAGTTATAACCTACTAGCAATAATGAATCGAACAGCAATAAGAAGTGAAGGTTGATGATGTGTTAGAAACCTATAGAGAGACACGGGTAGCCGAGGTAGAACGCGTTAGAGGTGCGTTAAAAATCTCTGGTCGATATTGACACACCTCTAGGACGGATATTCTTCGCACGCCTAAAGGATAGTTCTGTCGGTCTCTAAGCGCTCCTGCACACGACGCCGCTACCGCGCCGCCGCTGCACCGTCGTCGCCGCGTCTTTGCACTGTTCATACGCACCGAGTAAAACCGCCGTTGCTGTCACGCTCGCACACTCTCTGCGGGCGCCCGTCCCACAGTCGCGATAGCAATATAATTACGCGCGAGCGATAAGGATGGGTAGCTTGAGGTCATTGGACAAAATTCTACGTGCTCCCGGACTAGACTATACAACTTGACCTAACCAGTAAAGACCAAGTTTCAGGGGGTCTGTCGAAGTACGTAGAATAAAAGTGTAACTTCATGTGCTCACCTCATTGCCATATGCTAATAAATGGTGTACGGTGATGAGTGCTTTGTACACCACCACCCAGTTTGTGTTCTGAGTGCGCTCCACCAAGAGGTTCGCCAGCTGTGGTATTGACACGTTCGGCTCGTTTGTGCAGTGGACTAGATCTGAAACAAGAGGAGACATGATATTTATATTAAGAAATCAGTAGAAAATACTTGAACTTTTAAATGAACAAAATTATCGAGCAACCACTTCACCACCACGACTTGCTGATGGTCGCGGAAAGCACCTGGATTCGGGCAGCGCATGACCGATTGTGGTTGCGGTTTTGTACAGCAGTACACGGAATATGGTTGAACAGCTACAGAGTTCTGCAGTATTTAGCTTGGTTGAACAAACCAATAATTTCATAGAAAAATAAACATCTAAAAGTAATCAAATATTTTTGAAATGCGATACTTTGATAAAAGATGTTATGGTATGAGTCCGGCCTACCTTTTCATGTAAAGGTAGGCCGGATTGGTTTAATTAATTCTCCTGTATGAACCCTATACACATTTGAATTTGAATTGAAGCTCTTGCAGGCCGGAAACCCATGGATCGAACATTTCCCAGCCCTAACTTTAATACATTTAATACTTCGGTAAAGATAGAGTTCCCATTTCTTGAATGGTTGTGTATTTTGTGCTTTGTCTACCGTAACATTGTGATGTCTGACTTTACAATAAATTGTCTTTTTGAATAACAGAACCATTATTAAAATGATTAATAAAGCGCATAAGAATCATCAAGTTTCACGCGCCAACAAAGATTGAGACCACAAAAAAGAATCAGCAATTGTCAATTAACTGACTCAAATGATAAACTGTATTATTCCACAAACATATTTTTCATAACAAAATATGACCTTAATATCATTTTCACCGATAGATTACCGTCCCTTCCCAATTCATGTTTTAGATAATACAAAACAGATGCTGGTGTTAGAACTGATATGCTATCGGTATGTGATAATGAGGTCATAAGGTACTATTCAATTGAATAAGTGACTGGTTTACGGTTGCATTCAAACCTTTATAGGTCGGCAAGGTTCATCGCGATAAGTGTCGTTAGGTAAATAAATCTTTAATAGTAAAGGAATCTTCCTCCGGATTTAATTGATTGCAAATATGTACATAAATTGTAGGTTCATTCATAGTTTTCTCTCAGCTGTTTTTCTTCTGTCGCTTGGTGATAATATTGTACCTCTAGCTATATATTAGTACAGGGGTCTACCCCCAGGTAGCACACAAAGCACGAACGGTGGTACTTTTCCCTGTGACTTGCCTAAGCGCAGTCAGTCATTTAAAAATATTGGAGAAAATGCAAGATACTGAGTGAGAAAATAGATCATGAGAACTGCGAGTTGACCGACTATTATTATTAATTAGTAATTAATGAACTTCCTCTTCAAGTTTCAGTTAGATGGATCGAATGAAAACGCAAGTTAGCGATTCGATTTTTTAGTGTAAGCAAGTAAACCATACAAATAATGTATTGTTATTTTGTTATAAAAGAGTAATTTACTTCCCACACATTGAACGACGGGAAATAATTTGTCAGGTGTTTAAAATATGTAATTTAAAAAAAATCCACTCCCAAGTGCGAATCAGATTCGCAGTTAAGGTTCTGTGTGCTTACCATGAGTTTACGTTAGGTGTGCTCGCTAGCGACTGCGTAAAAAATGACATTAAACGTATGACATATTGTGCAGCGCCCCTAGTGGCTACTTTCAAGAAATAAAATCTTCATAATTTTTTTTCACGTACTCGCTAGCGAGCACACCTAACGTGAACTCATGGTAAGTACACTGTATTAAATTAATTTATTTTATTTTAATATTTCACAATTTTCATAATTTAATTTATTATTGGTTGTAATAGGTACCATAGCATATAAAAACTTTACAAGATTATGTAAAATATCCATGTGACGTCAAATAACAGAAGAACGGGTCGACAGACAGCGGAGCATTAGTAAAAGGTTTTGTTTGGCACCCTTTACATATTAAGGAACCCCATTAACCAAATTAAAATCCACCACGTATCCTTGAAACACGTCATTAGCTAGGACAGCGAAATTGCAACATCAGAGGTCATTACGCCAACAGTGGGAGGCCAGTGATCATTGAATGGCGTGGCTAAATCATTATTGTTGTCAACTGAACTTGACCCGCTAACTGTTTTAACTGCTACGCAATTTTCGCCAGTTTTCATTCATGCATGTTCGTTCGTTTCAGCCAAATGACGTCCACTGCTGGACAAAGGCCTCCAAGGTTTTCCACAATGAACGGTCCTGCGCTGCCCGCATGTACACAAGTATAAATAATAATCATAATAATAATAAGTCATTTATTTCAACACACAGTCATAGGTTTAAGGTTACAGTTAATAATTATAATAATAAGATGCAAAAGGCGGTGATCCTCAGCACGGCACGCATTGTCCGGAGGTTCCTCAGCCTGTGACCCTACCACCGGTAGCTTGGGCCCTGCTCCGCTACCAGCGGAATAACTATTTTTAAGTATTTTTTTATAATGTATTTTTTTTTTTTGATAATTTACATTGTAAAAAAATATTTAAAATTAAGAACCAAGGTTAATAAAGAGAATAATAATAATAAAATATTTCAATTTCATTTCAATTCACATAATTAAATTAAATTCAAACAAGTCAATAAAACACGTATACATACAAGTAAGTATCAAAACAAGTGTGAACATATTGCGATCTGCAATAAATGTGTTGAACTGTTGAATTTAAAACTACTACACCAATAATGCAGTGGTGGGCGTAAATTACCTGACGATGAAGATGATATAGGTAAATACTGGTATTTAATTTTGGACATAGCACTGATTTAAAAAATATAGGTACCTAGTGGTAGTAGATCAGTCGAGAATTTGACAAATAGCTAAATATCGCTATCTTGCCACGCCACGACAAATAAAGACATAACCATAAGTTTAGGGCTTGAGTTGATTTAACTTTTCGTTAAAGTTCAGTAACAAGCAATCCACTGCTGAGCACAGACTGTCCCTCATTAATGCCACTTACCAAATCCAGCGTACATTGTCGTCGACGAAAATAAAACTCCCTTTTCCCACTAAAAGCATCTCGACAGCAGGCTAACCGTCAACAGACCCTATTAGGGTTCCATTTTTCCACCCTAACCAACCCAAAAGTGCTTCTTTGTTTGGGAGTCAACGTGTTAAGTATTCACCATTTATGGACACTAGCTTCTGACTGCGGAATCTGCGGATATACTTAAGAAATCATGAGTCCCAGTCACTAATTTGCATTCCCTCGTTCATATCTCAAATTTTGTGTGTTCTTCTTAGCCTATTAACCTTTTCTGAAGTTGAATATTTCTATATGGGTCAGTGATTTAATATGAACAAGTAACCGTAACAAACCGACAGACAAGATTAGAATCTTTCTACATGATAACTAATGATTGTTTCTATTCCATCATCGTTCGTTTCAGCCAAATGCAGTCCACTGTTGGACAAAGGTCTTCCCCAAGTATTTCCATAACGACCGGTCCTTCGTTGTCCACATCCAGGTCATCCAGGTACTTCATGTCGTGACCTTCAACAGCCTTATTCCATCGTACTTATATTGAATTTTCTGGATAGACTAATTGTATCCGCCCTGCCTCTTGTCTTCGTTTATTCTACGCCCTTGAAGCCTCTTCAGCTATTGATTTCTCTTAATCCTCGAGACTTCTTCTCAGAATATCGTCCTATAAATAGATACTCAAGTTTCCAAGAGCCTACAAAGGCAACCTTCAACGGGTAAGAAGTTAGTTTTTCTCCGAGTATACATGATAGACAATGATGTTGCGTACATTAATTATGCCACATTGAAAACATTGTGGACACGGCAAATGTCTAATTGCCAATGATATTTTATAGCAGAATTGCTTTAGTGTCGAACATTTAGATATTCGCAATGTAAATAACTAGTAAGTAATAACGTACGCGTATGGGATCTTAACTGCTTTTTTTGGTGTAATCGATAAAACCATTCAGCCATTTTTCCGTGAATATTATGTGTGCAGATAGATTTATAGATACTGTAAAATATTTTGCATGCTTATANCCCAGGACCGGCCGTTGTGGACATCTTTGGGGAGGCTTTTGTCCAGTAGTGGACATAATTTGGCTGAAATGAACGAACGAACTGCAAACATCTTGGTGTTATGAACATGCTATGTGTGTCGTAAGCGTGCTAAATAACGATTTAATTCTTGGAAGCCTTGAGGCTTGAATTAGTCCTATGATGGGGAATAAAATGTGCCATTACCCGGATTTACATTAAAATAGAAATGAGCATTAACGATCACGAACACGTATTTTACAATGGTTAAAATCGAACAGTGATCCATTAAGAATTGTTATTTGGTTCACAATTGTATGTTACAAAAATAAGGTCGGAAAATTATGATAATTACATGATACAAAACTATTATTTTGTGTGCGTGACACGATATTCTATTTAAAGGGATATCTAAATTGAATTGTGAGTAAACGTGGAACGAGTAAACAAATTGTATTCGTTCCTATTACAATACAAATACACAATTATTTACTTGACCACTATTTCCGTTAATAAATCGAATAGGAAAATCCGTATGCACTGGACGTATCGAGAAATTTTTTGAAAAACTTTCGATCATGAAGAAAAAATAAGTCTCACTGCTGTAAATTAGGAATAGTATTGTAAATTGCTACATTTATGTTATCCTATTCATACAACTCAATGAGATGAACGAAACTGTAGAGTAGTAGAAAGACACGTACGTAGTTGAAATTTTAACAATTTGTATTTTAAGATATTAAGTTACGTTATTTCCACAATAAATTGGGAATTATCGATAGTTTGGAAACACTACTTGCTACTTGATTTGGAAGTAATCAAGTAATCTTTGCACAAGGTTCAATAATTGATTATCACCGCAATTCAACGCTCATTTCTTTCGCACTATTGTTGACTTTAAGGCCGTTTAATCAGCTGTGTATGATCTATCCATCCCTTTCAGTTGTAGGGAGATGTCGAGAGAGAGAAAGATAGACCACAAAATATGGAAACGGAGGGATTACAATCTCATATTGTGGTAGGTACATTAGCTTTTCGCCCGCGTGAAATTTTATGTCACGGAAAAACTGTCGCGCTCGTCTCTGTTTCAAAAACCGGGATAAAAACTATCCTATGTCCTTTCCCGGGACTCAAAGTATCTCTATATCAAAATTCATCAAAATCGGTTCAGTGGTTTAGGCGTGAAAGCGAGACAGACAGATTTTCGCATTTATAATATTAGTAGGATTGAGCTGAGTGAGACGTTAAAGGGACATTATAAATATAAAAGCCGTACCGGTCCATTCATTAATTCAACATTGCAATGAATAGGTCTAACGACTTTCGATTCATTGCCTCTTTTGAAACATTGTTTATACCCGATCGGGCAGCTTTGAGAAGCTCAAATGATACTTTGGCTGTCTTTTGTTGTGGTATTCTTTATTGTAATTGTAATATTTGTAGAGATGAACCTGGCTTGAGATTCTTTCGATTTCCAAGTTTAGTATTCTAAGCACAAACCTCGTCGAGCCTTTGCTCGACATATCGTGTCGTCCAAAAAATAGAATAGGTACATTTTCTAGCCGAGTAAAATACGAGTCTGGCATTTTCCTTTATTTTTTGATGATTTCAATAATAATTCTGAAAGTGCTAGTTGACATTTAACGTGACAGAATCGTTCACTTTCCTAAGTTATTACAAGAGAAACAACAAGAGCTGAAAATGTTGATATTTATTTACAGTTTTCTAATACACATATTTGGGGAAGGTAATTATTACAAGTTAATATCGATAATGAGACGACTTAGTACTTTTAACCTCGTTTTGCCGTAACTATAACTATTAAGCATTAGCTATATGAAATGTGTGTGTACGATAGATATTTTAGATGTCATCAATGACCTACATTTTTAAAACTATTTTGATATTCTATTCTATCCGTCTCCCTCACTTAATTGCTCTGGGAAGGATGCGTGAAAGAGAGGGATCAAGCTTACAACTCGAAATCGTTTTCCAAGTAGACCGAGACCCGGGGTTAAATATCTTTTTAACTTGAACTGGGACGTAGCTATTTCTGGTGTACGGTCAAGGACAACGTAGCTGTAATGTAGACAAATTATGCAAGCAGCATAGCGCCTATTATTAAAACGGCTTTTCAATATCTTCAACAGTACGAGTTTACTCTCAAAACTTTCCTGAAATCGGTGTAATTTGATATTTATAAAAATAAAAGATCGACAATCGCTTGGGAAATCAAAGAAGCAAGCTCGTCAAATTATTGTAAATCAAATGACAGATGGATAGACAGGACATTAAATCACGCAGGCAAGATGTGATACAAAATCGACGATAAATGAAAAGCTTCAGAGAGATGTTGGAAATGCTTAGCTGACGATCAGACTCGATGTTATGTCCCCACCATTGGACTTATTATGATGATGACATCAATAGATGACGATTTAGGGTGTGTATTTAGTTAGTTGAGGGAAGAGTGACTTTGACTTAAAGTCCTATATCCCCTAGATGGGGCAGAGGGCGTCCATAATAGTCCTCCATCGCGTTCGGTCTTGAGTTTCGCGTTTGATCTGGCTCCAAGTCTTGCCGATCTTCTTCGCCTCGTCTGCCACAGTGCGCCGCCAAGTTTGCTTGGGGCGACCAAGGAGGGTAGAAGAGTATGCTAAACGATTTATTTGCAGATATTACACTGTCATTTGAATCAAATACTTCGCTAAATCTATTCTTACTTATAAGGAAATGTAGAGGAGAGTTGCATGAAGGTAATCTCCTACAACCGGAATATGGATGTAATTTTTTCCACATAGCAACATCTACTCGCATTACAATGTATTCACGCGTCTGGTTTCATGTCAGGATACAGATAGCTCTTTAAATTCAAAACGCGATATCACGTACACCAGATGTCGTTACAATGTAATCGGAAAAATAATACATTGGATGAGCGTGAGCATGAATATCTTGTTTATTAGATAATTTTTGTTTGGCTGTTTGTAGGTAAACTTTTATTGATGCAAGATTTTAAAACAAAAGATATATTAAACAGGCTAAAATATAGCGCTACAAAAGACTAATATTGGTAAATACTTTGTGCGAAAAGTATAGCGGAAGTGTAGTATTCCCCAGTTAATAATAACTCCATAAACACGCACGCCATAAAACAGGCATGGTGTTTGCGCTTACGTAAACAGCTGATCACCATGCGTGTGTCGTGCAATGACGTCACAGGCGGCGACGGCTGGGCCATCCCAACTTGAACGAGGGGCGGAAGATTCTAGATTTCTGGATACTCAAGGGCGATATGGGGCAATGGCCTCGTTTACTTAGGGCTTCCACATTACGGCTCGAGTTCATTTCTCAGCTTATAGCTCTGTATCAACTTTTTGCAAGTAGCAGAGGCTCCATTACACTCAAGTTAGCTCAAAAGAATAGATTCTCAAAAGCCTGTATGGTTGAATTTAATACTAGTTTCGTTTCAGAATCCGGGTCATTCTATAGCTGTGACCAGTAGCGCAAATCTTCGCTACTTTTATGCTACAGCCCTAATTTATTTTGTTCAAAAGTGAAAAAAATGTGACTGTCAAACAGGGCTGAACTTTGCGTGTTCGCTTATCTTAAGTTTTAGATTAATGTTTTTTCCGGTAACTAGAAGAAATAAACCTATTTTTTACATAATATTATCGTATTACCTCACTAACTAGTAAACCGTAAGTAGGCCTATACCTAGAACAAATCGCCGATGAAGTTGAATAAGATGAATTGAGTTTGAACATGTTTTTATTTCTTTGTATGGAAATTAAATGCCCACGCAAATCCTGTCTGTCCCGTGACGTCATATGCGTGTCACCTTGACGCGAATTTCGTATTCCAGACTCGATAAAAAGGCTAATGTAATGCCTTGTCGTATCGAGTCTAGCAAAACGGCATCGAATGAGGTGAACCTTTTATAAGTAAAACTGTTTATTTTGATAAGTTTTTTTGCACTCAGCTGATTAGGCGGGCGATAACCAATGACAACACGGTCGGCGTAGGCAGGACAATCTTGACGCAGATATTTTGACGAAATAGAGCAATGACCTTCTGGGTCAAGATGTCAGCACAGTGCAATGGCAAAGTGCAAATAAAACAAGATGATTAATAGGATGATGACCTGTGGTCATTTTGACTAAGTTTTTAAACAATATCATGTACCTCCCTACCTATCTACTCAAATTATGGTAGGTGAACCAATTCAATTGACTACTTACCTATTTTTTAGATATGATAACTGCTTGACATTTTATTTAGATTTTTGGTGTTCATGCAGTGTCAATCACATTGATTTCTAGTAACAGTGAATATACAGTGACTCAGCTAGTATTTACTCAAGGTGGGTAGGTATTTACTCAAGTGCCCAACTTATCTACCAACAAAAATGTGAGACCAATGATTTTCTAAGAAACATTAAGTTTAATTTTTACCTAAAGTATTTCTTATTAGATATTCCAATTAGAGTAATTCTAAATGGTCACAACCTATTTACTGAGGAAGTTAATTACAATATTGCTTGTTCATTCACTTCAATCAAATGCAGTCCAGTGCCTAATTTTTGATTAACTTTAAGACAAATATTTCCTAAATAATACATTCCAATCAGTCGGACAGGGCATATCAGAATGTGACACAGGAAACTGGCCAGCCGGTTATCAGCGCAATCACTGCAGTGCATCCATGCCCAGCCTTTTTCACAGTTATCACTCATAAATTATTATTTCATGCCTACTTTTTGAGTTCGAACAACATGATGAATTTGAAATTGAATTTGAAAATTAAGAAAAGAGCAATAGTGTGAGTGTGACATAATAATAAGTTTTCTTAAGCATAGACATGAGAGCTTTCAATTAGTACAAAATTCACAAAATTAGTTTCCAATTGGTATCAGTAATATAATAAAGTTTCAGATTTTTAGGATTGAATTTAAAAATACATTCACAATCTTAATTTGTAAATAGATGTGGGGGTTTTTAGTTTAGAATTATGTATTGAAATATGTTACATTTTTCTTGAAGGCAAAGTACAGGCCTGTGATTCTGTATTATGATTACACATTAATTTTAATGCATTTTTACAATCTTTGGCTGAGCAAATTATCAGAATCAAATTTTACATTCATTATTATTTTAACACAAATTGTGTGGGTAGGTACCTACAATGTACAAAAAAATGCAAAAATACCCACAAGAAACCAATTAGTTCTGTGAAAAACTGAAAAGGAATTAGAATGGTGTGAAATTACAATTTGCAAAACAAGTTGTTACATACTCAATAATGATCAAATGTTGTTATTACATAAAACCAATAGCAACTATCAACTTTTTGCATTTACCAGCGTGTTACATACCATCCCCCGGTTCTTTCACATGACATAATAGTAAAACTGTGTCAAGATGCATTGTGAAGCCGTGAGATTCAATTATGTAAAATATTTCGACACAAATTAATTGGTCATACAGTAACATGTTTTTATGTGGTAGCCCGACTGAATCTGTGACGTCTGCTCAACCTGCGACCAACGATCGAAACGAATATTCAAGATCACACTATCGACCATTGGCATTTGCTACCACTGCTCGGCCACCAACAATACGCGAATCGAATTACACCTCAAGATCGAACCAATTCTAACACTAAAGCATAATCATAACAATACTCACAATCTAAATGTTTCTTTTTCGGTGCAATCATTTCTTCGGTTGTAGCTTTGCATACTGACTTTGCTAATCCTTGGCCGGCGATACTGTGCCGAGCGGCCAAAAACCTATCGTTTATAGTCTGACCCGCCATCCTCACGTTCAGTCCTGACATAAACTATTTACACCAAAAAACGACACTTATTTTCGCGTTTTTTCGAACAAGTTCACAAAATTATGACGATGACGGGTAAAATAATGTCACCGCCCCCCCGACTGGCACAATACTGAATTTCAAGATGGCGGCCACGACTGAAGAGGTATTGCTATTTGAAAAAAGCACATAATCTTGTGACTTTGCAAGTCGTTTATCATTTTCCCAGAATTAAAACATTTATGTCCTGCAATTTACTTTAGCGATAATCAGATTTTATTTTATTGCATTATCGCTTGATCTTCTCCAAATATGTTTTTTTTTTTTTAATCCTTCCTGGCCTGGAAATTTGTCTTAAATATGATTATTATGGAGAACTGGAGAAGAGGATTTCTTGTCTATGTTTATACCACAGACTAAATACGAATTCGTGGAATTTTTAAAAAACAAAATTGTCTATGGCATTCATATGTTTTCCGAATGTCTTGTTGTATTGTCAGCCATATTACATTTTGCAAAGAAATTCATGATTTTTACATAAACAGTTAAGTGTTTCCAGAATAGTCTTGAATGTATATTTCAGTCAGGATATTTTGTTAAATAAGTAAACGAGAGGGACATTTCGGTGCAGTCATCACAGCTATTTTCTAACGGTTAGCAAGATGGCAAAGAAAAAGCCTAAACCGAAAGTTTCGAAGCCACCAGTGGCAAGCCCTACGAGTAGCACATTATCAGTTCCTAATAAGACTGATATTGAAGCAATAGCCGCAGCCATCTGCTCCGCAAACCAGGCTGTTTTCATGAAAGTTTGCAGGCTGTGCGAGTCGAGAGATGGGCCTTTCCTGAATATATTCGATGCGGACAAAGTTACTGCTAAGAAAATTGATGAATTGATGCCTTTTGGGGTGAGTACATAGACATAGTACCTATTTTGCCTTATTCAAAACTTTCACTGTGAGCAATAATGAAAGCTCTACAATATGTATGAAGTACACGCATGTTTTACCCAAATTCTGCTTTGTACTCCTCAACGCAAATTAGTTGAAATAATATACTTTTTGAAATACTATTAGAATATTGTAATATGTATCACAAATACCTAAGATTGCTCTATAATCTAGTATGTAATGATAAGTTATTGGTATTTCATTTGGTCTGTTATTTGTATTTTACAAAAAAATTACATTGTATGTCTTTCTAATTTTATTACAATCAAACTTAAACATATTTTTGTCAACAGATTGCAGAAAATGATGATCTGCCGCACAAAATCTGCTTCCGCTGTTCAGCCAAAGTGGAGGAGTTGTATGAATTTATTCAGAAATGTATTAAAACCCAACACAATCTGAACACTACTATGGGAAAGAAAGAACCCATCTTAACCAAGACAAGAACCAGAACTATATGGGAGGAAAAATTGAACAAATCAAACATGTCTAATGACGACATTTGTGATGCGTTGATTAAGAAGGCCATGGAAGGTATTAAAGACATTCCTCTGAATCCTATACCGTTCGAAGACGAAAAGCCTGAACCACCTGCACCTGTTAAAAAGGTTTTCAAACCAAGAACTGAATCACCAAAACCAGCGTTGGTTGAAACAAAAGCCAATAAATCAGAAGATGTGAGTTCAAAACAAACAAAATCAAGTCCTGATAGTTGTGAGCAGAAATTTATACCAACTAGGTCATCACGCTCCCAAAAATCTGATTGTTTGCTTGATGGGTTACCAGATTATAAAAAGAAGAAGCCACCTAGTAAACAAAGTAATGAAACAAATGATAAGCCTAAGGAAGAACCTCAAACAAAAAGAAATACAGTGCAGATTAGTTCTGATGAAGAAAGCTCTGATGACTCAGATAATAATACAAAACCACCTCCAGTTAGCCAGCCTAAACCGGTCGAAGAACCACCTAAGCCTAAGCCAGCTGAAGAACCACCGAAACCATTTAATATTATGGACCATGTCAGTATGATAAAAGTTAACGGTGTTGGAGTGCTATTCCAGTGTAAGCTATGTAACAGAAACTTCCTCAAAAAAGATGTGGTTATCACTCATGGCTGTGCCAAGACAGGAGTTCCAAAAGTAGATTTTACAAAACATATAATCCAACCGGAACCACCAAAAATTTCAACAGTTAAGTACATTAATACTAAAATTGATGGGGAACTAAAAAAGCCTAATCCTGATAAGTTGAATACAACTAAAGCTGAATCAGATCCTAAACCTGTGCCTGAGAGCAAACCCAAGCCAAGAATTGGCCCTGCCAGTAAAGTTAAGCGTATTAATAATCATGATTCACTTATTGGGATGACTGTAGCTCCTATCTCTGATGAATCAAATAATCTACCAAGAGATCCCCAACCTAGGGCTCCATCGCCTAGGGAGCCACCAGTCAAACAGAAATCTAAGTCACCTCCAGAAACGCCAGCTGGCATGCCATCTGTAGAATTTCCGACAGCTCCAAGTTTAAATTCTCGATACAAATTAGTGCCAGGGCCAAATAATACTTTCCAATTAGTAGAAGAAAAGACTGCCACCGGAAATAATACAGAGACTGAATCTTCTAAAAAACGAAAAAGTGACGATGTTACACCAGTTGAGAGTAAGAAATCTAAGCAAGTAAGTGAATCATCCCGTAGACAAAAAACAAATACTTCCGATGTTATCTCATTAGATGGCCCGTCACCACAAATCTCTAAAAAGTCAGACGAGCAGCCATATCCAGTAGGGTTGTTCCAAACAATGCCACATCATTCCAGTATCTACCCAGCCGCAGCACCTCAACCGCCTACTTTTACTACTCCAGCTATGAAAAAGCAGTCGTACACAATAGTACAGACTGGCAATCCAAGTAAATTATTAATATCCACAAAACCTCAGCCTCCGCCGCCTGAAGAAGTATCTAAGAAGCGGCCAAGAAAAAAACATGAAACTAGAACAGATCCAGACCAGCCTTTTAATGTCACTCTGGAAGACGCTGCTCATCCAAAAGATCATGGATTTTTTAATTTCATCAATGTTGATCCATTGTTACAACCGTCGTATGTTTTGCCCACAGATAATATAATTCAGGAATCTCAAATTTCTACTTCTAGCTCTGTTTTAAAATCGGCAGCTGATAATGACAAGGAAAAGGGGAAATATTCGTGTAATATGTGTGGAGATAACTTTACACGGGAAAAGAAATTACTAGCACACATACAATCACACTACAAACAAATGGACGAGGAGGATATGCAAAGAGAAAAAAATAGTAAAAAACGTAGAAAGTGATTGTAACGTTTCACTACTTTGCAGTGTGCATTTAGATAAGTTTAGATGCAACATAATAATAACAGTTAATATTACAAACAATTTTGGTTATATTAGGAAAAATTGAATTTCTTTAAAGTATATTATGTAAGTTATATTTTTTATTATTAATGATTAGAGCAGGAATTAGGCAGACTTGTGATAGCATAGAGTAAAATATGATTTATGTACAAATCTCGAAAATATGTATAGGTATTTTGAATTTTACTTTGCTATCACAATTTTGCATTCTTGCTTACTTTATGAATGTGTTATTTTAATAATATTATGAGGAGTATTTTTTCCTTAATAGGCATTATTCTGTTGTCCTTCGGTTAAGTGAAATATGTTTCTGAGTAACTAGCAAACTGAGAATTTGTTAATGCATTTAAACAATTTAAAAGTATAATCTATGTTTTTGTTTCATTAAGAGAATGTTTCTTATAATTTGTTTTTAAAATGTTCATTTGGTGGTTAAAAAACCTCTCTTGCTTTATTTATTCCTATCAATACTTCTATTAAATATTCATTAGACCACATTAGGCAAATTTAAAATTGTTCAATTGTGAGTGGATATAAATTGGGATATATCTATTTTCTATTATATTTTAAGCTTAAACTTTGTAATGAATGATTACATTTTGATCTGAATACAGGTTATTTGTATGTTCTTTAAAATTTTCAATTGATCTAAGCCTAGGCGCAGACCACCAATTTTTAGTTGGCCGATAGTTGGGTCGGGCTGTTGATCAGTATGGAAATGTATGAAAGTGCGCACATTATGTACACCGAGTTGGTATCGGCCGATTCTTCATACAAACTAGAATCGGGCCCAACTATCTGCCAACTAAAGTCGATGGTTTGTGCCTTGGCTAATACTAGATAACTAAAGTTTTTAGAATCTTATTAATAACCCTCCATAAACGCTCACCAGTTGGCGCCACTGGGTTATCAATGGAGAAGTTTTGTCAATCTCGACAACGCGCCAGGGGTGGTAAGCATTGTTTTTGGAACTAGAACGGGTGGCCTGAATCAAGGCACCGCCCTATGTTTGAGTTCCACGCGAAAATTTGTAGGTAATTTAAATAATTTCTAGAAATCTAGACGGATTAAAAAAAAAAACTTGACCGTCTTTTTAGTTTTGGTCTATATTTTAATCCCATTCAGTGAAATATAATGTTTTCAACATCAGAGAACTTATCCATTACTCGTGGCTAAGACAGTGGCGCCAATTAATGAGCGCTTTAATTTATTTATTGATTAAATTTCTAGATAATGGTCAATTTCATATTTCAATGGACATGCATAGAGATCCTGTCTACGGTGTTATTATCTAGTGATAATTATTTTATTGCTACTTAAAATTTAAGAGTTGTATATAAATTAAATGTGAAGTTAAAAACGAAATGTTTGAATTAGACCCAGTGAAGTTTTTGCTGTCGTGTTGTTACGCAAGTATTGATGAACTACACCATTAACAGGGGGGCGCGGGCATCACCATCGTTCTACCCAGGGTTCGAAAATATCCGATATTTATTATAAATATCAAAATATCGGATATTTATGATATATATCAGATATATATCAACTTTGATATATATCAATTTTGATGAAAGCCATACTATTATTTTATTGTATTATTCATGAATACTATTGCAAAAGTGTTACATAAACATGTTTTTAATGTTTTTAAAACTTAAAATCAAACAAATAAAGCAAAAACATAAAATTTCTTTTAAATCCGGCAAAATCAACTAAAAAAATAAAAATCTTATGTCAAAAAGTACAAATACAGTAACAAATTTTAAAAGTTGATATATATCATTAAAACCGGCTTGATATATATCGGATATATATCCGATATATATCTTGATATATATCCCTTGATATATATCCTCGAACCCTGGTTCTACCATACAGGATGTGGCTTAAATAGTGGTCCAAAGCAAAAGGGCTGATACACTGTACACTGAGGTACCACATACCAGTATTTAAAAATTTATATTATGTTAAAGGGTGTCCAAAAAGTAAAGGTAAAGTCAACCGATTTGCTAGTAGTAGTGAGTATTGAATTTCGAAACAAACTTGTTTATTTAAATTCAGTTTGTAAAAAAAATGATTGGATTTGGAATACTTAATTAATACATAAATGTAATCAAATTTGTAACGCAAGGTACCAATTTAAAAAATATATTTTTTTAACAATCTTGATTTTTTTTAAAATACTGGTATGTGGCAAGTGCATGCAAGCGGCGCAGGACCGGTCTTTGTGGAAATCCTTGGGGGAGGCCTTTGTCCAGCAGTGGACGTCTTTCGGCTGAAACGACGACGACTGGTATGTGGTACCTCAGTGTATAGTGTACCGACCCCTTTGCTTTGGACCACTATTTACGACACACCCTGTATAGTTTCCAACGTGGTAAAAATCAGAACCAACGATCCAGTACGGACGGTGGCGTCCCCCTGTCAATATACGGGTGGGACAGTTCATTGTAGTTCATCTATGTAGGTGTTTGCAACAAGTGCTATAGGTTGTGAGTGTGATCATGTGATGTAATGGCTCCAGTTATCGATTACCTACTGTAAGCAAGTTCTTTTGACGTCTTAACCCTATAGAGGGCTCTGGCTAATATATTGACATCATAATTTGAACCTTAATCACTTGTCATAGATTTCTTTTTCAAAAGGCGTTCGTGACTTTACATCTAGGTTTCATTTTAGGGCAGTAAAATACAATGGATTTACTTCTAGAAATGAAACTCAAATTAGAGATGATTCATTTATTGATTTGTCATTTAAGATAAGCCATTAATTTATACTCAAGTAGTTAAAAACACATAATATCAACTAACAGCTCAAGATCGCAGACATTGAAGTACTTATTCTAGAACTGACGCAAGTCAAAATTATAATCGAGTTGTATACCAATTCTATTAATAACTTACCAGCTATCTACATGTTAAAATAGTGAATTTGTGAACTTCTATTAGATAACGGAGAATAGAAACTTCTACAGGTTTGGCGTTGGCAAAAGGTAGACCAATCGGGCCATACAACTTCTGGCAAATACAGGCTGCGTACTTTTAACAATCTCTTATCAATCTTTCAATTTTGTTATTATTTTTTCAAAGCTTTTAAAGCCTGTGAGAAGCCGTCATGTCCCTCCTTACTCCATACAATGTTCTTATCTTACGATGTTCAATAAATTCAACAATTATAACGTGATTTTAGACGTATTTTAAACACGTTAATAGTAATTCGTTGTCTTCTTAGCCCGCATTTGACAAAAGTTTTATTACAAGACAACATCGATAAAGATATGTTTAATCCATAAACAATAACTGATGACAAAATTTAGTAATAGACAAAAAGTAGAAATGCAATAGGTTTTTTACAACTACCTACGTCGATTACATTACTTTGCAACTACATTTAAATCTAATATAAGTAAATAACACACATTTCTCTATTCTAATATATTAATCACAAATTTTTGATATGTTTGCGGATTTTAAGTGCAGCACCGTTAAAACATGCTTTAGGTTTTATTTCAATGACGAAAACCTACGAAACGGGCCTATAAAATGTATCATAAAACACTACAATACCGATCATATTAAAATAATTGTATTTATTCACTACTGATTACGAACTATGATATGTATTTTATCCTACGATCTAAATTTAAAATGATATGTATCCATGGTCCTATTCTGGATTTTTCCAAAAGCCAGATATAAAGCGCATGCATTCTTTCAACGATTTTTATAATTTATAACCTAAGGACATTTTTAATCGAATGAAATCAACCGACTTGTAGCTTTATATCTCGCTTAGAATGGACTCGGTTTCAATGGAGTCGCCTCTGACTTCAGTTTGAAAGGTTTAAAGTAAGTGGTGGGGGGCGACACTCAAATGTAATCTCACTCACTCAGGTCACTCAAGTTTCAGGCAGGGTCATCAATCGAGTGCTCACGGTATTTCATTCACATAGTCCACTCCCAGCGGAGACAATCTAAATACAGTCTTTTGCGCTCTGATCAAATCAACACTCGAATGATGGTGACGCGAGTATACCCTGATGAATCTTGAGCTTGAAACATCCAATTAACAACTCTAATAAAGCAACTTTTAATACAAAAATATACCTATATCCTAGGGTTTAATTCGAAATTAATACACTTGTCACTATCTAATGGTTACTAAATCAGTATCTTCTGTGAGAATCATCAAGAGAACCAGACGGTCTACGTGGCCGGTTGTAGAGAGCTGGCTAGTGCTGGAGGATTCTCACAGACTCTTCGGGGTCATCAAGCATTCAACAATCTCTCAAGGGGGTAAGGTGGAAAGGAAAGTTTACTTTCTCCGATATTTGATGGAGTCGTAAGGAAGATAGCTGTAGAAGGAGGAGCTGATGGGGCCAAACTGGACGACAGAGTAATAATCAGAGGCAGACTCCGGTGCTATTCAGTCAAGGAAACCGGTGTTCACCAGCTTCTCCAGAAAGAATTTCACGTCACCGAGCTCGGAATCCTTGATGCCGAGGGATTTGAGCATGCCGAGGTCTCCATTCTCAACCGCCATGAAGACGGAGCGTAGGTGTTCCAGGTCTGACCTCATGAGATGCAGGGCTGCGCCGAAGTCCTCGATGGTTTGAGATTCTGGAACAGAATTAAGTTTTCTTTAGTAACATTCTCTAAAACCTCTGGAGGATATTGTTGGCTTAATCTCAAGTTTCCAAATCCGACGCTGATTTAATGGAAAGGATTCGCCCCTTGATATTTCCTATTCCCTAACTTGTCAATTAGAATAGCTAATCTGACGGATAATACCGCTTTGGAATTTCCCGTTAAATCGGAAATTCGACGCTTAGACGTTAAGCTTATTTGGAAACATTCCGCTGGTAATAATTAAGTATGATAGGTTTACTTAATAAACCGGATTATTCTGTGTAGTAAGCAATTTATAGAAGTTGTAAGTATTTAAGGTAATGGGATGGACCCCCATACCAATTCAAAATATGTTTTCTTTACCCTAAAATATGCGCCAAGATTGAAGTACTGTGGCTAAAAATTAAATGACATCTGTGTATTGAAGGTATCATCGTCATCATTATTTTAAGCCATTGGACGTCCACTCACTGCTGAACATAGGCCAGTTGTCAGAAGCCTGCATCCAGCAGAGTCTTTCTGAATTGAATAAGTATTATGGGGTTTCAAAATAGGTATCTTCTCTTACCTGACAGAGCAATGGCGACTTTCTCCACGCCTCCTAGCGGTTCTAAAGCATCCCTCGCCTTGCTCCCGAACAGTTTCTCCAGATAGTTGGGGCCGTGCGAAGCCAGCAGCGACTGGAGGAAGGAAGCCGTTTCTTCGACTGGCGGCCGTTTTGCTGAGGACATGAGAAGTTTTTGGTTAGTTTTGAAATGAAGGAAGAAGGTTAAGGTTTATGAATTTAGATTTTTAGCTTGAGCGTGCTCATTTGATATGAACTTTTTAGAATGCTCTTACTTGATTAGTAACTTATGTAAGTACTNTATAGCCTGACCAGGAACATAAAAACCCTAGTATAGAGGCGCGTCAATTGCATTTGATAGTGCAACACTGAGTACAGTCGTACCTGTGTTAAATTAATAGGCTATTAACTTTATGTATCAGGATTCAGGATTACGGGCTAATTTTATATTTTCATAACTTAACGAAAAAATATTATTATAGGTAGGTAACCTGGTTTAAATAAATTAAATGAAATCATCAATCGAGTTAGTAGGATTTATTTTATTATTCATCAATAATCAAATTCAGAACTTGAATATTCAACTGCAATGTCTGCTCATGAACGCTTCAAACTCGGTAAGTACTTCTTTCCCAATTCCATAAAATTCAACACTTATAAAGTGACAAAAAACTTTAAAATAGGTATTTGAAACGAACCAGAACTAATTTTCATAGTGGACTGTACTATACGATATACATGTCAGTCAATTTGACAACCTTTGTCGGAAACATTATTCAATGAAAATATTGTCCGAACCCTTAGTATTTCTCTTCGACAAATATTTTAACACATTGTGAACCACTTTTCTTTCATGACTATAAAAAGATTTTAGCAATTTAATTCACAAAATCAATTGCGCACATTTAAAATAAAGTTTGTTTACACTTTGACAGCAATAGACTGACATGCAAGGTGACATGTAAATGAAGTTTTCAGTTACTGTTGCCATTAAAAGAAATTAGTACCATTAGTTTTCCGCAACATGGCGAGGGTTTTTATGTTCCTGGTCAGGCTATAAGTACTTAATCAAGCAAGTTCAAATCCATAACGTCCAAACTAAATATGTACCAGCATGTACTTAGCTAAATATCCTGGGCCCTAATCAACAAAAAAGTTGATAAAATCATCAATTTAAAATGCGTCCAACTCTATTACTTATTTCTTGAATAACGTGCGTTACCTACGTACCTACTTAGGTGTCAATTTAATTATAATCAAGGTACTGGCTACTTAATTACAACCTACCTAATTCAAATTCTATCCTACATAATGACACACACTAATTTTAGTATCTACGCAAGTACCTAATTAAGGCAGACAATTTACGTTATTACAGAGTACCTACCTATTCTTCACTATTTTGGCGTGGTCGGGGAACGTACCTATTACGTCAACACTTATTCCGGGAACAAGGTTTGCTAGAATACACCTCATTATTCTATGTAGGCAGTTTGTTTAGTGCCCACACAAAGGCAAACACGGAGATAGGTTGGTACGCTAGGGAGGTGTATATTTTAGTTGGAAAATTGAAAGGCTTGAAATTATTTCCACGTGAGGGTACTTATACCTGCCTAATGGGCAGGAATATCTGTTTCTTCCTAATCACAGTAGTATTAAATATTACTCCTTGCTGCTGTCTTTCCCGAAGACTATAATCCGGGCCTTTTCAAGGCGAGAGTGAGTAGGCACTTACAGGGCAGATAGGTATGTAGGTACCATCCTAGACTGCATCCCACTTAACACCAGGTGCGATTGTGGTTAAATACCTGCCTTGTTATGCATAAAAAAATGCGTCACGATTCATAGGTACTTGAAGGGTAGCATGATCGTATGCTTAAGGGTAATCTTCATGATCGTATGCTTAGGTGTGTTATGTCTTTTAAATAAGAAAGTTATTTCTTTTTTAAAATTCCTCTGCTTATCTCTAACTAGATGTTTTTAAGTTAACTACACAAGGTGCCACAGTGTACCTTGATGTGCTATCAACTTACAATGTACGTGTTAACAAAATTAACGGCCAGTTAACAACACGTTCGGATTACGACTTAACAGTGTTTTAACGATGGTTTCTTTACTTCACAGCGTAACAGCGAGGCGGAATGGCGCAATAAAAGTAAACAAGTGCTGTAACTACATGTTTGCGGTATATTTTTGTAAAGCAACTCCGGTAACACATTGGAGTACTATTTACACCCGAGGGTGTGTTAAAATGTGTTGCTTTTAACATTTTAAGCTCACTCGAATTTACTGTTTTAAATACCACTGTAGAAGTCGTCATTACTAGTCTTACTAGGTTAGTAGGTATTTCTGTCTGTGGTAGGTTTATGAATAAGTATCATTTTGTATTCTGAATTAAGTTTTATACTCGTAGATCGCCTTCAGTCATTGGAATTTGTTTCATAAACTAATTTGATTACTTTCATGGTGAAAACTGGTATCTTTTACTTTACTTTCCGTTTATAATGATCAAAACAACGATACAATTGTGAAACATGAAACCCTTATTACACGAACTGTCGCGTAGCTATTTCGTAGTCACGCAACAAGACTACGGTTTAATGCGTAGACGTTCCATAGCTACGACGCTACGAGCTTTGCTACGAAGTCTGTACTACGCAGTTTGCTACAAATACGATCGTAGTTAAGTACATAATATGTATTTGAATATTTTAAATTAAAAACTGATCAAAGTTATGACTGCTTTTATGCTATAACTCCAGTAATGACAGTGAAATGTTGATAAAAATAAATAAAATAACTAAAATATCATCCAATATACTACCTACAGCATAAAATGCTACAGTGTTTAGTCGGATATGCCTTGCGTCAATAGAAAATGGCGGGGATGTTTTAATCCGATAGATTAAGGTGTTAGTCAAGTTTAGCTTCATTAATAATAACACAACTAATCTTATAAGCTTAATTTGACTCATTTTGAGCTGAAATTATATTAAAAATTTTCCTTTCAAAGTGGTATATTATCGTTTGTTAATCTAGTTTAAGTTGAAGGCTGAGTCAAAGGACTTTAAGATGTAAATTAATAACCAACCTGCAGTGCAAAGCTTGGAGTCTTCGTCGTACCCATCGATGCAGTCTGGGGCTCCGTCGCAGAGGTACTGGATGGAGATGCAGTTCCCGTCCACCGGGCATTTGAACGGCTCGTACGGGTGGCAGTACTCTGGAATAGAAGGATAATTATATTAAGTAACTATACTAATTGAAGCCATGATAGCCGAACGGTGAAGGGGTCGGACTGGCCGACTCGTGATCGGGGAACGCGCTACTATTGTGGTGAGCTCACTCGTGACATACGTGTATTTAGCTTAATACGAGGGGCTAACGGGACTATTAGTAATTCATGCAATTTTTATATAAAAAATCTGACTGTTAAGATTCAAAAATTAAAACATTAAAATCAATCTGTGATTTGCCTCTAATGGTGGATCTGTAGAATGACAAATATTCGAGACTAGCTTTCCGCCCGCGGCTTCGCCCGCGTGGAATTTTGTCTGTCACAGAAAAACTTTATCGCGCGCGTCCCTGTTTCAAAAACCGGGATAAAAACTATCCTATGTTCTTTCCCGGGACTCAAACTATCTCTATGCCAAATTTCATCAAAATCGGTTGCGAGGTTTAAGCGGGAAAGCGTAACAGACAGACAGACAGACAGACAGACAGACAGACAGAGTTACTTTCGCATTTATAATATTAGTTGGGATATATAATATATAAGTTGGGATTGGGATGAGAGGTCAGGAGATCGCGCGCGCAGTTTTGCATTGTTTGTATTTTGTTGTAAAAGGTAATAATATTAGTACCTACCTACTCTGGGGCATGCCGATAAGTAGATACTTTAAGTAAGTTTTGTAATTGATTACTCAATAAGGTAATGTATGTCTAGGAATCTGTAGCTAGGTGTTAGATTTTGTCAAGCTTTCATTTATTGAACTTCTGGAAATACTTAAGTAGTTTTACAATGCGGTATGTAATAAAGTTAAACGATTAGCAGCTTCCACTGAACAATCCTGTGAGTATTATTTATACGTTATGTACACATTATAATGTAGAGTTAAATTACATTTCCAAGAAACTGTGTTTGAACTTATGCGTGGCTTTAATGCTTTCGTAATATAGGTATCAAATGTAATTACGCGGTTTCAAGAAACGTGGGTGACTTGGCTGAAAGGGGTGATTCAGTGACATATTTTAGGGTAATTTTAACATGTTTAATTGCGTGTTTACTTCGTTCTTAATTATGTAGGTTTCATTTATGTTCTCTTGGGGAGGCGAACTCTTTTTCCGCTGGATCAAAATGGAGTCTTTAGAGTAGTAACCTACTTGTTATTATAGAGAGAGTATTCTTATGTTAAGTTGGTAAAGGAGGATTCAGACTATCGTAAAACACCTTTTACGAATAAATATGACATGATGTTAACTTTGATATGTTGTTGTCCGTACAACACTATTCTACAACACCCATAAGAATACATACCTAAAGGTATCGAAATCGAAAAAAATAAACTTCTCCCTATTATTTGAAGTTTCAAGCAACTTTAACCTTTAAAATAAACTCAGACTAGGTTTATTTTACCCTCTAGTGGTTATTCCCCCGCACGATGCGCTTAATATCAGTTTAATAAAACATTATTCCTTTGTCGGATAATTACAATAGCATCCCCACGGGGAGTATATTGGAGATTTTAATGGTATTACGCTCGGGCGTCGAGCACATAGCTCTTGAGGAGACGGTAGAGATTCAAAATTATGGCCATGACCATAAATGCGACTCAAAATAACTCTACTTATGGCTACAAAATTAAATATCGCGTCCTGATCTAATGAATGCTTATTGGCACAGAATCAAGAGATTTTTAAGGCGATAAGTGAGTACTTACCTCGTGTTTTCATAGGTAGCTACTGCGATTGCCTAATTATAATTAAGGCTGAGTTGCACCACCTAACTTTAACGGAAACTACAACGATAACCGGTGCTTTTTGTAAGCTTGACAGATTTTTGACGTTTGTCAAAGTTCAAGTAAGATGGTGCAAGTCAGCCTAAGTGAATTATTAATCTTATTGATTAGCTGACTCGGCGTGCATGCTATTTGCATTACAGGCGTCCCCAGAATACACAACCTACTAAAGTTACGGTCATATATGTAGACGACATTGACAAGTAAACGTGTAATTTAAAAATCTTCTCGTGGATTTGTCTTCTCCAATGACAAACTCGATGGGCGGAATATTACTGAATTTTAATTACGATAACGCTACGGGGCTGCACTTGATAAACGAGGTCATCTATTGAGTCCTTTTAAAGCAAAATGCTTTGCGATAATATTTTAAATAAATTGGAAAGTCAACATATTTTAAAATAATATTTAAAAGCAGGATGGTTTTTACTTCGGCTTTATGTGAATATCTAATTTTAAAACCATTTTAATACACTTTTAAAATTAAATTACTTATGTTGAATATTTTGAAGTGAGTGAGGCAGCCTTTAAATTTCATTTAAGTAAGAGGTCGTTCAGTTCTATTAAAATATCAAACATTCTTTTCGCGCGGAGTTTTGATAATATCGTTTTTAAGGTAGAGTTTTGTTAAGTTCAAATTATATAAAATAAGTGAGTTTTATTCACAGTTGTTTCATTAGGTCTTATCCTTAAACAACTTAAGAAAATAATTTATTACAATCTATTACTAACAAAATTATCTACAAATATTATCTTACATTTTCCTGTAATTAGAATATCATTCATTATACAATGTACCTAATAATTTTCTATCTATACACAAGTAAATAAGTACCTACCTCAACGTCTTTTTCTTGAACAATAATGTCTTAATCGACCTCTCTCCGAACTTTATCAACCTTTTGTAAGGGAAAATATTACATTAATGTCTGGACCAAGTAATATAATTACTTACATTAATACTTCCCTCCCCATTACGGCCTGATTGGTCATTTTCCGCTAATCGTACGCAGGGCTGGACTGAGTACTCTAAAGGACCAGTTATATCAGTTCTTGATAAAGTTTCAGATAGTTTAGACTCTTTAGACTAAGGGTGGATTCAACCAAACAAGAGTTAATATTAATCTCAGAATAAATCGACAGTTTTGACATATTTCCCATACTGAAACTGTCAATGTGCCAGTTATACCAGGAGTTATTCTCGGATAAAAGTTTGGTCAAATCGGGCTTAATAACGATAACCTACTTACTTAAAGTTTTCGGCCACATAATCTCTACTTGATACCTGTGAAATCAAAAGCTGTTGTTCATCTACCAGACAAGTTTTTCAAAGAGGCTTTATCAGCAAGAGTGTTGAAACAATCTCTAATATTAATAAAGACATTGGACATTATACACTTTATCTACTCCCAAAGTCAATAACATAAATACTTTATTATACCTACGTATCTAAATTATGCGTAAACATTGCGAGTATTGTGACCAAAATCTCAACGCTTATGTCAAATCATCGACGATTGAGGTCTTATTTCAGAGGACTATCCATAGTATAAGCCCGGATTGCCCTAAATCCACCCCTGCCCTAAGAAAGAAGCCGTTTCTTTTACCTGAAGCGGCGCTATCATCCCCCGAGAGTCGTTCTCGTTAGATACGAGTTAAGACCTTACTTTGATCACGGAGATTAATCTTGTACTAATTGGAAAGATTTTTTCATAAGCCTCTGAGTCCATGAAGCTTCTTATCCGGCTGATCTGATTAAAATATCGGAGGAGATTCGGCTTCTTTAAAGATTGTAAAGCAATTTTGTCCGCGTATATTTTAATAGAAGAGACTGATAGATAGTATTAAATAATTCTAATGACCTATGTGCTATTCCGATATAATACGTGTATGTTTAGTAGTTTTTACGTGACGTATTCCTTATTACTTTATTTTAAAGAAAAGAAAGACTTGCTTTTTTATTTCCATTGAATTATAGTCCAGNTTTTCTATCTATACACAAGTAAATAAGTACCTACCTCAACGTCTTTTTCTTGAACAATAATGTCTTAATCGACCTCTCTCCGAGCTTTATCAACCTTTTGTAAGGGAAAATATTACATTAATGTCTGCACCAAGTAATATAATTACTTACATTAATACTTCCCTCCCCATTACGGCCTGATTGGTCATTTTCCGCTAATCGTACGCAGGGCCGGACTGAGAACTCTAAAGGACCAGTTTTATCAGTTCTTGATAAAGTTTCAGATAGTCTATTTAGACTAAGGGTGGATTCGACCAAACAAGAGTAAATATTAATCTCAGAATAAATCGACAGTTTTGACATATTTCCCATACTGAAACTGTCAATGTGCCAGTTATACCAGGAGTTATTCTCGGATAAAAGTTTGGTCAAATCGGGCTTAATAACGATAAAGTTATACCTACTTAAAGTTTTCGACCAGATAATCTCTACTCCAGACCTGTGAAATCAAAATCTGTTGTTTATCTACCAGACCAGTTTTTTATAGATACATTACAGCAAGAGTGTTGAAACAATCTCTAATATAAAAACATTTTACATTACCTTTACATTTATCTACTCTCAAAGTCAATAACATACTCGTATAAATACTTTACGTATCTAAATAATGCGTAAATATTGTGAGTATTGTGACCAAAATCTCAACGCTTATCTCAAATCATCGATGATTGAGGTCTTCTTTCAGAGGACTTTCCACAGTACCTATAAGCCCGGATTGCCCTAAATCCACCCCTGCCCTAAGAATGAAGCCGTTTCTTTTACCTGAAGCGGAGCTATCATCCCCCGAGAGTCGTTCTCGTTAGATACGAGTTAAGACCTTACTTTGATCACGGAGATTAATCTTGTAATAATTGGAAAGATTTTTTCATAAGCCTCTGAGTCCATGAGGCTTCTTATCCGGCTGATCTGATTAAAGTATCGGAGGAGATTGGGAGACTTAGGTTCGGACTACTTTAAAGATTGTAAAGAAATTTTGTCCGCGTAGATTTTAATAGAGACTGATAGATAGTAATAAATAATTCTAACGACCTATGTGTTATTCCGATATAATACGAGTATCTTTAGTAGTTTTTACGTGACGTATTCCTTATTAGGGGAGACCGGGTACAATAGTACCACGGGTCAATAGTACCATCGGCGATATTTCTTCATACAAGCGACGTTAGATTGTGTGCATAGCGT